TGCAGTTGCAGTTTCCCAGAATCCAAGGGGATGTATTCAAATGTTCAAGACCCAAATATATTCCCTTTACAATGAAACAGAAAGATATCTCATTATCTTCTCAACAGATCATCATGTAATTTCATACCTGCTCTCAGAGGACAAACCTTTTTAGATTTCAATGACCCCATGATTGTTTCTCTAGCGCCACCCTCAGAACAGACTTTACATTTTTAAAATGGATCAATCATCAAGGTGTTGGTTCATATTGTGGATGTTATAAAGGCTGCAGCCATTAGGGGACACTAGCAGAATTTTGTCTGGTTGTCTCTTCCTTTCGCCATGTAGAAAGAAGTGGTGTACAAGAAGAAGGAGTCCATTTTCTCTTTTGAGGAGTCGGAGTTTCGACAGCCAGCTGTTCTGGTGCTGCAGGTCTGGGACTACGACCGCATCGGTGCCAACGACTTCCTGGGTGAGACACAAACAGACAGGACTATGATATCTCAGATATTTAAAAAAATGTACCTTTACTGAAACAGGCCTGTATTAGAGACAGGCCTTTATCTCTAATTTCCCCTGCATTATAGATGTATTTGGTTACATTTTCTGATCTGCTTCTGTTTTAATTTACTGTTAATGTAAACTTCAACATCCTCCAGTTTTTGTGACTCATTATTTGAATACTTCCTTTTATTTAAGAATTGTTTTTATAATTCACAAACCTCACCGTCAACGATTTAAATGTAGCTACTAAAACACCAAAATACAAATTTTTAGAAATCTCAGATACATTTATCTCCAAGCTTATTTTATACATTTTTATCTGGGTGAACTGACCCTTTAATTTAATCAACTTCATCATCGTTCTTGTCTTTTTCCTCCTTCAGGCGCCATAGAGTTCCGTCTCTGCGACATGGTGCGAGCAGCAAAGGGATCCAATAAGTGTACAATTAAAATGGCAAAAGATCGGGCCAGCCCTCGACTTTCCATCTTTCACGCAAAGAAGATGAAGGGCTGGTGGCCGCTGATCCGCTTGAAGACAGCCGAAGACTTTGAAAGGGAGGAGAAGGAGAAGGAGGAAGCCAAGAAGAAAGGCAAGAAGAAGAAGAAGAAGACGAAGGACAAGAGGAGCAAGATGAGAAAGGAAGACATTGAGTACACCGACAGCAACGGCAACACATTCCTGCTAATGGTACAAAAGAATACAATATCAATATACTAATACTAACGCTGCCAGAGAGGATGCAATAGTAGTTATTGCATCTGCTCTGGCAGCATTAGTATGTATGTAGTATATTGGCAGCTAAAACTTGTTTTTTCATGTGAATTACATAGAAATGTAACTCAACTCTGGTTTGGTAATCAATACTAGTTTGTGTTTTGGTCGACCACTTTTGTTTCTGTGAATGAGTTTTGGTGGGATGGGGAGTGTCACTGTGTCACTTAGTTTAACTAATTTGGAGTTTAAGCTAATTTAGACTCCAGTCTGAATACTGACATTGAAACCAACCCTGAAACTGTGTGCGTGTGTGAAGGGGAAGGTGGAGGCGGAGCTTCAGCTGGTGACATTAGAGGCGGCGGAGGCCAACCCTGTGGGACGGGCCCGTAAGGAGCCGGAGCCTCTGGACAAACCAAAGTATGACACACACACACACACACACACACACACACACACACACACACACACACAGCCAAACATCAAGCAAATGCAACAACACAAGACAAAACAAGCCAGCTAATATTCCTTACAGCTAGACATCTGTCTGTCTGCAGCCTTTTGTTTTACAAAGCTCTCACCGACAACTAAAAGCCAGTCCTGCGAATTTCTCTTGTACGGTGGCTTTGTGCTCAGTCACACTCCCTTTTTCTCTACTTAGCTTTCTCCATCAACATCCTGTTTGTCTGTAGAGGCTGCTGAGCCTGGTTCAGTAGCCCGCTCAGTCAGCTCTGGTTCTGGTGCTAATTCCGGCGTTGCTCCCCCATCAGCCCCCGTCAGTGATCTTGCTAGCGCAGTTTATTCAAAAGACATATTTGAACCATCATCTCCTGTCTCATAACCAAACCTGGATGGTACTTGGGACTTAGGACATGCGATTGGTCAACAACAGTGTGAATTCTTTTCTCAAAGTTAAATCAATCTGAGTGGATTTACGTCACTCCTGTGAGTCCACCGATTATAGCGATTCTGTTGTAATAAGCAGATTTTGTTGTAAAATTTCTCCTTTTTAAATAATGATGTGACCTTTAGCCTAGTGTAGACCCAGTCCAGGTGTAATCTGTCACCTGTCGTCCCTCTAGGCGTCCCACCACCAACTTCAACTGGTTCATCAACCCGATGAAGACCTTCATCTTCCTCATCTGGAAGAAGTTCAAGAAGTACATCATCACTCTGGCCATCCTCGCCATCCTCACGCTCTTCCTCGCCCTCATCCTCTACACGCTGCCGGAGCAAATCTCGGTCCTCATTGTCAACGGATGAGGAACTTGCAGGGAGTCTTCATCGCCTTGTCCTGGATGTCACAGAATGTCTCAGGTTTCTGATCCTGAACTGACTAAAGTTATATTTATCTTATTCTCTGTGGAACCAATCAGTAAAACTCATGATTTAATATGTTTACACTGACCGCACTACATTATCCAGCATTGTTTATATATGTTTTTTGGTTTTCCAGTCATGGAAACACCTGGAAATGAATTAAAATGACCAAATACCCTGGAAATCATTTATGTTTCATATATTTCATTTATGTTGCCCCCCACTAAGCTGCGCCGTATGACACTTTATGTATGACGCTGGTTTACCAAACACTACCAAACAAAACAATTTGCTCTTTTCGTATCTCATTCAATAGCTGTCCATACTAGACACGGAGCTGAACAGACTTGCAACGATCTTTTTGCTGCTGGGTCACTTTTTTCCTGTAGTTGCGTTGCCCAGTGGAAATGTTGTAGATGGTCATTTGTGAGAAAGCGCTGTCCTGTATTGTCATGTAAAAATGTCATGAAAAGATCCTGGAAAATGATTTCTTAAAAAGAGTGGGAACCTTGTAGACACCTATTACTGCAGATTTAAAGCACATATTTATATTGTGTAAATTAAAGATTGTTTGACTCCTGTAGCACTGAACAGATTTGTGCTGGACATATCGCACAAATCTGACCGTATTTCCTAAACATAAACATAACCCCATTGTCTACAAGTGTAATGTTGTTGATTCAATGTAGTTGTGGTTGCAAATGTTTATTTTGAAAATAAATAAGTACATTCATATTTTTTGTTTAATTTTGTGTTGACTCCCTTCTGGAGAGCAGGAATGTGATTACAGGACATTACATGATGATCTGTACATTAGATAATCAGATATTCGTCTGTGGACTCAAACTCAGCATAACGAGGCAGAAAATATAAACAACACAACACAAAGTAGAGCTGACTCAGATCTCCAGAAAACAGTTTTTGTTTTCTCATAATGAGATAATTAAATATGATTTATAAGACAATGCAGTTTAACTTATGAAGGTGAGGGTAGTGAAATAAAAGTCAGGACGTCAGACTTCATCCTCGTCTTCAGGGTGAGCAACAGGAAGTTAGAAATGGTTTGTTTAGAGACGCTCGCTCTGAATGTTTCCTCTGAGACTCTGATGGATCATGATGTTGGCTCGTTGTCACAGAGACTATAGGAGGGAAATGATGTCAGCAGACCAGAATGAGGTTCAGTTTGCGCAAAAAATATGTCCAAATATGCTGTTAGATCACAGTTATTTAACGCTGCACTAATGGAATGACTCAAGGGTCCGTCAGTCAGTCTGTCTGCCACTTTACTTCAGACTAAAATATCTCTACAACTACTGGATCAATTCCTGTGAAATTGTTTTGTCTTTTTTTATTATCTTTTAAATCATTTTAAACTGTTACTCAACATCATGGTAAACGAGGGCCATTTGAAATGATTTAAATTTAAATAAAGGTATATACATAAATATATAAAAATACTACAAAATGTTGAATGCTAATGTATAATATAATTTAATATAAATTAATAAATAAAACAACATTTTAATGAAGCAGCTTGTGGAAATTAATGAACCTGATGAATGAAACATTTTGTGAGGAGCTGTACCAGTGATCAAAGTTTGATTTATTACTGCTGAAAATGTTGACTGGACAGATGCAAATCATCACTAACTTAAATTATGAGATTTTTGATATCACATTTTTTTTTTTTACATTTCCTGTAATATTTTTATTTCAATATGTATTGTCGACACATCTGTGATTAGTTTGGAGCTGAAATGTGATGACAATGGACAACATTCAGACTGTGTGACCTTTCATATGTGGTCCAGACCAAGATCAACCTTCTTCATGCGCATCACTTCAGGACTGTGACCTGTTAACACTGGAATCTGATATGGAACATTCAGGAAATAATGTATGAACAGCCGAACAAACAAAAAAATCTGAGCAATAAATCAGAATTCAGTACTAAGGCTTGCTGTGTGATCGTAGCCTTAGTGAGCGGAGGTAAAACTAATGGTTCAAAAACACTTAAATCATGGCTCCAAGCGGGAACTATTGGGAAAAGACCAGGAGTACCTCTTTTCCACCTAAGCAGCTCTGGTCCTTGAATTGGTTCTGTTCAGGATTCAACAACACAATTTACATTTATTTTTCTTCAAACATGCTGATATCGGCCAACTGTGTGTATTTTTGACGTTTTTAACACGCCTTAAAATCAAGAAGGCCTTGCGACCCCCCCATGAAGCTTTGGCGACCCCTAGTGGGGGGCCCGACCCCTAGGGTGGGAACCACTGTTCTAAGGTCACAAAAGCACAACAATCTATATTGAGGTGATTATACACTAATGAAAACATACCTGGGAATATTATATTTAATTTCTGCCAACAGCTCCTCCTAAGTGTTACAAACTGGACCTATAGATGCAGTTTTAACTTGCTTTAACCGACTTCCAGTGGCTCTGACATGAATTAAACAGACAGTGGTGTAATCAGTCCACCTCTGTGCTCGGTCAGCAGTGCGCGCGGCCGCTGCACAGAGCCCCGCCGCCGTGCACCGTGAACGCGCCTCTCCATGCGGTTTGAATAAAGAAGGAAAAGCAGCAAAAAAAATCAGCTGATGATGAAAACACATGAAGCTGTTCCTGGAGCGGAGAGCAGAGACCGGTTTGATTCGCTCATCTGAACCCGGTTCCGGTGTCTAAAGGGGGTCCGGTTTCTCTGCTCAGCACCTCCGCTCTTTGTCAGCCGGTTCACACACAGAGACCCGGGCGGGTTTAAGGTTTTTTTTTTCTCTCCTCTGATTGAAGCGGCTCTACCGGAGAGAGACTGACTGGCTTTAACACGCTAAGGACCCGGGAGTGTTTTAATGTGTGTGTGTGTGTGTGTGTGTGGTGTGTGTGTGGTGTGGGGTGTTTGTGTTGAATCTGATCTGTTCGGGGTTATTTCCTGCTGGATTTAAGCATCTTTTGTTTGGAGGAAGAAGCGGCTGATGCTGCGGTTCATAGTGAAGTCACTCTGACGGAGGAGTCACCGGAGCAGGTCTTTAATGAGCATTTATGAGCCTGGTAATGCTAGTGCATCCTAACGGGACTGTGGGAGTGTGGAATCAGCGCTGATGGGATTATTTCACCTTCATTTATTACTCATATTATTTTATTATTGATCATAATTGGCTCTGGGGAACGGCTGCAAGGGTTCCGCCTGGTTTCCTCAGTCTTTTGTGTGGAATTGATCTGTCAGTCCTCGGACTCTGTTAGTCTGTTCCGGTCCTGTCCCGGGTGGTCCCGGTTTGTCCCGGGTTGAGAAGCACCATGCCGGAGTGCGTGTCCGTGTCCGAGTTCTTGCAGGAGGTTCAGGAGGACTGGAGCTCTCCCACCACCTCCTCCTTCACCTCCAAGATGATCAGCTGCAGGAACACCGTCTACCTGCTGGAGGAGGTCAGTACTGACACAGGAGGGTGGCAGCAGCAGTAGTAGTAGTAGTAGTAGTAGTAGACTACAAATGTAAGATCCTTTTATTTTGGAGGTTTCATCAGCCTGATGAATGATGAATGAACCAGTTGTGTTACTCTATATTCAGGGCCGGACTGGACTGCTTGGGGGGCCCTGGGGCCAAATATGAGCTGCTCGGCCCCCATTACAGCTCCCCTCGATTAAAATACTGTAAAACTTCGGTGGGTTTCAAGAGGTTTTATACATCCACAGAACTTCTATAAAATCCAGACCAGGCCTCTAACTGAGTCCTGCCTTTATTTGTCAAAACCTGTAGCTACAGCAGGATAGTAAAGGGGACCTGCCTCTAATTGGGACCCTGCTTTAATTTAAAGTTTAACACAGTTATCGAGTTGCCAGAATTCCCCTGTCTCCAAGACAACAGTGAATACGATTTTTAAGATCCCCTCCAGACATGTATTACGTCATATATGTGATAATAGTCTGCCTGGAACAATAATGTGTGTCTGATATAATGTAATCTGATATAATGTCCACATTAAAGTCCATAAAAACATATCTACTCCTTCTACCTCATTACAAATTACAGAATCTATGAATATGCAGAATCTTTTTAAATTTCTAAAGTTTTCCTGATGGACACAAGATGTCTCCTCCCTCACTGTTAAGTCCATTTTCAGTGTTTGTGCACTTGTGGCTTTAAGTTTCTACATCACACTTAAGTATAAGTTGCAAACTGGACCAGAGTTCACTTACAAACTATTTGTGATGTCACATATCGTGTTCATAGGCCCCGCCCCTTTAAAGGACTTTAAAGAAATGTTTGTTCACCAGCTACACAATGATGAAACATTTTTAATAAACATACAGTTAGAATCAAACGTTTATACTCCTGACAACAAGAAGGTTTTTATGGTTCTATATAGACGACTTAAAGAGTTTCAATATCTAAACCGAACCACACACAGGACAGGAATGTTCTGTATCAATAGACCTTTTTCACAGCAGCCATTCTGACATGAAATAGTAGGGTAAACACAGGCAGTGACACTAATGAAGGTTCAGTTCCATTCAGGTCAAACAGAGTGAGAGTGCTGCTATTGTTAGCTCACTGGAAACACTCTGCTACACTAAATGGAACAGAACCTTGATTAATGTCATTGGTAACACCTGTGTCTACTATTTCATGTCAAAATGGCTGCTGTGAAAAATGTCTATGAGAACATATTTCTCAATTTATAGCTGCGCCATCTGCAATATAAAATTAATTAATAAAACAACTTTTTCCTGAAACAGCTTGTGGAAATTAATGAACCTGATGAATGAAACATTATGTGAGGAGCTGTACGAGTGATCAAAGTTTGATTTATTGTGGCTGAAATTGTTGACTGGACAGATGCAAAACATCCCTGACACATTTTCTCTGTTGCTGTGGAGTTGTGAAGATTTAGTTTTTACAAAAATGTATCTTTCATTAATAACCCCACTGTGTTCTCATGTGTCTGTCTGACCTCCTGCAGCCTCTGACAGGTTAGGATGATCCTAAATATCAGCAGAGATTGGAGCTGTTTCCAGAGTTAAAAAGTTAATTAAATGTTTTTCCTCTCAGGCCTAAAAGTAGATCTTTACATCAGTAAGAATACATTTTTGTCTCTGGGAACAAAAATAGTATCAAATAATTTTCTATATAATCAATTAATCGACTAATTGTTTTGAGCAGTTTGTTGGTGAGGCTGTGAATCTGCTCTGCTGCTGAGTGACGTCTGTTTCTGTGTGTGTTTGGGTGGGTGGAGGGGTTAAAACCAGCGGGCAGCAAACCCCCCACCCCCCCAACACACACACACACGCACACACACACACACACACACACACACACACACACACACACACACACACACACACACACACACACACACACACACACACACACACACTGTTGGTCAGTGGAGTCATTGACCCGGAGACTTCAGGTCCTCGAGTGGCCTAAAAAACAGAGCCTCAAACTGCCCCCCTCCGCCCGCCTAACCCCCATTTCACCCCCAACAGAGTTGGCATATGTTACCACAGCAACAGATTAATCCTCATTAGTATTCATTGTTATTGTTATTTAATGGTAATGAGGAGGAGCCAGAGAGATGATTATTGATGAGGATATGAATTAATCTACAACCTGCACACTGATGCTGCATTTAAGAGAAGCTAGAAAGTTGGAAATTACAATAACTTTTATGCATAAAACAAACTGTGTCACATGATGATACAGTGAACCGGACTGTGGTGGATCCAGATTCTGTCCCACAGTTTATCAAAGCATATGTAGATCAAGTTCTGTGTGTGTGTGTGTGTGTGTGTGTGTGTGTGTGTGTGTGTGTGTGTGTGTGTGTGTGTGTGTGTGTGTGTGTGTGTGTGTGTGTGTAAATGTGAAATGTCATCAAACATTCACATCACAACTTTAATGAACAATAATAGACCTGTTCTACATCAGTGTGCCTGTACAGACTCATTTACATACAGAAACGCCCCCAGAATGCTGAACACGGTCAACCACATTGCTTTAGAGGTCCGAGCCTCAATGTGGAGTTACTGGTTGTGGATGAAAGAGGTTAAACAAGCTGTGCAAGAAAGCTTCCCAGCATGCATCAGGCAAAGGATTTATGGACACAAGTATCGTTTTGTCTCATTTTATATGTTTATATACTGTACAATTAGTTATTATGAGCAATAGAATAGAAATGTTTGACCAGCTGAAATGTTGCTCGTTACCAAGCTGTTGTCCAAGCTGAAAACGAACTGCGACATGTGGCTTGTCCAAAGATACATAAATAAAGATGAAGGTCATTCTACCTAATGGTAACATAAATACACACAAATCTAAAAATCTGCCATCAGAATGATTTATTGTCAACTATCACTCGTGTTGATTCTATTACTTACCTTTTTAACGATAAAAAGGTAATTTTTTGGGACTGAAATGATGCCATTAATTCATCACTGGGGCTCCATAAATGGTCTGTTATGTTTCTGTATCATTAATTTCAATTGGCTTAGCCAGTTAGATGTTCTGTTATACTGAAACTGTTGAAAGAAAGAAGGAAAAACACACAATATACATAAACAAACGTCTCTCTCATTCTAATGTATTTTTAATTCTGATCTAATTTAGGAATTCGTTAGTCTTTCATTAGACTATATTTACCACTGGAGTCTCGTTGGTCATCAAGAAATTGCTAAATTTTTTATTTTATTCATAGAAATGAGCACACGGTTGATAAATGAAGCCTCTAATGTTTGATGGCTAAAATCTACAGATAAAATCTCTCATATCATGATACAGTACATTTTCTGTACATTTATTAAACTGTTTATGGATAAAGTACAGAGAGAGGAGTGTCTTATAAAAACAAATCACTAACAAATCACTTTGATGCAAAATAAATGTTATTAAATTTATTTGTAACATTGCGAACAATTTACCATGTCACTGTAGGATAAATATTACTTTTAGCTGCTTTGTTTTCAGGGTGTTAGTATTGTACATGCTGACTCAGTGTCACAGCACTGGGACACTTCAATAGAACTTTTTTAATGCTGTTATTAATACCTGTGTCTTTCCTAATACGACAAGTCAAAATGTCTGCTGTGAAAAAGCCCTGCAGAGATCTCTGAGAATATAGACTGATTTATATCGTCTCATGATGATCGTCCTTTATTATTGATTATTGCTCAACCTGATGTCGGACTGAGCTTCAGTTTTAAAACACCCGACTTCAGCTGCTTCATGTGGAGATTTAGACCGATGACACTCACAGGAATGTAGCTCTCTGTTGTCCGAGAACAAAGCTCGTCCTCTGTGTGTGTGTGTGTGTGTGTGTGTGTGTGTTGTTGAGTCAGCAGGTGTATTAGTGCCTTCCCACCCCTCTACACACACACACACACACACACACACACACACACACACACACACAGATTCACATACTGTTGACTAAAACAGAACTTCACAAACCCTTCACAATAGATGCACATCAGACCACAGACCCCTAGGATTTTGTCAAATCTTTAAGTAGGTTTGAAAATCTTAGTCAATAAACCTTTTTCACAGCATTTCTGTCAGACAGAGTGAGGCTGCTTCTATTGTACATGTTGTTACTGTGTTACTGTTATTGTGTTAGTATCATTCAATAACACCTGCGTTTACCCCATTATTTTTAATGGCAAAATGGCTGCTGTGAAAAAGATCTATGATCAAACGTTCAACCCTATTTCTTCCCTCGTTATTCCAACTACCAAAAAACGTGATAAAAGTTAAAATATTCTGTTCCTCCTTTCGCCGGGGGTCCCCATAAAACCCACTCAATGACCCCTGTTGGTCCCTGGACCCCAGGTTAAAAACCGCTGGATTAAATCATCACTGAGGTTTTAATGTATAAACTGTTCAATGTGTGTTCAGGTTCTGGACAGTGACCGGTTGGTGTTGCAGAAGATGAAGAAAGCTGCTAAAGCCAAATACACATCAGGACAAGGTACACACACACACACACACACACACACACACACACACACACACACACACACACACACACACACACATCTTCCTGTACTAACACTGTCTCCCCCTGTCAGACCACGTGTCTCACCTGGAGCAGTACATTAATTCGATGGAGAAGCTGTCAGTCAACTGTCACTCAAACGGAGAATCCGAGGTCGGCTCTGCTTTCTGCCGACTGGCGGACTTCTCTAAAGATCTCCTCTCTCCCATGAAGAACCTGGTAAGTCATCAGTGACAGAGGTCAGAGGTCGCAACAGTTGCAGCGTCCTGTTATTCTGAAGCTGGTTTATAGCTCTGTTACCTTATTCATTAAAAGCAATCTGGGTTTTAACTAGAAATACATCTAATCTAATCTAAAATTAAACCCCAAGATTAGTGCTTAATTGTTCATACCAGACTTCCATTGGAAAAACATCCAATTAATAATTAACTAGATTAACTAGTTTATTCTGAACTCACTTGAGAAACCTGATAACTGAAAACTTCCAGTTGGTTTTTAACTGCTCATTTTAAACTCAAACTGGTAAAACTTTTGGATTTAAACCAATTCGATCTTAACTGTTGCATTCAAAATGTCCATTGGGAAAACAGTTGGATCTTAATTGATCCATTCAAAACAAATCCTCTAATTAAAAAAATACTGTTTTTTTAACTAGCTCATCCCAAACGTCATTGAGAAGGTCTCTTTTTAAAAAATCGGTTGGATCAAAAACCAGTTGTCTAATAACTGGTTCACTCTAAGCTCCGCTAATTAAAAACCCATGATTTCAGTTCACTTGTTCATTGCAAACTTAACCTTCTTAAAACCCAGTTGGCTCTGCTCATTTCCACACTTCAGTTGGAAAAATAAATTGAGTCTCAATCGCTCTGTTCCAAACTCCATTGAGAAACTCTCTAATTAAGGACCAATGATTTGTTTTTACCTGGTTCATTCCACACTTCATTCATTGGATAAAATCTCTGATTAAAAACCAGGTGGATGTGGTTGTTTGTCGCCACATTACCCATTACCACCCTTAAATCTAACTTACATCTTATATTTATTTTTGTTGACAGTGAAAGTTACTTTAATTGTATTTTTCAAGCAGATATGCAACATTTTAAAGAAGTGAAGTATTACCCATGATGCCTATCAACAGGGAATTATTTCCACCATAGATGATCTTTGTGTGTGTATGTGTGTGTGTATGTGTGTGTACGCAGTTAAAGAGCATGCTCCACAACATCAACTTCTTCCTGGACTCTCTGGTTAAAGGAGACCTAAGGGAGGTGAAGGGGGTGAGGACTTTATCTTTACTTTACATAAACAGTTCAGTGGATCCAGAATCTTGTTTCCTCCTCTGACGTTCTCCGTCTTTCTCTTTGTAGGATCTGAAGAAGCCATTTGACAAAGCATGGAGGGACTATGAGAGCAGATTGTGAGTGATGATCACACTAAATTATCTCTTATATTAAATAAGGTGTTACATACACACTAGAATCTCTATTGTTATCAGGTTTTTTGGAGTAGTTATGTGTTTGTGTATGTAAATATCACAGTTAATATATTATTTTTAGAAACCTGGATAAGCGCATTGGCAGGAAAGTAGCATTTTACTGTTGTAGCTGGTTGAGGTGGAACCAGCTTTACCTTCTTCTTATGCAGTCAAACAGTTTAATCTAGGGGTCGGGACCTTCCAGAGGGTCACAAGATAAATCTGAGGGGTCTTGAGATGCTTAATGAGGAAACCTCTGCTGAATGCTGCTTAATGGATTATAACTGACGAGTTAAAAGGACAGTGTGGAATATTTGTAATGTAATCAGTGGATTAAAAAAAACCATGAAAGGTTTAAAGTGTGTGTGTGTGTGTGTGTGTGTGTGTGTGTGTGTGTGTGTGTGTGTGTGTGTGTGTGTGTGTGTGTGTGTGTGTGTGTGTGTGTGTGTGTGCGCAGTAAACAGGTGGAGAAGGAGAAGAGGGAGTTAGCTCGGCAGTATGGGATGGTGAGGAGCGAGGTGAGCGGAGGAGAGATCGCTGAGGAGCTGGAGAAGGAGAGACGCTCCTTCCAGCTGAGCATGTGTGAGGTCAGTGAGTCCGCCTCCGTCTGTGATCCCGCCTCCTCATTCTCCTTCACCTTTACACACATCCATCACAACAAAATGTGCAGCCGTCTCTCTGTCCAATAAACAGACACCTCTCTCTCTCTCAGTATCTGATTAAGGTCAACGAGATAAAGACGAAGAGAGGAGTCGACCTGCTGCAGAACCTCATCAAACACTACCACAGCCACAACAAGTAAGAACACACACACACACACACACACACACACACACACACACACAAAAAACACACAAGGCAACATGCAGTAAACTGATATGGTTATATTTACTGTATCTCTGTGTGTGTAGTTTCCTGCAGGAGTGTGTTTCCACCACTCAGAGGTTGAAGCAGTACATGGAAGAGCTGAATGGAGTCCTGACGACGGTACGACAAGAAACAGCTGTAATGAACAGCGCGGCCTCTAGGGGACGCAAGCACACTGTTGGTGTTGTGTTTTGTTTTGTTTTTTCTTGTAGTCATTAACCAAATTTTGATTAAACAGTGTCTGTCCTGGTACATATTAATTAATCAATCATTATAATTCAATAATATAATAAATTTTTATGAAATGGGCCATTCTGCATAATGAGTACTAATCGGAGGTTTAGCTACACACTAGCCTCATAACTGCAATCACATTATCAGTAGTCAGCCAATCATATGTAAGCTTACTCTCACTCTGTACACGTGTTGCCTTTATTTCAAATTAAAAGCGCACTGTTATTACAAATAACTAAAAAAATCATCCCTCCAACTGTGTTCAAATAACCAAATTAGCTGGAAACAACTGAACGGGATTATTTTAGCCTGATAACAGCATGTTCGTCTGGATTAGTTGAGCCACAGTTGAAGAACAGCGCTCAGGTGAGCTGTTGTGTGTCTGCAGGTGAAGCAGCGTCAGGAGGAGGAGAAGAAGCAGCTTGTGTCTCTCAGAGATCAGCTGAGGCCAGTCGTCCACACAGAGCAGGTCAGAGACACAAACACTGACAGTAACATCTATAATATAGTTCAACAGGTGATTAATGTCTGTGTGTGTGTGTGTGTGTGTAGGACTCTTTACCTAAGCAGACGTACAGTATGCATCAGCTGCTGGGAGACAAACAGTACGGGACAGAAAGAACGGGATTCCTCTACAAGAAGAGTGACGGGTAAAAAATGAACAAGCACACTGACGAACACACTGAAACAGTGACCAGTGTTAAGAACAGGACTATAACTGTGTGTCTGTTTGTGTTTCAGGCTGAGGAAAATGTGGCAGAAGAGGAAATGTTCAGTGCACAACTGTTACCTGACGATTGCACACGCTACTGTGAGCTCACCTGTGTGTGTGTGTGTGTGTGTGTGTGTGTGTGTGTGTGTGTGTGTGTGTGTGTGTGTGTGTGTGTGTGTGTGTGTGTGTGTGTGTGTGATTAGATGTAACCTCCGACCTGTACTCATCTGTCTATCCTTTGGAAACTGATGTTAAAAAAATGATCTTGCACCTCAGATTATGCTTTATTGTTAACATCATGTCAGGATGATGACCTTTATTTTGTTGACAGTTTTTATTGTTTTTTCTCATGTTTTTATTCAGTTTTTAATCTTATGTCTATATTTGTTTTATACTATATATCATTATTTGTTTGTAACCGGCATTAAACCTGAATGAAATGTGTAAGTGAAGATTTCATTGATTGATCTTCTTTTCTCTCTCTCTCAGCCTAATAAACCTCCTACCAGACTAAACCTGCTCACCTGTCAAGTTAAACCCAGTGTGGAGGACAAGAAATGCTTCGACCTCATCTCTCGTAAGACACGCACACACACACACACAAACACACACACACACACACACAGAGACACACACACACACACACACACTGGAATATGATAAAGATATAAAATAATAAAACTAAAGACCCCAGATCAGTGAGCAGAAGTATAACGTGTGTGCAACCAATAGTGCAGTTTCCTGTTGTTCCAGATCACATATACAGTATATTTAAAATATTGAACTATATATATTATATTTTTGCATGATAGATACAATCAAGCATAATGTGAATATAAGTGTAAATATAGTATCAACAAATAATTATACATAGGATATTAGTTTGTAATTGAATTAAATGTTGAGATATGACCCAATAAGGGTGTTTTTTGATTGATTTAGGGCATTGTAATCACCTGCGTTACAATCAACATCAGTCATTCATTTACTCATATCTAAAACTAATGTTTTAAACATTTTAAAGTACTGTATAGTTCTTGATCCTCAGAAGTGCTGCCAGTTGTCTGTCAAAACAAGCAGGAAGGTTACCTAAATAACTCTATCTTAAAGCTCTTTAGCCTCACTGTTGCTGCCATTCATTCAGCATGTTATACTGTCTGTTACTAACTAACTAAAAGTTAATGCACACCTTACAGCCAATCAGAATCCAGAATTTTCCATGGCCACAGTATAAACACACACAGTTACATTGGATAATATATAACAGACACTTTGTCCTACAGATAATCGGACCTACCACTTCCTGGCTGAGGATGAAGCTGAATGTGTGGCGTGAGTAAAAAATAAACTTTATTCTGCTCAGCTATGGATAAAGTCCAATACTGGAAAAAAGTATTAAATGTGTTGTGTGTGTTTGTGTGTATCTGTATGTATGTGTGTGTGTGTGTGTTCAGCTGGATCTCGGTGCTCAGTAACAGTAAGCAGGAGGCTCTGAACGTGGCTCTAGACGGGGGGAGGAGAGGGGGAGGAGGTGGAGAGAGCAGCGTGGAGGATCTGACCCGGGCCATCACTGATGACATCAAACGGATGCCAGGAAACAACAACTGCTGTGACTGTGGAGCTCCAGGTAATCTCTGTCAGTCAATTAATCAGTTAATCAATTAATCAATGCATCTTTCTTGAGGAAATAAATGGCTAATTAATTAAATTAAATCAAATCTTTTCTACTGTCACTGTCACTTATCTAACAGATACTGTATGGCAATGACAATAAAGTTTAATTCTCTCTCTCTCTTTCTGTAGATCCTGGATGGCTCTCAACCAACCTGGGGATCCTGACCTGTATCGAGTGTTCAGGGATCCACAGGGAGATGGGGGTACACGTCTCCAGGATCCAATCTCTGAGCCTCGACAGTCTGGGGACCTCTGACCTGCTGGTAAGTCCGGCCTGTCCATCCTGTGGTCCTGACAGTTGAGATAGGGCAGAGAACTATTGTCAGGTTGAAGCTGCAGATTGTGTGTCATATCCATTCAGGCTGTGTCAGTGCTTCAACTATGAGTGTCCTTAAATTGTCTGTGATGAGACTGAACGGGACCACTGGCTACAGAATGGATTGGTGTCGGATTAGCTTGTTGGCTAATGAGATAAAACATGTAAATCAAACAGCTTTGTAGTTCTTTCAAGGGGGATTTCTTTGATTTTCAGTCAGCTCTGACTCGCTAGACTTACGAGATTAATTTCAGACATTAAGTCGTTTTCAACAGGCTCTAACTTTGTGCGGGGGGTGAATTTTGTTTTTTCTCTCTTCCAGTTGGCTAGAAATGTTGGTAACTCTGGTTTTAATGAAATACTGGAGGCGAACCTGCTGAGTCCGTCACTGAAGCCCTCCCAACACAGCCACATGTAAGACACACACACACACACACACACACACACACACACACACACACACACACACACACACACACCCCTTACCCTAATCTTAACCAATTGTCCCCAATTGTCCCCAACAACTGATACTATATATTTGTGCTGTATGTTCGCAGGGGGGAGCGTAAAGACTTCATCTTATCAAAGTATCAGGACGTTAATTTTGTGAGGCGGAGCCACAGCTCTCCTTCGGCGCTGCGACTCGGCCTGCAGGAGGCGACCAAAAACTGCGACATCTACAGTCTGATCCAGCTGTACGCTCAGAGGACGGAGCTGAGCCAGCCGCTGCACACACACATACAGGTACACACATACTGGTACCCACACATACAGTTATATACTGGTACGCACACATATTGGTTCATACAGGTACACACCTGTAAACAAAACATGTACACACTCAGCAGTGTTTCCTTCCCAACAGGAGAAAGGGGAAACGGCGCTCCATCTAGCGGTCCTATTGGCTGACAGGACGTCGCTGCACATCCTGGATTTCCTGGCTCAGAACTGGTCAGTCTCTGCTCTGACATTGATGTTTCGGAGTGTATTTCATCTCAGTGTGTGGTAATATGTTCACCTGTGTGTTTGTTTTTGTTCAGCTCCAACGTGGACGTGCAGACATCAGCAGGAAACACGGCGCTACACTACAGCTGTCTGCACAACAAGAGCGACTGTGTGAGACTGCTGCTGAGAGCCAGGGCCAACACGCACATCAGTAATGCATACACAACAACACACACATACATACGCTCGCCCTGCCCCCCAACCTTTACCTAAAACTAGTTCAAACTTTAACCCTGAAACAAGGTTTTTGACAAAAAAAGAAGAAGTGATAACTGACTGTCGTAGAAAATGAGGACATTGTTGTTTTGTAAAAGTGCATAAACGTTTCCTGTTGACGATAATGACAACAGAAAACATATTTGTAACATTTGTTAACTCCTTTAACAGAGAACGAGTTAGGAGAGACCGCGCTGGACATGAGCCGCAGGTTGAAGCACGGCCACTGTGAGGCGCTGGTGAGGTCCAAGTTACACTTCTCTACGTGTGACCACTGATGTCAACGTTACACTTTCTGAAACTGTGTGTGTGTTTGTGCAGCTGCAGCAGGCCCAGTCCAACCAGTTTGACCATCACGTCCATGTGGAGTACGAGTGGAGGCTTCGTCACGACGACCTCTACGACAGTGATGATGACTTTGACGACAAGGTAACCATGGTAACGGACAGCCTGCTGATATATCTGCTTAATTCCTTCTTTGTTCGAGTTTCACAACCCAGCTCTGCTATAACATTAAATATTCTTTGTCTGGTAAAGATTCTTTATTCGGTCTGTTGTGAGTATAGGGTCTATGAACTGATTGTCTGATGTAAGGACGATTGGTTAATAGTTATTATTATTATTTACTTTATTTTCTTAATTCTTGCCTTCTTAGTTGTTGTTATTTTTCTTCCTCCTTTTTTCTTTTACCAAAATGTAGTTTACCCATTTACCCCTTTTATTATAATTTAAGTAATAATTTAGTTTAGTGGTGTGACTCTTCCAGTAAACTGTCGATGAACTAACATCACTTCTCCTCTTCTGTTTCAGAATGGTCCTGTGAAGAAAGAGCGCTTCTCCCCTTCCTCGTCCTCCTCCTTCAGCTCCTCTTTCTCCTTCTCCTCCCGTCCCTTCATCTTCAGTCAGTCCACCTCCTCGTCCATGAACCCGTCCTCCTCTGGAGCAGCTGGAGGAGGTCTGCTCAGCGTGGGGAGGAGGCTCGCCATGGCTATGGAGCTCCACAGCCGGCCAGCTGGCTCTGCCTCCAGCCCCCCACCTCCTCCCCCGTCCTCCCCTGCGCCTCCGCTGCCACCGAGGGTCAAAGGTGAGCTCAGATTCTGATTGGTGTGCTTTTTTTTGGTCACATCTGTAACGTTTGGTAGATTTTTTATGTGAAACATCTGCAGAAAGTTTTGACTTTCACTGTCAGCAGCTTAACAGCAATAAAAAAACATTAATGTTGACGTTATTTGAGTCAGTTATGCTTTTGAAATTGTCAGCCTACATGGACTAATAAGACATCACATATATTGTTGCAGTGGTGAATCATTTGTCAGACAAGAACAACTTAAAGAACTTCTTACACTTATAACTATGTGGACGCTGACAAGCTCAATGAATAAAATCTGCCACAAAAAAAAACATTACCTTACTAAAACACAACTTGAGTTTTTATTCATGCTAGCAGTGATTGTAATGTCGGTTGGTTCACCACTTTGGTTCAACCTAAAATATCTCAACTATTGGATGGTTTGTCATGAAATTTTGATAAACACATTCATTCATTGTCGCCTCATCGATGAATTGTAACGACTCCGCTGTTCACCTGATCGCCATCATCAGGTCAAACATTTTATTTTATCCAATACAAACTGGTCTACTGTGCTTAAAGGTGTGTGTAACATTTAGGAGGATCTACTGTCAGAATATACATAACTATGTTTTCATTAGTTTATAATCACTTGAATATAAGAGTCAGTTTGTTACCTTAGAATGAGCTGTTATTTATCTACAGATGCAGTCGCCTTCTGTGGAGTCCGCCATGTTGAAAGTATTGCTCTAAAATCAGCAATAAAACATGAAATGGATCCCATCTTTAATCTAACTTACATGACATGAAGTCTTTTCCCTCCATAGACACATTTCAAACTGTCTCTGCAGCTAATGGCAGTGTATCTTAATGGAAAGGCCGCTTACTAAAAATATAATCGAATATACTTAAACATCTTTACTTTCTATCGTCCTCCAGCTCCCAATGTTCCTCCTCCTCCCCCTCCTGGGGGGGAAGGTGTTGGAGAGGAAGACGAAGAAGAGGGGGAGGTCTTCTTCCCCCTGACAGGGAACAGAAAGTCGACCCCTCCTCCCATCGCCGTCCGACACAAGAGGAGCTGCTCCGAGTCCAGCAAACACGGTAACATCTGAGAGACACACTGCAATTAATCTGTCAAAGTGATTGTGTGTTATTAACTCTCTGTGTGTGTGTGTGTGTGTGTGTGTGTGTGTCTCTGAAGATTACGGGTTGCCAACCAGTCCCAGGATCTACAGCGGTCCAGATTCCTCCTTTAAGAAGTGTGTGTGAGTATCTGAGACACACTGAATTTAAATATAAATTTCCATTTTATCACAATAAACACATCCAAGGGAACGAGGCTTCTGATTGGATCGTGGGGGCATGATGTCACACCTGCCCAGGTGCCAGATAGTCTGGATTTTTCATTTGTGTAGACACTTATTAGTGCTTACAGCAAACTACATAATATACAAACAATCTTCCTTAGTAGCTTTAGTGAAATCCATCAAAAGACATTTTTTTTCAAGCATATATTTATTGGATTTTCTTGTTTTTCCACAATAATAATAACACAAACATAAGCAACAGTCACATAAACAAACAAAAACAGCACAGTTCAACAAACATACAGGATATTAGAGGAAGTACACTGTTGTAGGTAAATCACAGGTTACAAGAGTTCAGGTTCAGTGGACTCCTTGTAAAATAATGTAATATAAATCAGGTCCAGGATCATTAAAATAAAGGCTGTTTGCTTTGGATTGCAGCATAGAAACCAGTTTAAATATAATTATTATAATATTTGAACCAACCATTGACAGAAGGGCCCTCCTCACTCGTCCACTGTAATAATATATTTTTTCCATATATTCTTTCTAGCAGTAGAATAATATTATTATATATTATTATAACCTTTTGATAGCTACAGTAGTGATATTCCTACTTGAGAGGGCCCTAAAACAAAGACATTGGATCCTTTTCTAAATCTCTGTCAAATATTTTATATTTTATATTTCGCAAAGTATTTCAGATCAATACATAACAATTTACAACATGACCATAGGCAGTGGTTCCCAACTGAGACTCCCACTAGGGGTTGCCAAAGCTTCATGAGGGGTTGTGAAGCCCTCTTGATTTTAAGTTAATTGTCTAATAGAACAATGACCAAGCATCAGGAACAAGAAAACACTAAATTTGTCAAAAAAGAAGCCTATTAAGTCTGTATGATTGATAAAAATGATAAAAAATACATAATACAGACAGAATTGTATAAAAACTTTACAAAACAGCAAATAATCTGCTCAAAACTGATCCAAATCACTCCTTTTACACAAACGTCTTGCAGTAACTGAATATTTAGGTTCACTGTACAGTTTTTAATTTAATATGAAATATCTATAAATTATATCACTCAGTCAGGGACTTAAACACACAATTTAAAACATCACCTGCAACAATAATCCATAACATTATACAGCAGGTGTGTGCATAAATAGATCAATCAGAAACCATACATACGACAACATGATGGTGATCACTCTGGACGCATAACTTGAAGAGCTACAACCCTCTTTACTCCCACAGCTCTGAACTGTTTCTGTTGTCTGAACTTTACATTACTTTGTTGTAACGATGCTCTTGTGCTTCCCTAACGCCTCGTCCATTGTTGCAGTTGATGGCTCCGTTGAGAGAACACACTCCTACGCCGTTTCTGTTGGACAGCAGAGAAAAAAGCTGTAGTGACAGAGAGGGTTTAACTCTTCCGAATGTAATAAACCTGTGTGACGCCCTGAGCACATAAACAGCGCGTCAGTGGAATCGGCTAGAAAAAGTCACTGATAAAAACGTATCCTCTGTTATCGCCACCTACATCACAAAGGCAGATGAGACATAAAAGCAATAATAATCATCGTGTTATCGTCTGCAGTCTAAAATACAAAAAATAAAAACAGTTACACACATGCACTTACTGTGCTCGCTGGATGGTGCATCAAAGGTCCACAGTGTGTAACATTCAGGAGGATCTATTGTCAGGAATTAAATATAATATATATAAATATTATAATATGTATAATGTATAATAACCATAATGTTTTTGTTGCCTTTGACTGAGCCATTTATAAGTGTTTTCTATATAAGATAGGTTTACCATAAAGAAACTGCCACATTGTAAAACTATATAAAGTTGACAGAAACCTCTGGTGGCTTCATCTTTACAAACCTGTGCTGTTTGTCCAAACTTTTGTTCCAACTTTATTCAGATTATATTGAGGTTGAAAATATATCAAATGTGTCTGGCTGAATTTTGGTGAGATGTGTCTAAAATGATGCAGCATGATGTGAAAGTTGAGCCTGGTTGCGTTCATTATTGAGCTTCAGTTAAAAGAAACAAAATACTTCCCCTCTAAATTTAAAGGAGCAGAAACTCAAACAACTCTTCTTCAGTTGAAATGAGAGACTGTACTGACCTCTGGTGGACTGAAGCTAAATTACATCTCCGATAATAAACCTGTCTCTCTCTCTCTCTCTCTCTGTCTGTCTGTCTGTCTGTCTGTGCAGGCCAGTGTCTCCCCTCAGCTCGCTGGCTGAACGACCTGACAGAGGTACTTCCTGTCCAGAAAGCATCCAGCTTCCTCCTCTCGGATCAATGTCTGTTTTATCTGTTTGGAGTCTGATGAATCCATCATGTGTGACTGGAGCTTAAACCAGTGGAGGACAAATAGCAGAGAAATGAGAGAGTTAGATTGTAAACTCTAGTTTTAACAGTATTTATTATATTATATATATTATATACGATATCTTTTTTCTACTTTATCGTAGTCGGTTGATTAATTATTTGATCAAGAGAAAGAAAATTAATTGCCAATTATCATCATTATCATAGTCATTTTTAAAGCAAAAATACCAAATATTGATGACTTCACTGATGTAAGAACTGAAGTGAAAGTTAAAAGACAAATTTTAACTGTCACTTGAACTTTGGGAAACTGCGTTGAACATTTTTACTCTTTTGTGACAATTTTATAGACTAAATCCATTTAATTGGAAGACAATCTGATGATTAATCAATAATGGAAATAATTGTTGGTTGCCTTACTTTATTTCAGTTTCTTATACTGGATCATTTTTGAACTCCTATGTTATTCTTCAGGTCTTCTTTTCTTTTGTTGTAAAGTAAATATCTTTAGTCCTCTCTCTCTCTCTCTCTCTTTATATATATATGTATATTTATATAAAATGTAGAAAAATGATCATGTATATAAAACAAAAATCTAAATCTGTTATGGTATAATAAAAAAGGGAAATCTCCCCCAAAATTAAAAATAATAAATTACATAAATACTTTATTTATTAAAATGGCCGACCTCTTTTCATCTATTATATACTTCTAAAAGTTGTGTTTACCTTTTATAATGCAACTTCACATTTAAATCATTAACTCCACCACTTTTAATTCCACTTCTAATTCTGTAGGTTATTCTCTCCATTATTAAAATTCAGTTTGTTTTGTTAATTTCCAGTTTGAAGAAAAGGTTTTAACTTGTTATTTGTTTCATAGTTGCACTTTTGAGTATCCTGTAAAAGTATTGGTTTATTTCTAGAATTAGCTCTGGTTACTTCAAAAGTAAGACATTTGAGCTCAAATGCTTTCATAAGTTTAAGGGTTAAAGTTATAACTGATCATCTTTGTGCCGCAGCTTCTCCAGTCTGATTTAACCAATATAGTAAATTGTTGAAAATTGAATTTATTAGTCATTACTCTTTGAAAAAGTAATATACAGTAATTAGTTACACTACTAATTATATTACTTTTCTGCTACTCACACAGACATTTGGTTATTGTGTTCCATCTCCCCAAAATTCTGATCTATGACAATTAAAATCCAGTTTTGTTTGTTAAAATCAAAGTAATTAGATATTACCAGCTGCTGAATGTAAACATTTCCATCTTCCAAACTACTTTTCTCTACGAATACAAAAATGAATCCAAGGATGTGATTGGATTGTTGGATTTTAAATAGGTAGGGGGGTGACAACAAAAGTAAGGTTGTAACAAAGCCTTTTTTGAGAGGTAACTGTAATTTAATTGCTGAAATGTATTAGTAAGTAGTAACACTACTAGTGACTGGGGAAAGTAACATTATTACTGTAATATAATTACTAATAATAAGTTACTGCCCAACACTTCCAATCCAATAATGAGTGAGAATATCTGATTATCATCCTGTTCTTCTACAATGTACATATTCCTAAACAACTTTAAAAATGTAAATATTTACATTATTTGTTTCTCTTTCTCTGAGGTTTTCGGAGGGCAGACAGTGACGGTAGCTCCTCCCACTTCCTGTTCCCTGCCAGTAAAGCCCCGCCCAACGGGTCTCCCACCAGTCAGCGCTCCCAGAGCTTCGAGAGTGACAGAAGAGGCCCCGCCCCCCAGCCGCTTCCTCGCAGATCATTGGTGAGATCTTCAAAGCAACCGCAGAGAATCGCCATTGAACCCCCTAGAGACCGCATCTCTTAACGCACCTTAGCAACAGCCCTCCACAGCCTAGCAACACCACGTAGTAACCACATGCTAATGCCTTAGCAACCATGTAGCAACACCTTGGAGACAAAAAGTGATGAAATGTAACTAAGTACATTTACTTAAGTACAATTTAAGAAACTTGTTCTTTAATTGAGTAATTACATTTTTGTGACTTTATAATTCTACTCAGCTACATTTCAGATATTGTACTGTATAAATTATTGTATAATATTGTACTTTCTTTCTTCACTACATTTATTTGATAGCTTTAATTACTTGTTACTTTGCATATTAAGATCATTAATACAAAATATAAATCAACTAATTAATTCTAGTTTATATATGTATATATTACTTTCATATATAAAAAAACTTAAAATATATAACACACTCTGATATTTTACTTTTGTTACTTGAAGTATACTTTGGTGTTAATACCTTAGTACTTTACTCAAGTGAGGTTTTGATCTTTTACTTGTATTTTTAGTTTACTGCAAAACATACATTTTTGTTGCCACCTACTTACATTTGCTCGAACAGTGAGCATATTTTCTTTACTCACTTAATCCTTTTCTAATAAGTAGTAATATTTATTAGTATTACTATAATTTTTTCAGTATTATTTATTATTATTCTGCATTTTTAAGTATTATTATGTCAATCAGCCTCGGGGTACAACAAGCCGTCGTGTTGAGGCGCTGTACGACTGCCAGGCCGACCACCACGATGAGCTGAGCTTCTCTGAGGGACAGGTGCTGGTGGTCCTGGGCCAGGAGGACAGTGATTGGTGGGTACGTATCATCCTCCTGACCTCTGATTGGTTCTCCACCGGTGGGTCGAAGCTGTCCCGCTAGCTATTGAATGTAGCTCAGCGGTTTAACCTCAATATTTGACCCCTTTTTTCATGACGTGTGTGTGTGTGTGTGTGTGTGTGTGTGTGTGTGTGTGTGTGTGTGTGTGTGTGTGTGTGTGTGTGTGTGTGTGTGTATGCAGCATGGTTACATAGAGGATGAACCGGAACGGAGAGGTTTGTTTCCATCCTCCTTCGTCCAGCTGCTCTCAGACTGACATGAATCTGGACAAGACCAGACCAGACCAGGACAGGTGCAGACCCCTGGACCAGGACAGGTGCAGACCCCTGGACCAGTTCAGATCCAGACCACATCAGTCACCCGGGAGGACCAGAACCTGGAGCTCAGGAGAACCAAACCAGATCAGGCTTTCAGGTTATTGTCCTTCTCCACCTCTCGGGACTTGACTGATCTGGTCCTGACCAGCTCCAGCATCCTGTGACCTCACAAGATCCTGGTCCAGCCACAGTTCCTGTTGTCAACCATGTTGTCGTAGCAACCAGCTTTTCTTATGCCTTCTGTTACCATGGAAACGTTACAGATGATCTTTCAGTGAAGAATCTAGACCGGACTAGATCTTTATGTGGCTTGGGTTATGTGGTAACGTTGCCATGGAGACAGCCTCACACAGACCAGATCAGATCAGCGAGGATTCAAGGTTGATGTTGACGATACTTGTATTTATTTATTTATTTATTTAAGATTGAAAATATTTTATTAAGCACAAAGATAACGGCAGGTTACTTCAAAATAAAACAATCCACTGGACTTTTATTTTGAAGTCAACTGAACAACTTTTCTCTGTTCTATTTTATTCGAATGTATTTATTGTTATTGATCCGGTGAAGATGCCACCACACAAGCCGCTCCTCTTCTATTTCATGCTCCGCCTCCTTGGTGGAGTGGGGCTTTAAAAGGTCCAACCCGTGACCAGAGCACAAAGGATTGTGGGATACTGAAGACCAAAGGATAAATACCAGGGGCACGTTCAGTCTGTTACAGTTTCCAGGTTGAAAGAAGTTTCCTCAGAACGGTGTGCAATGCTTTGAGGAGTGTTTCATCTCGTTTGGTGCAGCAAACCTGTACTTACGTTTATTTAAATGCACTGTTTCCGTTTAAATTAGGGATGTCATCAACCCTCTCCACTGTCTCTCTCCACTCTGCTGTGTGTGTGTGTGTGTGTGTGTGTGTGTGTGGGAGCTCACAGACGAGACGGACAGTGGAGAGACGCACACTCACCACGCCACTACAAGTGGAACTACAGCCCCGCGAACAAAAAGCAAATAAGCAACTTGTAATCCATGAAAAAATAAACACTCAGCAGAATATAGTTCATTCAGGTAACTGCACTGAAGCAACAAACACTACAGGACACTTTTAAAGGCAGAGAGATAGTTTGTTAGGCTGTTTTATAGCCTACTTTGTTATTCAGTAAAGTATAAAAAAAAACATTAAGAAGCAGCTTAAGCTTTTCTTAAAGCAATGCAGATCTATTCACCTGTATTATAGTATAGTAAGTATTGCATCACGACTTGGTATCAGCAGATACTCAATATCTGCTGATACAAAAAAAAGAGGCAAAAAACTTGGTGACATCCATATTTTTTTACCGTAGTATCAAATCGGTATCGAGAATCGTGGCATTTCACTAGTATTGGTATCGACTAAATGTCTGTTGCTGTGACAAAAATAGATATTTGCGGCGGCTGAACGTGCCCCAGTTCTCTCTAAATTCAGGTAACATCAGTCGGTCTGTAAACGTGGGCAACAGAGGAGGCGGAGCCTGAAATGTGACACAGCTTCGATGTCACAGGATATCAACGCCTCAATGAGTAAGTACGGCAGCGTATTGCTGCCACTATTAGAAAAATACATTTTAATCAAGTTTCTTGTTAAAACAAAAAGACATTTTTCATGCTTCATGCGTTCATCTTGTAATCACTACATACCAAATAATTCTGTTTTAACCAGAAACGTCTATGTAACTTATTACTTAATCACCTTTCTACAGTAACATGACTTACAACCTCTGCAAACTGAGCTGATTGTTTTTCATCATGGTGGCAGCAATACTCTCCCACGAGGAAGAACTTTTATAGACAAATCAAATTTCAAATTTGTCAGTCGAACTTTTCTCATTTGAGTTTGATTGTGTCAACATTTACCTCCAGAGTTCATGATAGAAAACAGCCCTCTTGAATTTCTTTATTTTTTTTATTTCATTCAAAGTGACAGTGGTGGGTTTATGTTGTTTTGAAATATCACAGTGCTTCTGTCTGTTTGGTAACTATGAATGAATGAATGAATGAATGAATGAACTTGTGATCAGCAGGTTGTTTGTTAAGTGAAACCAACATTTTCTTTCTGTTTTATCATAGTCACAGTTTAAAGATTATGAGCTGAATTAAAGCTATGATAACTGAACATACATCACACATACATCTTGTTTGGTCAGTGGATGTCGCTCTGCTCTAAATCTACAGATCACTGACAGTCATTTGTGGTGGTATTACCAGCAGCTTGATTTGATTAAATTTGCACCTTCCTGCATTCTTCACAGAAATTCTCTCAAAATTTCCAGGCTGCAGGGAATCTAAAAAGCACAACTTTGGATTTATACTCACAACAAACAAAATCTTTTTACTATAACTTAGTCTGCAAATTCCAAAACCTGGCATCCAGACATCCAGCTCAGGTCTCCAGAGGACTGCTGCTCTGTCATTTAGTGGCTGAAAGTTCCTCATAAAGTGGATAATTTCCCAATTTCCCAGCAGGAAGTTTTCCCGAAGAAGCCAACAAAGTGTTAAATCTCAGCAATGAACAGGAACTATAAAAAAACAAGCAGCAGATGTTTCCGATTAAACCGCAGCTTAAGATGACTCAGCAGTCGGGTTGCAAGAGAACTTGTGGCTTGTTCCAGACAAACAGGGTTAAACTGTAAAGTGCAGCTGAGCTAATGACAGAGCAACAGCCTCCAGATGATTCAGCATTTATGATTATTTATAGAGGCTTCAGTCTGCTTCAGACTAAGTGCCTGTGGGATCATCTAACAGCGTCTGAAACCTCCCTCTCCGACAGCTGCAGTCTTTGTCACTTCGAGGAGAGACTGTGCGCCGTTATCCGCATTTGTACCATTCAGGAGTACAAAGACAAAGAGTAGTTGGACAGAGCTCAGGGTGACGGTGGGATGCAGCCAGGAGGAGTCTGCAAGCCTTTTCACTCTGCTTTCCAGGTTGGCTGTTTCGGAACAACTATAAATACTTTGGCCTTCTGACGTGGTTAAAGAACACTTCTACAAACTACTTCTTTTCTAGCCCTCAGACATTGTACCAGCACGTTTGTTTGAAGCAGACTGAGCTCTTGACTTAACGATTTCACACTGGCAGATTGGTCTGAATCTGGAAACAGATCGACAAAGTTTGGGATATGTCAACAGTTTTACAGATCCCATAGTCGACCTGAAAGTGGTAGTCTCAGCACTGTACTGCTCAGTCAAAAGCCAATTTGAAGTCCCACTGGAAACCTCAAATCCACATCCTCCATTAACAAGAAAACAAGAGAGATAAGAAAGCTACAGTTTTATAGCGTACTGCCAATCAGAACAATAAACAACTAAAAGCACAGCTAGATCCACCAGGGGGCAGATCAGGGCTTAATTATTGCTTGGTAATACCAGATTATCTTTCTTTAAAAAAATCAAAACAATGCACAAATTAATCTCGTCTAACTTTCATTGAGATTGTGGATGCATTAAGTCCATAAATCTGTTACTTTTTCCTTCAAGGAAAAAGTAACATTTGCTAACGTTACTGGAAAAGACAAGGTGCTGCTTACTAGTGCAACAGGTCAAGCAGCTAAATCAGCTTTTGAAGAACTGATCACTGACAAATGTGTTTTAACAGAGTAGACATCTGTGTTAACTTTGAAAGTAAAATATATTTGTTGTATAATATAATAAGGCAAAAACCAGTTAAAAAGGGATGTTCGAAAGCAAAACTATGATTGACAGTTGATGTGTAGCGTTAATCAAAGGCACATACAACCAGTGGGAGGAACACAAGATTTGCTGAGCAGCCATCGGTTAGCTGAAATAAAAAGGGAGGGAGGTACGATCAAACTCAGATTCAGACTCAAACTAACTCTGTGTGAAAACGTCCGCATTGTAATGAAGCCACAAATATTCAGACAACTTATGACTGACAATCAGCAACAGTTTTACATTTACACTACAGGTGTGACAGCACTCTGCACACTGTTATCTACCATTAACAGAAGGTCCAGCTGACTGACTCCTCTGCTACCCGCTGGACTGGTCAGTCTCTTCATTTATATGGTTGGTTATTTTTGGTTGGACTTTAGTACATTGCACTACATCTTCTATTCGTTCATGCACTGCACACACTGGGGATGTTACTGATTGTTTGACTTTGTTCTTGTTAAGTTTTATTTAATAAATCTTTAGTTAAAAGTCGTGCAGTCTTTGTGACTCCCATCAGCTGAGCTCTGACTCATAGGAGTTAAATCACGTCTGTCCACGAAGTTCAACAGTCTGCAGCTTTAATCTTAAATTATGTTGTAAAATTTGACTTATTAACTCTGTTTATTGTAAGCTGAAATGTTTTACAAACAATTAGTATTAAATACCAATAAAATATTTCTGTTTGACAGTTTGTGAATTCGGCTGCAGACTGTCGAACACATGGAGACACAGGCTGAGAACTTCACACAGGCTCCTCCCACTCACTGCCTCCAGCTCCATATATGGCAAAGACAGGAAGTATCATTGGTGACCTGAAGATAACTTTTTTGTTTCCAGTTTCAGTCAGTCAGGACAGAAACAGATCAGGACGGTTTAAGATTCAGTTAAAATAAATGGATTATAAATGATATAAAATACAAAAAGTCTCATAATGTGGTTGGACTGAGAAGCAACAACTGGGCCTCTTTGTGCCGTTTCTTCTAAAGGGCAAAGTGCTTTGATAAAAAAAAAAAAAAGAAGAGGTTATCCCTTTATACTGTCTATAAAATCCAATACAAAATATATAAACAGTCTGTGGTTTTTCCCACTCAGAGCAAAACTTGTGTGGTTGATCCTCGCAGTCACAGACAGCAGGACGGTTTGTCTGTTTAAACAGTGGAGGGTCCCGAAACACAGTCTGTGTGTGTTGAGCTGGAAATCATTCAAGTCTGCACAGGGAGGGTATCTGAGCCACTACCCACCAGGTGGAGGTAGCGCCTTTAGCTCCTTCCACCCTCGAACAATCTGTCCACAGGTTATCCATGTATGTAAAAATGTCTCTGCCCAACAGCGGCTTCAATCCAGCACAACCTGGGTGTCTGACTTAAGGCAGGCGTGATGATTGACGTGCAAGAAGTACACAGGTCTGATTCCCGTCCAAATCCCCTAATAACAAGCCAAATCTGGCAGCCATACGCGGTCCAGAGTCGGCTAAAATTTGGTTTTTCAGTGCGAGAGGACATCCGAGTGTCACAATCAGACCGACTCAGCTGGATATCAGACGACATGTAGCTGGTTCTTGGTCTCAATAATTAAGTGGCGAATGATCTGCTGGTCAGTAAGAGATCAGTCTGTGGGTCAGTCAGCATGTCTGTGGGTCTGTCCATCAGTCTGTGGGTCAGTGGTCGTGTCACAGGTGCAGACTGATCTTGCCCTCCTTGGCGAGTTGGTGGATGACCTGCGTTTCGAAGTCGGCACTGTGGACACCGGTCTTCCTGAAGGCTCCGGCATAGCGATTCTCCTCCCAGTAGTGGTGCCAGTTCCCCTGCTTGTCGGCACCATAACCGAACACAGACACCTGAACACAGACAGGAAGCGATGCCATGACACACCGCAATGCAATATACTGTGACACACATAACCAAGTATGACATACTGTGCTGTATTTAACAGCAACTTGTGAAGACTAACTCTGATATTTATCTTTCTGTTCTGATGATGCATTTAAGAGCCCATTTGCATTTGGAAATATCTCCCTATCAGAGTATCCCTGAATGCACCACGAGGTCCAGGGACAAAAATAATTAAACATGGATATGAAAGCAATGTTAATTTGGTCCCTGAATGCACCAACAGGACAGGTTTTCTCAACTGTCTCTGCTCTCTGCTGCATTACTAACTGAAGTTTGACAGAAACATTAACTTGACTTAATGTCGTGTCAGAGGTGACGAAACAGACTCCGCCCCCCTCGCCTTCCTACCTGGTCACAGGCGTGCAGAGCGAAGATGATGGCCAGCATGCCGGTGGACGGGTAGCGACCGTGACGCTCGGTCCAACGATCATTAACATACTTAAAGAACACCGGGTTCACCACCAGGACCTACACACACACACACACACACACACACACACACACACACACACACACACACACACACACACACACACACACACACACACACACACACACACACACACACACACACACACACACACACACACAGTGTTACCATGGTAACAATTACGTGAGTTATGATTGAGTACATAAATAATCGGAAAGACTTTTCTTTTCTTCACCATTACTGAGGTATTTCATTTAAATGAATTAAATATTTTAGGTTCAACTTTATGAATAGAGTAGTTAAAGGAAGAAAATGTATTAAAGAATAAAGGTATTTGTTCTATGATCAGTCAAAAAATACACCGAAGGTTAAGAGCAGATGTCAAAACTTCCTCAGAACAAAAAGAGGAAGTAAAAACTGATTATAATAATAATAAAGTGTGAACAGTGTGATGTGAGAGAGCACGATGAAGCTTGTATTTTACCTTGTCTTTATCAGCCTCCACTCGGTCTTTAACCCTCATGTAGGTCCTGCACACACAGAAATAATAACTGCTCATAATCAAGTATTTCATTTTAGAATCAACAATACTTCACATTTACCTTTATCCATTTGCATGTATGTATATTAATGTATACACTACATGTTTAACAGTTTAGTTCACATTTTGTCCTGTCTGATGTAAATGTTTCACATGTTAATGTTAATATTTAGGCATATTGTTTAGTATATAAACAAGTATATTATCTGTGTACATAACCAAAAATATATCAAGTTTTTACTACACCTTTCAATCTGTGAGGAATGTATTTATCTGTTGTATGTTTACGTTAGTATTTTTATGCATAATATATAAGTCACTCTTTTCTATTGGGTGTAAATTCATATTGAAGTACGTGTCTTTGTTCGTAGTAAACACAACATTTCTGTACAATATTAATTATATATATATATATATAACAAGTACTGACGCTGTATTTGTATTTTAACCCTAACCCTAACTCCCTAGTCATAAAACCAGCGGACAAGGGAAGTGCCATAGTTATAATGGACAGAGCCCAATACATAGGAGGAAGCAACCCGGCAACTTAGCAACCAGGAACATTACAGTACATTAAACCAGCCCTTTACGTTCATGCATGAATCGAGCAAACGGATATGCAGAAATTACTCTAATATGTTGTAATATGCATGCAAGGCCAGTAGGTGGCGGTGTAACAGTTTTTTTACTTTGTTATGTCTACATCTTTTGGTAGTCCAAAAATTTAGTATTTGGCGGATGTATGTTGTTAATTCAAAGCCTGCAGCACTAACACGGGTTGATAGTCCTCCATTGTTGTCTTCTCTTTGTACACGAATATTTGACTGGAAATTTAATAGTCCTGTGCGAAGTGAAGCTGTGACGTTTTCAAAAGGTTACGCTCTGGAACCTGGCTTCAAAAGTTTGTGTTTTGAGGCCCCAAAATGGCGTTGTCATGAGAACCAAAGGCCAAACCGCAACAAAAGTTTACCATTTTATGCAAAAAACGTTAGACTACATTAGTTTTAGCTACATGGACCTAATAAACTTTGCTAAATATTTCATACATTTTGACGTTGCCGGTGGACAGCGCACTGGTCAGCCACTCCAAGTCTCTCAGTTTGAAAGGCAGGAGGACGAGGCTGACGCCACGTCCAACGTCCACCGCGCTCTCTGGGTACAGGAAGTGATGCGTCGTCCGATTCCCAACGTCTTTCTCAAATCCTCGAGTCACCGCCTTGTTCATCCTGTGGAGGAGAAAGGTGAGGAAGATGAACAGGAGGAATATGGGAAGGGTATGGCGAGTGTGTGCTTGTACTTGGACATACATACCGAATTATGAAGTCGTGGGAGTTGATCAGGTCACCGTTTCCCGACCGTCGCAGGTTCCCAGAGTTGCCGACCACGGCACACCTACGGCAGTGGTAGGGGAGGGGCCTGAAGTCAACAGTGGGTGGGGAGATGACCTGGAACATCTTTGCCATCACTTCCTCCAAAGTCTGGTCATTACCGGACCGCTGAAGACCCTGTGGAGGATGTCAGGTTGTTTTTAATGTAGCTAGTTTAGCTTTAGTTTAACTATAATACTTCCCAACAGCTATAAAAGCATTTTTACATTCATATTCTTGTTTAATGCTGTGGACAGTTTCTGCATGTTTTTACATTTACAGTTTAACTACAGCACTACACACACACACACACCCACACACCCACACCCACACTATATACAGTAAACTGTGGATCAGACTGATGATGTTGGCAGTATTTCTACCCCCACCGCCCCCCTTTAATCTACTAATGGTTTCTGCAGCAGAACTCAATCTGTAAATGCAGTAAAGAGTCAGATGTTCTACTCTTCATTCAGACTGCAGACAGTTTCGACGGGAAAAAAACAACTTTAAGACTTTACATTTTGATTTTATGAAAATACCTATTTTCATCAGTGGTCCTGACTATTAACTGAAGCACATTATATGACCATAATGCGGTTTATTACACATTCTCTTTGGTCTTCTGGGATTCAGCTGATTTAACAATTCTCAGTGTTCATACATCAATTCAGTGCTGTCAGGTCACTTCCAGCCTGCCATTAATTCCTGTTCAGGGACTCACACTTTCTTACTGCACCACAGTCAAGGAAGCAAAACATAACACCTGGAAATCTTACAAGATTTTTCAAAACAATTCATTTTAATGACCTAACCGTAATTGTAAAGTACCAATATTGACATTATGGTTATCTGCAGTTTAATCGCTGATTGTAGAATAAAATAATATTAGTACAGGAAATAATAGGATTTAGGTTTATAATGATTTTATCCAACAGTGGCTTTTAGGTACTTGTGGTAAAGCTGCAGTGATTAATAAAATCTCACACACTTATTTTTGGATTTATGCAGATTAACTTGAAAAAAGTATACCAGTTAAAGTAAAATAAATTGTTTATTACCTGAATTATTTTAATGGTAATAACGTATGTTAAGCTTAGACCCACAGACTGACTCAAAGAGTGAATTCTGAAGGTCAAACTAAACTTATTTCAGTGAATAAAACCTTGATAATGTTTGTGATAATGACTTTTTAACTTCGATTTCAAACCTCCGGCTGGTGAATCATCATGCATATTAAAAACTGCATTATTTCTGCTATTTGTCCTCACCAGCCACCATCTGAGCGCTTCAGGGTCAAAGTTGTTGTTGGTATCTCGGAGGACAGGCTGCTGTTTGTGGTCGTAGCGTTGGCTGAACCAGTCTGACCCCCCCAGGTCTGAAATACAGGACTCTTTACAACCACATGACCTGAAACAAGACAACACAGAGGAGTCAGACAGTGACAGGGAATCATGGGATATGCAGAACTGAGTCTGGGACCTTCAGTGTCTTACCTCTGGTCATACTGTGAGTACTCTAAAGGCTCCTCCTCGGATTCAGGTTCGGCGGTGCTGGAAGGAGATGGGGTCTGGGGAGGGTCAGGGGTCAGAAGAGAAGGAGGCCCCGTGCGTTCAACAACTGTAAACACAAACAGATTAAGAGTCAGAGAACATTGCATCATGGGAGCTCTCCTTAAACTGTTAGCTACTATTATCCTAATAGAACTGCTACTACTAAATACTTTTGCTACTAAATGTGTTATTGCTACTACTACTGTTTCGTTTACAGTAGCACGACACAGTTAGTTTGGTGAATATTGATGAAAACGGTCGTAGAAAAACTGTTACAGCTCCTTCGGCCAATTTTTGGCAGTTTTCAAAGATAACAAGTCGAACCTCGCTGCTAAATTGTGTCACACTTTCTGTTTCTGGGATTTTTTTTCCTTTACCCCAGTGATGACGACATCAGCTCCTCACCTGTCTCCCTGTCGGTGGGCGTGGCCCGGCTGATGGGCAGGGCTAATGACAGAGGCAGTAAATGTCTCCTTTGGATGCTCTGACTGGCGAGCATGAGGAAGAGGATGGCAGCGATCACCAGGGCAACGCACAGCTTCCTCCTCAACAACATGGCTGGACGGACGATGAGCGAGCGGTGGCGGGACGTGATGAGCTGTTATCCGTTCAGCCTGCTATGTCAGCATATTTGGACTGTGACGTCTGTTGTCATCTGGACATTTTCCCCTGTTCTGTCATCTCTCCACTCAGCTTTATCTCCATGAAGCCTGAGTGTGAAACCTCCTGTGCTGTGAACCACGCTGCTTCCAATTGATGGAGACTGGATTTGTGGTCACACCTGGGTCAGACAGACAGACAGACAGACGCAGCGGCATCAGTGTCATCTAAAATCAACGGATTACGTTAAAACTATTATATAACTACAATTCCTTACTTCATAATATATTACAGATTTTAATTTGTGTAAAAACCCTACATTTCCACCTGTAGATCCACACATTCATTAAAAAAGTGGAACCAGTCTTGATGTTGGCTGCCTGCTCAGTGACAGTCAATCATCCTGTACAGACGGAATAAAGTCAGCTGGATGACTAAACAGACTTATTATCTATTTATTGTTTGCTTCAAGGAAACTCTGGGTTTTACGCAGTTGCAGTTATCCAGATACCTGCCAACTCAGTAATTCTACATTGAGAGACACATTCATTATCTATAACACACTAATTATCTGACAGACGAACTAATTATGTTAAACAAAACAAAAGACAAATGACCCACAACCAACTTATTACCTACAACAACATAACCATTAGGGTCAAACTATTTATCAAACATGTCAAATTATCTTCAGCAAGATAATCATCAATATCAAACACAAATCTTCAATAACAAATGAACTTTTCATTAAAAACTATAATTTTCTAAACAATTACCAAATATACAACAAACACACTAATTATTTAATTATTATTATTTAGTATAATAAAGTTAATCTTATAACAAAAAAAGTATAGATAACAATTTATGTCCAACAAAAATGATCAAATTATTTATAAAAATATAAAAAACTATTCTGATATTTCGATTGTTAGTTATTTCCCAACAATCTAATTAAAAAACATAAACTAAACAAACTATTTATCACTTACTAATTATAAGTTACAAATTATGTATAGCAAACTAAGTATTACTATTCATTAAGAAAATATTTATAACAAAGTAATTATCCATAACAAACTGATTTACCAGAGCTTCTGTTCACTCTGAACAACAACAGAACAAACAATCAGAACCAGAAAACAACAACAATAACAACAACAATAAGGTTCAACACAAAGAACAATAACCCGTATTGTATTATAACCAAACAGGTTGTTGTAGATGATATCTACAACAACAAACACACTGCCTTCTACCTTGAAAAGCAGGAAGAGAGAGACATTTTAATTTTTGCTGATGAATGGAGTCACCCTCTCCCTCTCCCCCTCCTCTTCCTCCCACACCACACCTCCCCTCTCCTCCTGCAGGAATGTCTCCCTGCAGACAGAATAGTCTCTGAATACCAATCAGATCTGGATTCAGTTCAGGTTCTCCTGTTTCAGCTCTCGCTCCGTTCCTGTCTGCTTCACTCTCTCCCTTAGTGTGTGTGTGTGTGTAGTTTGAATCAGCTGACCTGTATGTGTGTGTTTCTTCACTACAGTTTTGTAAGTGATTTATTTCATAATGTTTGTTGTAACAGGTTCACACACACACACACACACACACACACACACACACACACACACACACACACACACACACACACACACACACACACACACACACACACACACACACACACACACACACACACACACACACACACACACACACACACACACACAGTGCTAATAGTATTACTTTTCCTTCTACTAGCAGCACTTAAGCTCCTTTCAGACCTCGTTACATAAAAATTTCACATCTCACATCTGAATAAACTTTAAAGTAAAAGTCCAGACGTAAATCTGACAAAGTTGAACCTGTAACATTTCTGTAGCACTTAAACTGGACTCAAGTCTGAACTGCATGTGTCACATTAACACAAAGGCACAGCAGCACGAGGTTCAATATACAGAGAGATTAAATACGTGTCATTTACTCCCTGATTAGGTCCACTGTAATGAATTTCTCACTTATCTCCCGTGTACGCAACACTGTTATCTTGAGACCACATGTTAATCCATCTCATTATCTCGAGAAAACAAAAGGCCAATTGATTGAGATAACGAGATAATTCATCACGCAAAAATTACTTTTGATAATTAACTCGAAAATTAGTGTCGGGTTCATGTTTTCCACACCTGATTTCAGCCTTTTTGTCATGACTGTCGGGGAGGACTCAGAACTGAAAATAATCATGACCAAAATGTACACCTGAGAATTAATTTAAGCTGTTAATATCCTGGTAATGTGAATATTGACAAAATATATCAGGAACATATTGAGATTTATGAAATGAAAAGATCCCAAAATTAATTATTAACTGGCTCGTTGCACATCATTCCTCCATGCATTGTCCATTATGTTGAACATCTATAATACGCCATGTATGCACGCTGGCATGGCCCTCTTGATCTCTGATAAACATTATTATATTATATATCATAATTATTATATATTCATGTTATATTTTGATGCAGATATAAATTTTAACCTTGCTTGGTGTGATTTAACACTATTACCTACTGTATCTCACCTGGGGTTAGCTCAGACTCTGATGTACAACAATTAACATACATGTACTTTAAATTCTAGAGATTTTTAACTTGGAATGGAACAAGACTCTCGTAACTCTTTATTGACTATTTTGAAATAACAGCAGCACTTTTATTTGTGCTTATTATTATTATTATTATTATTTTTATTATTATTATAAGCTTGCCATATACTGCATGAAAGTAGTAGTTTAAGTGACTTAGAGATTTCCTTCACGTTGGATCAGTCTGAAAAAAGATTTTTTTTCTTTTTGTTTTGCACACAAAAGGCTCTTTCTGTCTCTCTCTTTATGCCTGAATAAAGACAGAAACAACAATTACAGACATACACCTCTGACTGAATGAAAAAACAGTACTGTAACAGAGAGATGAAGACAAAAATGTTCTGTATTTCCTGTCTCGAATAGGCTCAATACCTGTGTAACCATTTGTAGAACCACTGTAACTACTACCGCACTCCTACCTAACCAACTAACTGTGATTTTGGAAAACAAGAGCAGAGGAGACGAGTCCGGACAGATACTGATTAACGAATCAACATATTTGTTCTTGTTATTTGTATTCTCCCCAGGCAGGGTGGGAGGGGCAACGCTCTCATGAGAAAAGCTGGGAAAAGTTTTTTGACAGGAAGATAAGCTCCTGTATTTACAGGTTAACACAGAGCATAACTGTGGGCCATGTTTACTGTGCAAATCTGTCCTGGAACAAAGGACTTAAACACAGAAGCAGTTCAGAACAAACTGATCAGCTGGACATTTGATCTGTCCACACAGGAAACAGGGGCACATGGATCAATAGCTCTGTTAAAAAATTCATTCTGCGCCCCGGTAGCTCACCTGAAAGTGCTCAAGTCCTTACCACAGCAGCTTGGGTTCGATTCCAGCTGCACATCACCCCCCTCCTCTCTCTGCCCCCTTTCCTGTCTCTCACCAGCTGTCACTATATAAATAAAGCTGAAATGCCACAAAAAGGCAAATAAAAAACACCCAAATTAAATAATTAGAATAAATATTAGGTCCATAACATATTGATAAACGGAGTAGTGAAGTGTGAGGAGTTATTTGAGGCGTACGTTAACACTCATATATATTTTCTCTTAAGAATAGTTTTATATAAATGTTACTAACAGCTTTATTCTGACATAATAAGACTGGAATCATCAGTCAAGAAGCTCTCAGAGTCCAGAATCACTGCAGTTTAATTATCTAACTACAAAACTGTAATGGAAACTGAGGGCAGAGTAATGCAGAGCAGCGTGACTCGTTTCTGTTCGCTGCCTCGCAGTCAGCTAAACTACTTTTCTGCCGTTCAGTGTCATTAACTCTTCGGCTGACAGTGCTTTCAGCAGCAGGAGAAACGCTCCCAACACTTTTTGTTTCTTTGACTGTGTGGAAATCTGATGTTTTCACGTCACAGATGATGATAAAAAGACAATAAAACACAAGTACTGACTTGTAGGAGTTTGGTGACGCTATATCTCAAAACCTTGTTGGTGTATTTGATGAGATGTAGCATCAGGAATCCCGATCTGATCAGAGTGTTTCCATAACTGTCTATACTGTAGACAGGTACTTGCTACCATTTTGAAAAAAAAAGTGCCCAAACACTAAATATAATATGAATATTAAAACTATTTAACAATGAATAGTGTGAAACCCACCATTCTCTCATTGGGCTAACTTCTAGTCAATGAAATAATAGTGAAATTAACATATTCCCCATTTTCCTGGGGACCCCTTCAAGGACCCAGTTTGAGGACCACTGAATCAAAATAAATGAAATGAGAATTTACAGTACTAAATACATGGTTACCCATTCAGACTGACAACAAAGTAAGAGACAGACAGGGACAGAGAGAGAGACAGTGGAGGGTTAATGACTATCAGCTGAGTCACAGTGTCTGTATGTTATTTTAGGGTATGTAGGGTGGGGGGGATGAAGGTGACAGGGTTAAAGGTCATATGGTTTCCTGCAAAGAGAAAACCATGTGACAGCACTCCTTCCTGTATCTCTCTCTCTCTCTCTCTCTCTGTGACTCTCTTCTCTCTGTGACCTCTGACCTCTGACACCAGAATGGAAACCAGCTGCTCTGCTGATGGAGTACAGCCACAAGCTGGAAAATAACGACACCGCAGAAGAAAAAAAAATGGTCAGTTCTCACACAGACTGTTTATACAGATCGACCTTCTGCGGAGGAGAGGGGACGGTTAGACTCCGACGTAACTGATTTTTAAGCCACTTTGGAGCTTTTTTGTGTTTATTGATAGCGAACAATAGAGAGATGACATAAAATGACAGAGGTTAAAACAAACATGAAACAAAGGTTCCTATAGGTGAAGCTTTTAGCTGTAGTTTTCTCCAGGGAGCAATTGACATGAATTAAACATGAATGTTTATTTAAACAGGTTTAAAAGGGTCAGTTTACAATGGTCAGGTTTGAAGTATGGCTGCACAATACGGTAAAAGCATCATATTATGATTATTTTAACAGATATAATTATATGATTCACAAGTAGTGCTGGAATTAATACTTTTGCATCACAAATTGAATTTTTAAACTTAAAAAACGAATAATATCATGATTTTTTGGGGTTTTGTATGAAACAAACATGTTTTCTTAAATCTGGAGAACAAGATTTGTAGCCCAGGGCATCTCTACAGAATGACAGTCCTTCATTATAACTCTGTTTTGTCACACATTTTACCTTCATTAAAAAATTAGCAGCTTCTGCAATTTGTATTTTATACTTATATATTGTGATTTCAACAATATTTAAATTAATTGTACAGATGTAGTTTGAAGATATCTGTTATATTTCTGTTTCTAAATAATCTCTATAAAGGGGACAATTTTCATTGCTTCTTTCTTTATGTTGACTTAACATCGTGGGACTAAATTGGCTACAGTAAATGTAATTGTTGAGTACTGATTTCTGGTCATATTTGTTGAACAAATAGTTACAGTTTTAAGACACAATTCGTTCTTTAACCTCACATCACTGTCCTGAGGATGAAACTACACACAGTCAGTCATCCACGTCCACACTGAACCATGAGATGTAATTGCAGAAACGTCTGCCTGTACACACATGAACTTACACATAAAACAAGTTGCTTGAATTTTAAGTTACTCCAAACTAGAGCTGAAACTGAAATACTTCTGTTATTGTCATTTTGCAACTGAGTGTGCCTTAAAACGTCAGCGACAATAGCAACGGCTCACCATCTCTAAGGAGTTTCATGATTGATATAAATAACTTCATGAATCAATGTTGCGGGATGTTGAGATACGAACACACCCTGTGAACGTGATAAATAAGCCTGACAAGCTGTGAAAACACAGGAGCCACATACCATCAAACTCAAAGGAAGTAACAACCAAGAAATAAAAAAAAGTCATACAAAACTGTAGTGAAAAAAAACTGAAATAAGTTAACAAGTTCAAGTCTAATTTGAGGAAGTGCTATCCTCGTTTACAGAGCTTAGACAAAATAAATACTGAGAAACACACTGACTTCCCGTTACAATGCTGACTCACTGACAGTCACACACTGTAAGTTTAACAGCATATGTTTGTACCACTTTATTTGTACTCTCCATACAGTAACTGTCCTCTGGGTCCTGCTCTCCACTCTGTAGAGACAACATCTATTTCCTCTCTCTCTGTCCTGGAAATAGAGATCTCTTCCTTTACTGCTCCTCCAGACGTTTCTCCCTTCTTCCTATATTCTTATATAACGAGCGTCTAAGGATAAAAGGTGTCATATGTTCGACAGATCGCAAAGACCTCTGAAACCTCTGACTCTGAGCTGTAGAAATAAAACTAACTTGAGACAGACAGTCAGCAAGGTCTAACAATCTGTTTCTGTAGCTCAGATTTAGAATCAGACCTCTATAATTACATCTGTCCAAATACAGAGAGGGAGGTTTTACCCAGAGACCACACAACCTGTCTCTCTATCTATAATTATGATGTGTTTCAACGTCCTGTTTCGGACATCACGTCCACATGAATATATTGAACACAGAGTCACACATTGAAGACGACCTCAGAGAAGTAATACAGAAATACTGTGTCAGAGAGGAGCATCGTGGTCTGTAATGTACTGATTTTTACTGCCACAGGAAATACTTCCTTCCTGTGGCAATTTAACGTTTATAGCTCTCCTACCTCAGGCAAAGAGATGGCCAGCAGAGACATTAGGTAGTGAGACGGCTCCAGCCTCCATTTCAGCTCAGTTCATTTGAATCTTCCACTCGCTCTCAGGACTGCTGTCTCCACGTAGATCATTAACTCTCTGGCTTCATGCAATATCATGGACATAATCATCAGCTTTGAATGAACCATAAACACTTAACTGCACCTCAAATTGATAGCATGTATACATAGTTAAATGCCGCTTCCTCCTACATACTGTATATGTGATGCTAAGTGTTTGTATGTTGACTCTTCGTGCGGCGCAGTATGTCCAAAACTTTGTATCGTGAGATTTGTTAAGATTCCAGCGATTTCCTGGTATGTCACAGCACTTTTTATATTTAGAATGCCTTTATATAGTTTATAGTTATTCTACTCTCAGGAGTACATATACTTAATAAATAAATAAATAAATAAATAAACAAACAAACCAAATAAATATACAGAAGGCTTTGATTACTTTAGGGTTTTCTTGGCCCAACAACATGATACTGCAAACAGGAACTCTTTTTAAGAAATAATTTTCCAGGATTTTTCTTGACAGTACAGCTCACACATGTCATATCATTTACCAGCAGACCTAGTATTCATGCTTGCAGCTCCAGAAAAAACAGACTAAAGGCTGAAAAGATTACTGCAAATTTATTTTTCTTCCAACAGTCTAGTTTTCGATTTTTGAAGAATACATTTGTAATCTGAGGCAGAGAATTTTAATAATTGATTAACTGTTTTATTATTATTATTATTATTATTATTATTATTTATTTTTCAAGCCAGAAAATTGCCAAATATTCTTTGATTTCAACTGCACCAATGTGATAATTTGCTATAATATCATTATAAACTGAACATGTAGCTAATATTTTGGACTGTTGCCTATTTTTTGCTATATTATAGACAAAAGTAATATAGACAGATTAGTCTGAAAGTGTTAATATACCAGGAAACAGTAGAAGTCATCACAATTAAAGTTTACAGTAAAATAACTATACCAGTTAACAAATACTATTATACTACAATGAGAGATAATAATACAGTCAGACCCATCTGAGAACCACAGACACGCTGCAGAAATGTTATAAAAGGAACATGTGATTCTAAACAAACCATACAAAAATTTATTTTTATATTTAAATATTGACATATATATTGTGATATATTGAACTGGGGAACTGTTTATAGATAAAATATGCAAACAGGAACGTTTTGGTTTATCCAGCAAATTAAATAAGTGACAGTTTAATATACATCATTATATTGATGCAAAAAAGATAGAACCACCCAATACAGCCACCAATCAGCCCTCATTATTAATTTAAAACATGGCCACTAATGGTCTAATACATATCCAAAGGAAGGATAGGTATGTATAAAATGTACAGCAACATGCTGTTGCCAACAACAAACTGAAAGTATCACCATTGGAGACGTTATAATTAAGCATGTGTGCAATAAGATAAACAGACTTTATTGACAAGCAACATTACCAACATTATCACTGTGGCTGCTGAAGTGTTGAAAACAAACATTGGACGTTACTATCCTTAATTATCAATATAGATATTACATATTAACAATCAGTGAATAATCAATATAATATTAGCCTTCATAGTAATCTTAATAATATTAATGTGTTTAGGAATGACACCGGACATCTTGTAAATCAATCATATCACATCTATTTCAATAGAATATATTTAACAATGGTATCAGTTTTGTTTCAATATATATTATACATAATGTCTTATTTCAGCTGTGTAAAGTTTCAATAACAGGTAACCGCCGCGTTTACACCACCAGTGTAACGTAATGAGGAAGTGATGTCTTCACACTGCGGAAGTTCCCATGAGCAGGATGCACCAAACACCAATGTCTAAAATAAATATCTGGTCGATAGCTGATGCTGATAGTTTTTCTCAGTTGGTATTTATTCACCATTTTGTGCCAGTGAAAAACACAGAAATCTACAAAGATAAGCATCTCTGCTCGGTTGCAGCTCAGTGTATTTCTCTGACATCTGATGTGAGACACAGAGCTGAACAGCTGCTCACTGTTCGTGCTGCTGCATGAAGCACATCTGTATATTTGTGCTGGAAAACATGTTTATTTCTCTTTAATATCCAGGTTGGAAATAACCTTCAAATAACATTCAGCCAGCGCAAAATAGACGTGGCACAACAGATAAAGGTCAGCCACTGATATGTCTGAACACCATCTTATTTCTCAATTGGCTGACGTCAATCAACAAGGTGGATACTTGAATATTTTGGCAGGTGTTCAGCTGATATGTTGGTGCATCCCGAGCAGGGAGTGGTGTTTATGTACTCTGGGGGGAAAGGAACGCAGCTTGTGTGTAGGAGTTCAGTGTAGTTCGTTTATCGCCCTTTAATGTTAACCTTTTACTTCTGCTGGTTGCTTTTACGCTTCAAAAATCATAAAGGCTCATTTGTGAGGATTATCTGTACTACTAAAAGTATCCTGTAAGTATCATAAACTTTAGTTTGCCACGTAGCTTATTTTCTGCCAATATCCAAAATACAATGGAACAACCCTTTTGGCTTGTATGGCCTCCCTGAAGCAGTCCTACATATAAAGTCCTAATCTAATATTTTACTGTAGGAGAGTAAACAGACTCAGGAATATTATCAGGATACTTTAGAATTATTATAGGATATAAAGTTTTATATAAAAGATGTATTGCCCATCTGTTTGTTGTGCTGGATCAATTAAGTTTTATTGTATGTTTTTTTATGTGGGGTCAAAGACAATATATTTTCATATGAAGTGTTTCTGATAGAAAAACAAAACCTCAAAACGATAACATCAGTACAACAAATTGTAAGTATCTCAGGAAACTGTAGCTGTCATGATGAAGGAGGCCTACATAAGATAACTACAGGCTACCAGCAGATGAATATTATAGGGACGTTATGAGAGATAATAATACAGCAGAGTCTAAATAGACCAAACTCCAACAGAGAAATGAAAGAAGTGTACATGGTTCAAACACTGTAAGAGTATTAAATACTTCCAACATTACATATTTAAATAAACTATTACAGGAATACTAGGCCTGACTACGGAACAATAAAGTCAGCAGAGACACAACAATAGGTTATGATAGGAAACTGTGAGAGATATTATAATTAAATAGATTCAAGACGAATATATTATGTAATATAAGAGATATAAGAGTCTAAATTAACCTAATTGTAAAGCACAGACGCGTAGACAATAGAAGGAAATAAAATGTATGTCGAAACAGGTCAAATATGACCCACAGACACAATTAAACATTATATGAATACTACAGAAAACAACTGAACTACTACATTATATAATACCGTTTGGCAGAGTAAAGTTCTCCAGATGTGTTTGTTTGGTTCAGGTCCCAAAAAAATGTCACTATCGTGTTTTTATAACGTTTTTTTTTTCTCTTCCATTTAATGCAGCACTAGTAGATACACATTATGGACAAACTGTAAGTGTGTATATGTTAAAGTATTGTAAATAAAATTACATTTATAATGACGCAGACCTGGTAAAATGGCCTACTAATACTTTACAAAAGATAAATATTATACAGTAAAGAAATATTACAGGAGTACTTTATGTGTAATATTGTATAGAAGTACATTAAAAAGGTAAATATTGTTGTACTACAGGAGACAGCAGTCAAATCCACAACAAGTACTTTATGCTTAAATTTACCTTATTTAGATTTTATTTCATTCTGTCTGATTATCGGCTTGTCAAACATGTGAGAAGCACTTTAAACTAAATTAAACTGTAAAGAAAAAAGGTGCAATAAAACTGATTTATTGATTGTTTGAAGGCCAAAACAACCCTATTTTAAATCTTCTGAATACTGTGGAAACAACAGACTGACCCAACTAATATCACAGGAGTTAAAACATAAGGTCTGATATAAAGTTTGTTTCTGTTTGGCAGCACATTGTAGCTCAGTGCCCAAGATAAATGAGGCGGAGAGGAGGGGGCAATAAAGTGCCAGCTATTCTAACGGTTAAACTATAACAGACACTATAACTGGAAGTTGCCCTACGACGTTTTATTATAGGATTATAATAAGAGCGGAAGAAACAGACCAGAACCCACTTTAAAAGTAACATATTATAGCAGTGCTGATAGAGAAAGTAGAGACAGAGAGTCAGAAGACAGTTTGTACCCCCGCGGCACCCCTCCTTCCTTCCTTCCCTCCCTCCCCATGTCTCTCGCTCTTATCGTTCTCGTGCTCCTTTTTTCCTCCCTGCACGCCCTCACATAAAAACAAACAAACAAAAAAAACACAACAAACACCAACAAGAGAGGAGAAACAACAAGAACAAAAACACCCCCGCCCCGATGCAAAATCAGCTAAAAACTGCATGAAGTTTGGTGGAAAACTTTCCGAAGTTTGCTGCTGAAGTTTCCACCATGCAGCCACCCACCCACACACACACACACACACACACACACACACACACACACACACACACACACAATATATATATATAGAGGTGTACCCGGGTCCGAACACACACACACCGACCCGGTAAACAGCCGGTTGAACGGCACAAAGCTCCGTTCAGAACAAACATGAGGAGGACTCACATGAAGGGGCAGCGGCCGGATGGTTTTCTTCTTCTCTTTGTGAAGCTGCGGAGTTCAGGGCATGATGATGTAGAGCTGAGAGGCCCCGCCCACCGTGGGGGAGGGAGGGGTGAGAAAAGTGGTGGTGGGTGGGGGGGGGGGGGCTGGTGTTGTGTGTGTGTGTGTACGTTTGCAATGACGCCCCGGACGTCTGCAGCTTGTAATAAAAACACACAAAACTGTCAATCAAACGGAGAATTATTTCTGGAGTCACATCATGAAATAAATGAAAGCCAGCTGCTGAGATTCGTCACCATCACATTATAAATGACAGCAGTGACCACATTTTTAATTGGTTTGATGGTTTTGGTTGACGTATTTTACATTTTAAAGCTGCAGGATGTACTGAAAACAAATAATATTGCAGTTATTTTGACAGATATTGGGATAATATGCTGCTTAAAATATTTTCCACACCACTGTACATTTTTCTTAATTGTATATTTTCTATTATATTTTGTAATATTTTTATTCCCCAATGTGTAATTTGAATTTCTCCTACGGGGGATTAATAAAGGGTATATTTTATCTTATTTTATATGATTCATGATCAGTAAACATTTATGAATCACAATTTTCATTTCCACTAAAAATAAAGAAATAAAAATCCAGATGATGGTGATATTTGTAGCAAACATACATGTTTTCTTACACCTGGAGAACAAGGTTTGTAGGCCAGAGCATCTCTGCTCAATATTTCTTTATAATGCTGTTTTCTGACACATTTTACCTTTAGATATAGATATTTAGATATATAGATATAGTGTGTGTGTGTGTGTGTGTGTGTGTGTGTGTGTGTGTGTGTGTGTGTGTGTGTGTGTGTGTGTGTGAAAAGTGTTTAGAAGAATTTCTCCTTTGGGGATAAGTTAATCTTCTAAATCTTCTGTTTTGCTTTTGTTTTTTGTGTGGCAGCCATTGATGGTAGGTATTCAGTGAACAGAGCTTCCGGGTCTGAGAATTGAGGTCAACGCTGAACTCACAAGCCTCACAAGAGACCGAGGACTTGCTCTCAATGAATCCAGATTGTGTCACTGGCCTATTTCTCACCTCACATGTTTTCAGGAACATATTTTTGTGTTTACTATTTATCTGTAATTATATGTGTGGCCAAGCGCATCGTCATTGTTTCCTGCTGTGGATGAGTTGAAACCAAGAGCCGCCAATGAATCACCCCCGCTGGTTGCAAAAAAACCAACACACCAACAGCCATAAAGTGAAAACACGAGGCTTCAAAAACAAACCACGAATCAATGAGTGAATTCACACAGTTCACACGTGATGCTAACACACTAATCATGTCTGTATTATTTATAAATTACACTTTGACTTATATATAGGCTTGGTATGTTGTTGGTTATTGTTGCTTTTTACATATATTTACATGTAGCCTTCACCTATTTTTCACCATCTTATCTAATAGTTCTATGTTAATATCTTTGCTCAACTTCAATGCTTCCTTTTGTTTTGCTGTAAGTCTATTTTTATCTTTCCTGTTTTCAGAACATTAATTCTAATCTGACTAATTTTATCAGCTGCAGCTAATGTTAGCTCCATGAATGAATGAAAATGCCATCTCTGGCTGACTTTTTAAACTTTACAGCTGACAAAAACCCTGTAAAAGGGACAGTGTTGGGAAGTAAGGCATTACTAGTAATAATATAATACAAATATATACACATATTAATTGTCAGTAAGTCTGAAATTTGTTGAGAAGGGACACAATTACTCATTTTTGTGGGGAGTAGCAGAAAAGTTATATAACTAGTAGTGTATCTAATTACTTTTGACAGAGTAATGAGTAAAATAATAACTTTTTAAAATGTAAAATTGGATATGACATGTAGACCTGGGTGGGGTTGCGGCAGTGTCAACTTTTCCCAATCTAACAGCTGCTATCTGTCAATATTTATACAGTTTATACTGTTCTATATCTTATATTATAACTACATGATTGTGTGAGTGACGCACGTAAAACAGGATTTCAGGCAGGAGCAAATCAGTGGATTTGGGCCTATGAGGCAGCGGATGGATGTAAATTTAAACTTTATCTGACAAATCAGAATGCTAAAAGCCTCATAGGTCACATGAGAGACACATGTCTTCCTTATCAGACAGCACATGAGACAGGAAGTGAGACGGGCACGTCTTGCCTCCAGCAGCGAGAGGATGATTCAAACAGGAAATACGACACAGAGAAAAAACTACGATCAATTTGAGCAGAGAGTAACAGAAGAGACGTAGTTTCTCTTCAGCAAAATGTGCTTGTGCTGCAGTGCATTCTGGGATGGGCTCTGTCCAGAGAGGACATCTCAGATCTGACGATGTGATAGTGACATCAGCAGAATGTCAGACTGCACGGAGTGACGAGATTGGTGGATTTAGTCTAAATTAACTAACATGACAGACAGTCACAGAAGAGATAAGAGAGACGAGAAGCAGCTCAACTTTCAGTCTTCCTCTCTCTGTGCTCACTTCCTGTAGTGCACTTAAACAAACCATTAGAGAAACTTTAACGCTACAGAGTCATTTAACCCATTGATTGATGATGTGAATATATCTCTCTCTATTTAAATATACACACATGTGCTGTATGTATTAATTCAACGTAAAGGGAAGATCCTGAATGATTCAGTTTTGGTGGTTTTGGCGCCACCTTGTGGTGAATGCTGACGTTTCATTTCAAAATTTTGTTCACACAAAAACACAGACAATGAATAATAATATAAAAAACATCAAAACAATCAATTTAAAATAACAATTAAACCACAGCAACTATATTTTTGTTGTATGCATCATCTGCACAAAACTAAACTGAACAACTGACAATTAAAACTGCAGAGACGTTAAACATATAAGCTACATAAGGGAGAGAATAAAATACAGACTAGAACAACAATAGTAACGGAACATGAGAGTAAATTCAGTTTGAATACATTTCCAGGATGTTTGGTCATTTGAATCAATTTCCAGGTGTTTCCATGACTAAACAACTAGTCTCTAAATTTCCAGGTTTTCCAGGACACGTAGGAACCCTTCAGGGTTGACTTCAGAACTAGTTTTAATGTCACAAAATCCTGCTCCATGCTCTCTACTTGTCTGTGACTCAAGTCCATTTAATATTATATTTTCAAAATGTGGTGTTGGCTTTCCACAGGTCTGTTAAAAGATAACACATTTGAGCTTTGTGGCATTCTGGTGGAACTTTACAAATACAATAATGGGTTTAAACCTGGATTTTTAGATGTTTTAATGAACTGCTGGATGGGTTAAAGACAATTTTCCACTACTATAATTATATTCTGTTCTATTTTTAAATGAAAGCCCCGGTAGCCTAAATCTTCTGTACTCCCTCCTTCACTGTGTGCGAGTTCTTCTTCTTCTGAGTGTTCAACATCTTTCAGAGAAAGTTCAGATTATGATCTCTCTCACTCCTATCTGTGTCATTTACACTTCAGATTCCTTTCCTGTTTACATACAGTATCTCTCTATGTCTTGTTTTCTGTTTACATTCTGTATGTTTTAGAATAAGCCTTTATGAATCCTCACAGCGGGGGTCCAGCAGCACTAACCAGTCAGTGGCTCCTGCAACCATAGATGCAAGTACTGCGTATGTATCAATGTCTCTCACCACTGTGCTCAACATATGTCACAGTGTGTCATTTAACATGTGTATTTCAAAATATAACAATAACAAAAAATAACATTAAAGATGAGATGAATTAGGTATGAATATATTGTTCCTTATAATAATTATACATCTATCCTGTATAAAAAGCATATAAGGCTTTATTTTTCCTCCTTTACCACCAATCACTTAAAATATATAATCTTTTTTTTAATCTGTCACTTTCTCATTTTATTTTTCAGCTGAAGCTAGCTTTACTCGTACACCAGCCACTGCATACTAGAACATCACTGTATAAGCACTGTATCTAAACACCTCCAAGCAAACGTTAACAAAATGAGCAGGCTAATGCTACTTGGAAGTGCACAGATAGGAAAATTAATGAGTAATAGTAAAGAGCTAGTGAACGGTAAATAAGAGTGAAATATATTTTAATGGATTTTATCAGGTGGAATGTTGGAAGGGACATTTTCATTATTAAAATGTTAAGATTACAGTAATTTACACTCCATTTTACACTTCAGTTTCCATGCTGTGAACAGATGTGACAGAAGCAGGTGAGTCTCACAAGTTTATTTTCAGTTTTAACGATAACATACAATTAATAATCTATACTGCAATAACTGTTAGTGAGAGTTATAAGACATTTGTAGCATCTACATTCTAGCAGAATCCCTTTAGTAAGAAAAATGTTGTACTTAAAACACACCGAGAATTAACAGTCGACTGCTCAAAAGAGTTACAGACAATAGAAAAAAATCACTCCCGAACCCCCGAAGATAAACAGTAAGGAACATTATCAAATCTTCTGTTTCATGAACTGCAGCAATGGAAGGAATATGTCATATATAGTACGTCAGCTAATATAAAAAATACTGTGTGTATGGCCATTTGCACATTAACAGTAAAACATATAAACCTGAAGTGGCTACGTCCTGTGTGTCACATATAAACTGATAATTCTGAAGGCAGAGGGCAGCAGGGTCTGTTAAACACAGAGCGCCCCCTACAGGAGCTCTGGTGTACTTCAGGAAGGCAGTTTTAAAAGGGACAGGATGTATATTTCGGTCTTGAGGTAAACTGTTGAAGTCAGCGGGAACTGGAGACAACACAATTCTAATAGTTTCTTCCTTTGCACACAAAGTTACGAAGCAACTAGAACACAAATATTTAACTGCTTGCTTGGTTTCAGACTTAAGTTTTAGTCTGGTTTTAATGCTGCGCTGCTGTTTCAGATGTTTCTGCTAGCTCTGTCCTGTTAGCTGCTGTTCAATCTGATGTTCAAACCACCAGCTTCAGGAGTCTCAACCTCACAACGCAGCCAAAAAAACATCCAAATTAACTTTAACTATCACAAATTATCTGCATTTATTTCTGTGACTTTGACCAGATTAATAATCTACTTTTCAAACGGCTATTCTCCAAAACCTTTCAAGATCTATCAAAAAACACCTTGACTTTTGATGAGGTTAAAAGTATAACCAAATGATCTTGTTGGCAATGAAATTCTTTAACTCATTTTGTAACCAACTCTCTCTAGACCTGAACAGTCATTTCTCTCTCTCTCTCTCTCTCTCTCTCTCTCTCTCTCTCTCTCTCTCTCTCTCTCTCCCCTTCCTTCCTTCCTTCCTTTGTTCCAGTCAGAAGAGCCTGCAGACTGGTAGCTGGTTGTCTGTCAGTCACAGTGGCAGAGTGGAAAGCTGGAGAGATTTTAATGGACTTTATGCAGGACAGGAAACACTTAGATCTTAGCAAAATTGGCGATAACATGGGTTATAACGTGGTAATCATTATTTAACGCAGCCTTTTCTTCTGTTCTGTTTTCAACAGAACACACTGTGACATGTTTCTGTACTGAAAAGTAAGGCTGTCATGGTAATAATTTAATTCTGCTTGTGAAAGACGAGATGTTTACTAAATTGTAAAACAAACAACAATAAAAAAAGATCCTGGTATTTTTTTGTGTACACCTCCTGAATAAACTGAATAAAGCGTATTGTTGCTTATTGTCCTGTTAACAACTGAGCTTGCTAACTGATTTCTGTTAGCTGACAGAAAAGCTCAAACAGCTTCTAGAGCTGCAGGATATGGTAAAAAAACAGATTGCTAAAAGCTTCTAGACACAAATATTTAGTGTAGACATGCAGATACATTTTGTTTTGACACTGTATGGTGTGACCGGACCCCTATAGTATAAATTATCTGTTTGTGTTCCTGCAGGCATGACAATGTTGACCTGTTTGTGGTGAAACTTCTGCTCTCAGCAGATTAAATGCTGAAGTGGTTTTCACCTTTATGTCACATTAATCCACAGGAAGGAACCAGGTGAACCACATCTGTTGTTGTCTACAAGCTTCCTGTTTCCTCCATAGGTTCACACAGTTCACCGCAATTGTTTTTGTTTTTTTTGCTCGTTTTCATGCAATACTGAGACTGACATTAAATGGCACACACTGGCACTGTTTTCAGTAAACTGTTGAGTGAAAGTATATCAGAAAAATATCTTTGGTAAGTGGTCAGGTGACGGTCAACACAGGTGTCACAGAGACAATAATGGACTCTGAGGAGCAAGACAGTAGGCCGGTTCAACCACAACGTATTTTTTTCCATTTAAATTAGTGCTGTCAAACGATTAAAATATTTAATCGCATTAATGTCATAGTTAACTCGCAATTAATCGCACATTTTATCTATTCTAAAAGTCCCTTGATTTCTTGTTGTCCCATTATTTTTTCTCATTTTAATGCTCTTATCAACATGGAAAAGTGGATCGGCTTGCTTTGTGCAAATGTTGTTTTTAATTGAAAAATCATCCGTTGTCGCCTGGCTTTGACGAGGGGGCGGAGAATCTGCATCAGCTGTGTGTTTGGCCATCAAATGGTATTTCAGACTGGACGTGCTGCGATGATAGCTCAGTTCACAACAACAAAACACACAGATCACTTTGGTCTTGTCAATGTAACCATTTGGCAACTTATTAAAAGTAAACTTTCCATTCAGAATATTAATGGCATCCATTTCGGCATCTCGCGCTCGCCATCCACTCAAAACGTAACGTCTACTACTCTTAAACAACTGTATGCGGCATGCCTGTTGTTTTGTTTCCGGTCTAGCTAGATCCGGTGTGGTGTTGTAGTTTTTCTAACGTTACTAGTTGTTGCAACAGCATGTGAAAAAAACTACAAAGTGTGCTAGGCCAAAAAGAACGTTAATCTTGTGCTAAAAAAATGTATGCCGTTAAAATGGGTTTAACTGACAGCACTAATTTAAATAAAAGGATAAAATCTTAAACTTGTTTATCAACGATTCAGTTCTTGATATGAAGGATAAATGACAGGAATGCCACTCCAGTTAAAGTCAATTCAATTAAAATTTTTCAATTTAAAAACCATTGTTCTGTCTGATTGGGACACCTGGTGGAGCATCACAGCGTCCTAACAGGAGGTAGAGAGAGTTCTGTAAACATGAAGACAAACAGACAAATCCATTCCCTCCAGGACTGTTAAGAGTAGAGCATGATATATATATATATATATATATATTGGATTAACTGAACTGATGATTATGATCTGAAGTTTGGGACAGTCGAGTTCAACCGTGTGTGTGTGTGTGTGTGTGTGTCTACAGGATGACACAGCAGCAGGTTGCTGGGTAGTCAGCGCTGACTTGGTGCTCGTTGCCGCACACAAAGTAGACGTGAGAGTTGCCTTTCCACTTATAGTTCACCTTGGTGATGGGGATCAACTCGACTGTCTGCCTCTGGGGGGGAGGGAGTGAGAGAGAGAGGGGGGGAGAGAGAGAAAGAGAGAGAGGGGGAGAGAGAGAGAGGGGGAAGAGAGAGAGAGAGGGGGGGAGAGAGAGAGAGAGAGAGAGAGAGAGTGAGAGAGGGAGAGACATTAAAATTCTGTGTGACGTTATCATCGAGTTGCTTGAGACTTCACATCAATTTCTCATTATTTTATTATTCATTGAATTAGTAACAAGCAACTTATTAGCAGCCGCAATGATGGGAGAATCACTTAGTGGACTTTGGCGCGCTGGTTGCTATGGAAACAGAGTCCCATTAACAGTTTACTGCAGTGGATACGAGTCAGTTTTGTTTCCCAAGATGATCAGTTTCATTGCAGTTGTTGGCCGTGATTATTAATTCATGTGAACCAGAATAACTCCGGCATATGTTTGTACACGATGCTGACACTGTGTTACATTAAAGCCTCACTCATATTCCTCTTCCAACCTCCCTGTGTCACTCACAGCATCCAGGCAAGTGCAAACCTTTACAGGGAGATTGGCCTGTTATACAGCTGTGACGTAATGTAGACAGTGATGCCTCTCTCTGTACTGCACACACAGACACAACTGATATCCTTCTTCTCATCTGACAGAGGAGACGGATAATACTGTATGTCACCTCCTTTCCTAATTGGATTAAATATTTAAACAACCTTTCATGATACTTTTTATCTTTGTTATTCTCCTCAATCTGTTAGTTACACTCCTGCCTGTGGACATACCTGCTGCAGGATCCTGGAGGTCTGGGCGTACTTGCTTTGGTGCTCTCTGATCAGACGCTCAGAGGCCTCAGAGATGGCCGGGTTTGGGAACCCGAGCAGCGGGTAGAGCTGAGAGGAGAGAGACAGAGAGACTAGCACACAGTACTGACAATAAACAGACAGCATTTTAGCTCCACTACACCTGTCTGAGGGGAGCTTCCTGCATGTTGTCTGTCACTGATGTGCATGATGTGTCTTAAGTTAACAAATGAAGGATTTTTTTTTTACTTAAGGAACATAATAAAGGAAAAACAGTCATAGTTTTCTGCAGCATATTATAATAACCTAAAATTAATAGTGCCTCCACAACTTTTATGAAATGACGCTTATCAGGATTCAGTGAAGATGAACAGTGGAGCTACGTGACACAACAATACCACATATTTAATGATTGAGGGGATTTTTATGTTTTTATATGTACTTTTTGGGGTGTTTTGCCTTTATTGGATATGACAACTGAACAGTGACAGTAAAGGTGGGGAAAGAGAGAGGGGATGACTCACAGCAAAGGGCCACAGGTTGGATTCAAACCTGGGGCAACTGCATTAAGGACTCAGGTTTTAACCCATCATCTAGTAGTTATATTGACAACAAGAAGAGCAGTGCTTATCACCGCTAACTTCTACTTTTATGGGGAAAAAAAAGAAATAAGTGTATTATTGTGTGTGTGTGTGTGTGTGTGTGTGTGTGTGTGTGTGTGTGTGTGTGTGTGACCAGGTAGTGGTTGTTCTTGAACAGCTCCTTCCCGCTCACGGAACAAAGATTATCCATCACCAGACCCGAATTCTGCTCCACCACGTGGTCCTCCACATTGTTAGTCCTAATCACACAGAGACAAATATAAACGCACACACACATATACATACACATAATTTCATCAATATTTTCAGTTGGAAACAGTGTACAGAACATATTTGCTGTATAAAGCCCCCTTGTGCATAATCCTGAATATATAGTTTGTTATATGGATGTTGTGGATGTCATAATTGAGTGTGTTAGATGAAAAAAGAATTCTCACCCCACAGGTTTATCTTTATGCCCCCAGAGGGCACCAAAGGACACCAAAAGCAAACCGGTTCTTAAAAAGGTTCTCAAATTGAACAAACTCTGAACCCGGACAAGAACCAGCTCAGAACTAACACTAGGTTTGCGTTGGTGGACCCCTGGAAACTTTTCAGTGCCCTTTAAAACGCTTTATTTACCATTCAAGTATCAATATAACACCATCAAGGACCTCAGGAGCCAACAACAACCCCTTTAATCTTTTAAAGACCCCCATAGAACTGCCCCTGAAGGATCACTGGAACATTATTAAGGACTTCTGGAACCACCAGTGACCCCTTGAACTCCTTTAAAAAGGCCCCAGGACAGTTGAGTACTCACCACTCCACTTTGAGCTGGATGTAGGTCAGCAGTTGCCGTTTTCCTTTACAGGTTTCACAGTCTGTCGATCCTTGAGATTTACATTTTGTACACCTACACACACACACACACACACACACACACACACACACACACACACACACACAAAACAAACAGTCACACACACACACACACACACACAGTTAGACATGTGACACACGTCTCACATTCTTCAGTGATCTGATCCCAATGCACTGACTGGACAGTGTAATCTAAAAACGGGGCATAACGCTGCTTTTCATGTTTTAATTTATTAACTCTGAATGCTGCAAAAAATTATGTTATTATTATGTTGTGATTGGTTCTGCTGGTGTGTTCAGGGACAATCTGATATCTGACATTTCAAACTCAACAGAAACATTTCAACATGTTCCAATTTAACCAAATCCTTTTCACAGTCCTTGAATGCATCACTGCAGAGATGTTTCAAACGTGCAGAAAGAGTGGTTGGATCTTATTTGGGGTTTTTTGGGTAATTTATGTCTTTTTCTATTAGTTAGTGGACAGTAAAGAGCTGACAGGGAATAAAGGGATAGAGATGGGGATGACATGAAATAATGGTCCCCAATTAGATCTGAACTGGGGGCATTAAAAGGATCTTAAAGTGATAATCCTTGAGAATATAATGCAATCAAACCGTTTTTAAAACGATTTGATGGTCGTCAATAGCCATTCAATGTATGTAGTTTTAATGAGGGATTCACAGGAAGCATTTAATCCCGTTACAGTTTTGAATTGTTGGCTGCACTGTAAACCCCCCTTCAGTACCTGTCTTTGCCTGAAGCATCACAGCGAGTGCAGTTACCAGCATCCTTCTGCCCAGAGCCGTTACACACCCAGCATTGTTTCTATATACACACACACACACACACACACACACACACACACACACACACAGTAATATTAATATACATGTTTCATTGTAAATCCACATTAAATTAGTTATGATTCATTTTATCTGTTTATTATTTTACTACTTTATATAAAATGAAACCTGTCCTGTCTTTAATTTTATGTAGTCAATATGTTGTGTAGTTATGTAAACAACAATTAATACGTCGTTTATCATTACTGATCACTTAATTGATTGGTTGACAGTCTTCTTACATATCCATTTCCCTGGCACTCTTTACATGGAATCTTCCCTGCGGCATGGCAGCTGTGGCAGTCCTACAAACACACACCACACACACACACACACACACACACACACACACACACACACACACACACACAGAGTTAAAAATAACTTTACCGTCTGTTGAAGTCACACTGACACACTGAAGCTGTAAAAATGCTTCACATCAGAATCCTGGTCTCTGATTGGCTGTCAGCCTTCTGTTAAAATCTAACATAGCTGAGGCTGACCGTTTATTTTCTGTTCTAAATCAGACCTTGAGGTAAGTTTAACTATACCAGCAGTATAACTATATGTATGTATATATATATATATATATATATATGTTAAAAATCAACCTTGGACTCAAGGTAAATTAAACAGCAGGCAACCATTTTTTTGCGTGAACCCCAGGAAGAGTAGCTGCTACTTTGGTTGCAGCTAATGGGGAGAATAAAGAATAAATTACAATAGTCAGGTTTCAACCAGTAGAGGGCGGTTGCATATATATATATATATATATCATATATATCAAGATTTGGACCTGAATCAGTCAATGACACTACTAAATTGGTGGTTTAGTGACTCTTAACCCGCTCACCTTGATGGAGGAGGTGTAGGGCACACGGATCTCCTTTGTTTCATTGGTGAACAAGCTGGGAACCGGGACCTGGATCTCCCAGGGCTGGGGGGCAGTCTGGGTGTAGAAGTCAGCCACCTCACCTGTCAATCACACAAGAGAGACGTGACACCAACCTGTCAATGAAATATACCTGTCAAAACACCTGAACCCTGCTGCCATAGTGACGTCGTCAGGGGTATCTCAGTTTGTGCTTGGAGACTTTAGAGACTTATCAGTGGGTTTTTAACTGCCAGAGAGGGTCTAATGAAAGACGCTATTCAGTGTTGTGGAGTTTGATCCATACTAAGGATTAAAAGAAACAAAAAAAGACAAAAATGCACAGATTTTGACCATGCTTTTAAAATCTTTCTCTCTCAAATAAACCAGCTTTATGGAAATTAAATACTGAGTCACTGGAGGAGGATTTATGATGTGACTGCACATGTGACTTTTTACCGCCTTCATTGTTTGTGTTCAGGGTTTGATGTTCTGACAATAAGGGCTTTATATTGTATGTCTAAACTTTCTGATAGTACTCCTTTAACTCTGAAATTATCCAGATAAACCAGTAATCTCCCTCTGTGAACACTTTTCTGCAGTAAAATATCTTGTGCGTGTCTCTCTCTGTGAGGACCCATTGGAGATTTTGTCTGTTTCGAGGTTCAGACTTGGTTTTAGGGTTAAAGATCCCATAAAACAGGAAGTTGTGCACAGGAGATATGATGCCATTGACAATTCAACCTGTGAAATGCACTGTTACCAGAGAAAAATGACAGATTTCTTTGGTTTTGAAGATTGTTGGAAACATTTGCGATAATGTAAGCACACAACTCAACATAATATATGACATAAGTCTAGTGTTTAAAGACATTTCAATGCAGAAATGTTACGTATTAGCTTTAAGGAAGCAATGATATGAATTAAAGGGAAACTAAGAATTAAGTTCAGGTTGAACAACCGTGTGTGTTTGTGTTTGTGTGTGTGTGTGTGTGTGTGTGTGTGTGTGTGTGTGTGTGTGTGTGTGTGTGTGTGTGTGTGTGTGTGTCTGTTTACCTTCGTGAGGTTTATGGGCCAACTCAGTTGACCTGGACTCAGTATACGTCTCCAGTCGGTACTACAGAACAGAAAACACACTTCAACTAGAGCTTCAGCGGAAAGAGACAAAAACAGAAACTATAAGAGCAATATTATTATATTCAACAATTAACAGAACCAGTAAACAGTAATAATTACAGAAATGGTTTTATTGAAATAAATGAATTTCAGAAACTTGGGAAGAATTTGTAAAGGAAGGAAGATCACAATCAGTCAATATTCACTACAGATTAACTGAGTTTAATCGTACATTTTGCTGATCAGGATGGCAACATGAGTTCACTGTGTTTGGACGACTGGCAGCTGGCGAGGACATGTGTAAGCATTCTTCAAGCTAACAGAGAAGTTCAGAGATCTTTAATGAATAAAAAACAGATTTTAGAGGCTTATTTCTGTTTGTCTACAGTGTAAACCAACAGGTCAGAGTCTGAATTCTGTGTTTATTAACAATATAAACATCTGACGCCAGACTGACTGTGGAGACTCTCGGTCTAACAGAGGTTCTCAGACTGTGAGGTGTTCCTCCCCAGGGGGACACGGGACAGCTGGAGGGGAGTCGTGGAGGGAGGGAGGTGAGGAATATATATTGTGTGACATAAAAGGGACAGGTTGAACACAATTTGTTCTCCTTCCTGGAGTCATAGCTCAGTTAGATCTGAACACACAGACGATACATATTTTGGGGATTTCAGTGTGACACATTAAATACTTTATCATTGGGGGTCTTAATTTCAGACTAGTATCAAACTTTTAAAACTCTTGATCCAACACCTAATGTGAATTGTAAGGTGCTCTTATGGAAATCCTCCTCCGGACAAACAGCTTTTTTCTATTAGGGGAAACAACATGTGGAATTCCTTACTAATCACTTCCTGACTGGGATCATTTTAAACTCAAACTGAAACAGTTCCTGAAGTAGTCATACAGTCACGAATGCTCTGGTGCGTTTGTGTTTTATGGTGCTTTAATGTATTACTTTGCGTCCTGTATTTTTCTGTTTTGCGTTGTACATACGTATTGTTGAGTTTGTTTTGTCTCTTGTGTATTTGTTGAGTTTTATTTATTTTGAAAGGCCCATCTGGGGACGGGAATTGCAAATTAGCTTAGCTTCTAAATGCTGTGCTGCGTGGCATTTGTTTATGCTACATTCTTGTTCCTAAAACGTCTGCATGGGTTCTGTAGTGAAAGCAGAAGAGCAGCAGCTCCAGTCGTCTGTCATTGTCTAGACAGGATGCGTTCACAGTACGATGTACTTCACAATCACTGTTGTAAGACACGTAAAGCAAAACAAAATAAAGTGTAAAAATGCAATTTCGGTCGCAGCTACATAACGCAAGTGAAACACAAGCTGTGGCGAGGCCTGTGTGGACAGCTGGGTTGATTAAAATAGAAACGTCTCTGTTCCAGAGGCATGCAAGACCAAAAAATGTGTAGACAAGCAAAACAAGACAGAGTCAGACTGAACTGGTCCTAATGTTTCAGGCCTCAGGCTCATTCACTTCGAAATTGATACCATTATAGTTTGTTCGCATGAGAATCTCTGAGGTCACAAGAGTCATGTGAGAGTCATCAGAGTCACATTCAAATGTTTCTAAACTGGTAGGAGAGGATGTATGTGATCAGAACTCTGTGCCTGTGTATATATACTGCATGGCCCTCTGGTATGTACATATGATCTGGGTCTGGATACTTGATCTGGATCAGGAAGAACTCATGTTAATGTAGGTGTAAATGCAGCATTACATTCAGATTGTGATCTGATCCCAGAAGGTGTTACTGTTTGGACAAAAAACACAGATAAGTTTAGGGGTCACCTACTCTCAACTCTTGAAAAAGCTATAGATAGCATCTTCCCTGACAAAATGCAAACAAGACAACAAGTCTACAGCAACACTAGAGGCTCTGTGGGGTTCTACTTAGACACCTATGTCCACAGCGTCCTGTGTTCCCCTGTTCTAGGGTTATGGTTAGGGAACATAGGACCTTGGGAACCGATACATATCCCTTAGACACAGCGGTGCTCTACGCTAATTACGCTAACACCACCATGACGTTGCTATATGAAGAATTAAGAGATCACCAACGTTTTTTCAATTCATCATGAGAAGTCCGAAATGATTGATTCCTGCACACTTAGATCCATACAATATGTCACTTTATCTTCGTGTGCGGACATTTTTAGAGCCTGAACAATATTATTGGCCAATTTTCAGGCATATTGATATCATATCGAATTTGGCATATATATTATCCGATACTTGCTGATAGGAAAAATATTTTTTCTTGTTACATAATGTAGAAAAAATGCTTATGGTAATATATTGGTGTCATTACAAAGTTTATCCAGCAGTCTGCGCTGTGATTTACAATACTACGGCAAGCAGCACATCGTAAGAGAGACGAAGCGACTCTCAGCAATGTCAACTTGAACTTGTTAAAGAATATTTAATATTTTTAAAAGATATTTTTTAAGAAAGCAGCCTTCTGAGTACCGTTGCATAGTCATATCAATGCAAAATCAGTTCACAATCCACATAGAAAAAGGTAATTCCTGCTTGACTAACTAAAATACCCATATCCAGTAAAATCGGTATCGGTCTGGCTCTAGTTTTGGACACATTAAGGAAGATTTAGTTGGGTGGAGTGGCTGTCATCCTGCATAATTCATCTGAATTGGGACACGTTTGTTGTAAAACTTCATTGCAATTCATCCAATAAAGCTAAACCTGTGAATGCAAAGGCCTGTGATCAGTTCTCATTATCCAGATACAGATCACACGTTAATACCAACGGTTTCTGTAAAATCAAATGGAACAAATCAGCCCCCCAGAACATGACTGGAGCATCCTTAAGTAAAAAAACCCAGCAGTAAACAGTATCATACAGAGTGTGAACATCAGATTACCCTAAAGGTGTTGTATGGCTCCATGCTGGTGATGACCCCATCTTCAGCAGGACCACTACTGTAACAGCAGTGAGATGAGGCATAGCTCTTGAACGCCTCAGAAGCCACATCCTCTGAGAGGGCGGGAACGCTACAACACACACGAGAACCACATCATGAATAAAACCAGAATATCATCTGAACGCAGCATTTTCTCATCCAGCAGAGCTACGTGAGCATCCTGCTGGCTGTGACTGGCTGGTTGTTACAGGCTCCACCCCTTTCAGGTGCACACAGGTTGGTGAACGTGCCCCAAGTCTTACCTCCAGTTGTCCTGTTCGGGACCAGGTTGCGGTGGGGCCACAGGCTCCAAGGGCATAGGAGGGGGCAGGTAACCGCCTGAAGCAACAACAACAAACTTTGAGTAGTTGAAACGACATTAATATTATATGAAAAGATATGGGGTTCGACTCCTCTTACCTCCTCCAGCCGCGATGCCTTCATAGCCAGGCACGTTGCCGAACATGTTGGCTGCAGGAGCGGTGGGAGGGGGATACACAGCTGGAATAAACAACAGGAAACAGTTCATACATCAGATCATCAAAAAGGTTTTATTTTAAAAAGGTCCAGTGTGTTGGATTTAGTGGCAACTAGCAGTGTAGTTGCAGACGGCAACTCCCTCGCTTCACCCTCACCCCCTTCCTTCTGTAGACAAAAACAGCTCATTCTAAAAACATAAAGATTCTTATTTTCAGGTGATTATACACAAATGAAAACACAGTTATGAATATTATGTTCCATTCCTACCAAAAGCTCCTCCTAAATGTTACATTGGACCGTTAAGATGAATTTAAAGCTGACGAGAACTGAAAATAATCAACTTTTTTCTTGGTTAACCAGAGCCCTGACTGTACAGGAGGTCTAATTATGTTATTATGTGGAAACACTGGGTGTGTAGGGCCTTTAAAGGGACGGTTCAACATTTTGTGTAAGACACTTTTTGCTTTCTTGCCAACAATAAGATGAGAAAGTTCAGCACAAAGACTGGACACAGCTAGTCTGGGTAAAGAGGGCGTGGAGGATGTGTGAAAGGAAAGAAGATGGTGATGAAGGGGAGACAGATGTATGAAGTAAGAGCTAGAGAAGGAGAAAATGAGGGATAACAAGGAATAGAGAAGGTAGGAAAGGACAAAAGGAGAAAGGAAAGGAAAGGAAAGGAGGAGGTAGAGAAAGGGTGAAAAAAAATATGTAAGAGAGGAAAACAGATACTAGAAAGAGGAAAATTAGTAGAAAGGGGACATAGAAGGAAATGAGTGAGTAGGAAAGCTACAGAGGAGGTAGAGAAGGAGAGAAGGAGGTAAAGAAGGATGAGGAGGTGGAGGAGGTATAGGAAAGGAAAGACAGAGAGAGGGAAGGCGATTAGGAGATAGGAAAGGAGAGGAAAGGGGGTGGAGGTGGAGAAGTAAGGGAGGGAGCTGGAAAGAACAGGAATAAAAGAGGGGATGAGAATGGAGAGGAGGAGTTAGAGAAGACATCATAAATATGTATTGTACAGTATGTTGCCTCAAATCATCAAATATTTGAATAAGTTGAAATAAGTTGAATTATACAAATACAGTTGCTAAATCTACCAACAAAGTCTAAACAACAACAGACAGATCAGAGAACTGCATACCAAACATCTCAAAAGCTCTTCATATTTCAGTTTTCAGTGGAGGCAACTTACACCAACATCCTGGTCTTTTTTCTATCCGTCTCATCTTGTTTTTTTTAAGGCATTTGAAAACCATCATGTGCCGTCTTGCCCTTACTTGAAAACTGAAATATTAACGGACCAGTGTGTAGTGCCAAGTTGAGCGACATTTAAAGCAAACCTTTTGTATTTGCCTGATGAATGCCTGCTGTGTACGCACACCTACTGCTTTCTTAATACCACGCAGGGGTGATCATATACATGTCACACACCGCTGACACACCCACCAAACCAGAGGTAACATACCTCAGAGTCCAGTGCACACCCTTTTGATGTCCTCCTACACAGAAACCGTAGGAAAACTAGGCACAGCGACGAATGACTGCATGAGTTTGACTAAATAGCTACGAGATATTAAAGGCTATTTAAGTCACAACCACCTTGACTGCCTCTGATTTCAGGTTAGGATCCCCAAATTGAAGAGTACCTAAGCAGCTCTACATGTAGGGATGTAAAATTATAAAACAGCTAAATTACAATACAAATATGTGAACTATTTAGACTAGAAGAAAAGAAAAATCTGCATTGTTTTGCACATTTTATACCAAACATCAGAAATAAAAAAAGACATGTAAAAGTAGATTTTGTTTTAAGAATTTTAAATTTGAAAGAAGATTTTTTTGGTCATAATTTGTAAAAAAAACAAAAAAAACAAAAACGTAATCAGATTCCAGTTAAATTTTGCAAAATTTCAGGATTATTTAGTTTTTATTTAATCAGTTTTTCTATCTAAAAAATAAATAAATTGAGAAGAAGACACATTTTGATGTTTAAAATCTTTCCATCATTTTATTTTCTAAGGTTACATTGTACATGAAAACCTCTAATTGTTATTTATTTTATTTATTAACATATTTGGTGTTGAGGTAATCCAAAAGTAACGGAAAGCAGTCAAGTTAATTAGTAATTGTATCGGATTACATTTTTAAAGTAACCCTCCCAACCCTGATTATATGCAATGCTGAGCTGAGTGTATATCGATACATCCACAGACTGCAGTGAGTCATCAAATGGACTAAAATGGATCTATCACATTATTAATCCATCAATAAACCTGTAAACCTTTCAAATTCATCAACAAATCCTGTAAAGAGTTGCTGCTTTGAACAAATAATTTATCAGGGCTGAAGATTTAAGGATGAAATAAGGTATTTTTGGATTAATAATTAATATTTGCTGGTATTTAATTGGTTATGTTTAGTTAATAAACCTATTTTCTTTATCAATCCATATAAATCATCTTCAAAGCTGCTTCAAAACTGCAAAAAAAACTTATTTCTATGTAAACAAATGGCGAATGCATGATTTTTCCTCCTTGGCCCAGACCAAACCCAGACCAGGGTCTTGCAATGAAAACACTTAAGTCTCGTTAAACCCGATTTAAATGTGCACTGAGAGACAAAAGCTGTGTGACACCTTTGAGTTTGTGTTTTTATTGGATGTATTTTCTTTGCAGGCGGTGCAATGTTGTGTTCGTGTGTTTGAGTTCCTACCTGCACCGTTCATCTTGCTGCTTCGTCCGTGGTCTGCTCGGTGTTAATAAATCCAGACAGAATCTCTGTGTCCCCCCAGTGTCGCTTCACGCTGCTGCTGCTGCAAACAGTGACAATGAAACACACCACTTCCGATTAACACTTCAAAATAAATTGTCTGATTGACAAGCGACCTGTGTTTTTACTGCTTAGCTGGGTTGGGAGGGTTACTTTAAAGATGTAATGTAAATGTATTTACCTCTTTAAAATGTAGTGAGTAACCTAATCCAAGTGTCACAATATTAAAGTCATGTAACTTGATTACTTTCTGTTACTTTTGGATTATCTCAACATTAAATATATAAACAAGAACAAAAGAAAAGAAATGTATTGAAGTAAGTGTAAGACAACAGAAAAGGTTTTAAATATATTTTTAAATTGCAATCCAGATAAATAATCCCCATTTTACTAAATGTAACTGTAGTCTAATTACGTTTTATTCTTTTCTGTAACTGTAATCCTTTACAGTTACCTTTTTTGTTATCCTAATTACAGTAACGTTTAATCAGTTACTGCCAAAGCCTGCTGCTTAGATAATACAGATGTTTAATCATCTGGAAGGACATTTTTATACCCAAGATGCCCGGTATATGTGATGGGTTAAATATAGATTATAAATAGAGCCTACATCTACTGTACTACAAAGTTAGATTAGATATTAAATTGGTGGATTTATTAATGAAAGTGCAGCGTTTCAGTTACAATGTTCAACATTTCCACAAGCAATTAACAAACTGTATGAATGGATGAACTGTGATCAGACATATATGGGAACAATTATTGACATTTATCATCTGTTTGTGCACCAGCATGCAGTTATAAGAGTCCATGGTTTTAGTTTAGTTGTTCACATTTTTTTGTCTTTGAAATATAAGTTTCTTAAGTTTGGACGGACAACATTAGTTTGAATTCCTGAAGATAAACTACAAGAACTGGAGGAGGATGAAACCTGAACTATTCAAGAATCTTTGCTAATGAAAGTTTATGATTTGTCTTCTCTCTCTTTTTTCTCTTTTAGTAAGTTTTTATTTCCATGTCATGCCAAACAAGGAAAGACTATCCACACACTGAAATTTGCCATCTCCCTAGTTTTAGACTATACAAACAATTAATAAGTAATATAACTAATAATAGTTAATTGTGCACCAAATAGACACATCAAATACATGTCAATTTAATTGTATTCATATTGAAGTGGATAAGTCCTCTCTGCAGACTGTTCTAGAGATTATTATTACCCATTTTGTTTATTACCCATTACTGTCTGTTTGTACTCAAAATTACAATATTTAACTAGTTATATTATCACTCGGCTGGACTGAACCACCATCTTTAAAAAGAAGGTTGATGAGACAACGTTTTAAATAACTGAAGGCTTTTGTTTTGAAGGACACGGGCATATCCTCCAAGTGATTTTGCTCATTAGCTTGACTTCACCAGTCTGCAAGAATGTGGACTAAAGCCCCATCTGGGATGGATTACATAGCTGAGCAGATATAAGAGCACATGGGGTTGGAATACAATACACAAACACTTACAAACTAAGGATTTACTAAAAAGTTACTAATGCTATTTATTCAACACTTGTAGAAACAAAAATGTAAAAAAAAAAGGGAGACATTGAGGCTTGCAGCATGTCTGCAGTCTTGTCCTCAGGGTGGGTTTAAATCTGAAAGTATATAATAAAATGTCAGCGTGCTCCTTTAACATCACTATCAGGCCCGGAGCTGCACTCTGTGTCAGACATGTTCAGGCAGCGTGTGTCTCCTGAAGGTAAATATTTCCCAGGTCAATAGGAATTAGCTGCACTGACTTCACCTCCCCCTTTCCCGGCGGGCAGACATGTTGAAGGTCCCTTATAGCTCCTCAGGTTTGTTCACACGCAATCAGTATTATTCCAAACGAGGGCTTTAAAACATCCGGTTGAGGGTCTGCTGGGTGGATCAGTAAGCACAGGGCATGTTTTTGTACATGAGTGAAAAAGGTGTTTGCGTGTGTCTGTTAACTGTGGCAGAGGAAGACAGAGGATCTTGAAACCCCATAATTATATTTTACCAACACAAAGAAATCTTTCATAGAGAGTTTTTATAGTACAGTCATTTATAGCTTTTTCCACCACAACGACAAGTATCTAGCAGTATGTGTAAACCTCTACCCAGACCACAACAGCTACAGTCAGACACATCAGCAGCAGATCAATATATATCATATCATTTAAAGGAGAGAGAGAGAGAGAGAGAGGTTAACACAGCAAAGGGCCACACAAAATAAGACAAAGTTAGATCACAACAAACTGGCACAGATAGTCAGCCACGCCAGCAAGATCACTGGAAGCAAACAACTGCAACCACAGGACTTATTCTCTCAATCGATAACCAAAAAGGCAATCCAGATATACATCAGTGCCACCCATCCTCTCCACTCAGCATTTCAGTGGCTGCCAACAGGCTGCAGACTGACAGTAGCCACAAACAATGGTTACAAAAAATCCTTTATTCCAACTTCCTCAATAAGAACCTGTTTAAATAATAACCCCTTGGTACTTGCCTGCCCCCCATTTGTAACATAATTTTAAATGATTTTTAATATACATTTTACTGCTGTGTATTATTTATTGTTGGGATGGTTATGTAGACATATGCCAGTGCCAAAGATACATTTCCCTTTCATGCAAATTTACTGGACAAACAAAGTAATCTGGATTAAAGATATATTTAAACCCATCATTGATGTTTTAAAAGCAGCGCAATCTGCTGGTTGTTGTTTGAAAAAGTTATCCAACACCTGAGGATGTTTGAAAACAAATACATACAGAATTTTCCCAATTTAACGAACTAATTCCTTTACTAATTTTACACTGCAAAAATAATGGGAAAGGTGCCCTCACGTAGTCACTTGAGAGAGAAGATTGATCTCAGGATGTAGCACTTTAGCTACACAAGGTAGCTGGTGGAGTGACCTATTTCTTTAGCAATAAGCTTGTCAAATGTTTTACAAAGATGTAAAGGATTCAGATAGAGGAGTCAGATTTGGAAATCCACTGTCAGGTGCAACTCAACTATAAACTTTACTGCATGGACAGAGCAGGCTGTTCTTACTGAGGAGGCTCAGGGCCTTCAATGTGTGCACTAGGTTGCTACAAATGTTCTACTAGTCTGTAGTGTCGTCTTCTTCTTAGCTGTTATGTGCTGGGGAGGTGGCATCGGGACTTGTGGTGCTAACAAACTGGGAGAGCCAGTGTGGATGGAATTGGACAGCATGGAGGCTGTGATGAAAGGGACATCTTAAATGATCTTATCTGACAAAGATTATGTATATTATATATATATATAAGAATGTATACAGTGTTGTTTGCATGTTTTGTGTTGTGTTGGAATGGAAATATTTTCATAATGTTGTGCTTACTGGAGCGTTGAAGTGGCCCTGCTATGAGCAGCGGCCCCAAGACAATTTGAGTTTGAGACCCCTGATCTAATAAAATTAATAAATGTGTTGTTGGGTGAAATAAACAATGCTAAAATATTTCGAAATGGATCATAGGTAGTGTGCAACAAGAGAAAGCCATATGACTAAATAAAATAGATAGTAAAAAAGAGCAGGGTTCATGCTCAAGGACAGCAAGTTGGAGTCATCTCGGGAATACCTAAAGTTGTCTCAGTTGACCAAATGAAAAATAATTTCATCTAAAAGTTTTGGAAGTAAAACTCTTGACAGCCTGTCTGTCATGAACAAACTGGAGCCTAGAATCGCTTCTGGATTTTCGGCTAGCCTTTCTTTCCTCCCATAATTCATGCTCTGTCATGTTGTTCAGATCCAGACCTAACATTCCACACACATGTGGTACTCATCAGCCAGCTACGTGGAACTGTGTTCATGCATCATTAATTCTTTTCTTTTTTTAAATTTCATCAGAAATTCTACAGCATTATCTGATCTCTGTTTACCGTTTGAGAAATGCGTCATGTCTTGTTTGTTAATTTTGGTTAAGCAATCAGATTTTATCAAAGGTGTGTCATATCTGTTGCCCAATCAGAGGTGGGAATTAGAGACAGATTTAAGTGAAATTTTTCCTCAAGTCTTTGCTCAAGTTTCCATGTTCAATTCATGTTTTTAGGTATGGTTATATTACAAGAAAGAGGAGTGGTTTATAAGCCTACACTCACATTTTCACCAGTAAAGCTGTAAAAACTCAGAAGTAGAATGTGACAGTAAAAAAGTATTTTGTAAGTCATTATAATGAGAAACTTTCTCAGAATATGACACAAAATATTGAGAAAGTTTCTCATTATATTGAGATACTAGATAATTATTTTCAGATACTTCGTCATTATTTTAAGATACTTAGTTCTTGTTTTTAGAGAGTTTCTCATTATAAAGAAGAAGCAGAAATGAGCTTCCATAAAATACACCAAAAAACATTTTCCTGAATTTTATCACCAATATTTTGGCTGTTTAAACAGATAAAGATACCTCAGTCTGGCACATGTGATTTCATTGTGAGAAGGTTTGTGGAGACAATCCTTCTTCATTGTTGCAGTATCTCTTGAGATCCAATGAGTCTAAGGTTCGTATTCCCAGATTACAAAGTCCTACTTGCCAACAATGTGGCAATTCATGCATTTTGTGTGTTTTCAAGTGATTCTTGCCAGTTAAATAAGGAAAAGTAAACATTAAAATGCTCAGAATCTGCTTTGATCCTGTAATTTATTTTAATTTTAATTTACCCAGTGTAGGTTGGCTGAGTTCAAAAGCTCACTTACAGAAATACCCTGCTTCACTCTCTCTGTTGTCCTTGGAGATTGCCCAATGCTACTCCAATTGTCTGTTTTAATTCAAATGTGGCTTTGATAATCACTGTGCATTTTTGTTTTTGTCTTAGGTTTTGCAAACAGAAAACAGCAAACACTGCTCCTCATTATCGTGTTATAGTCTGGTACAACTAGAAATGCAGATGAAAAAAATAGCTTCAGAATAGACTCAGATGCTCTATCATGCACTGACGCAAGTACACAGGGCACAGACACAGCAACACAGGCACAGGGAGTTCGACATAATTCTCTGCTCATGACACCACTGACCTTTTTCCCAGCAGCCATTTTGATATTAAATAGTAGGGTTAACAAAGGCATTACCAATAATAGTAATTAATACTGCATTCCACTCAGGTCAAACAGAGTCAGGGCATGTTGGCTCACTAGAAAGGCTCTTTGACCCTAAATTAACCTTAATCAGTATAACTGGTAACACATGTGTTTAAACTAAATACTAGGAATCATGCAGGTGGAAATAGCTACCAATAGTTGAGAGCCACCGAGTAATAAGTAAACTTATCCTCCTGTGTGTGCTCTCTCCATGTGCCTGATATTATTTTATACACATTTTTATTATTAGTTATTTTTATGTTCATTTTAGTATTTTGGTTGTAAGCACCATGAGGTATTGTATTTTTTAATTATTATGTCTGCCATAATATATACTTGATGTGTTATACATCCATGACAAAAACCTGTGTATACAAGTTTCTTGCAAAAAATAGTGTGGTATATTATTCCAGATGACACTTTGCATGAAAAACCCCAACACTACATTTCAATTTAGCTTCCACAGTTAATTAAGACAATCATTTATACATCTCAGACATTCACACGGAAAGAACAATGAAGAACTAATCTGGCTGCTCTGTTCTGTGCACTTTGAAGATTTATTAGATGTTTCTCAGCAGCACATGATCCTGTCATGTCTCCTTTAATTAATTAATATATTTCCTGTCTGTAATGCAATTATAAAGTCAGTTTAATCATTTGATTCCATATTCTGTTCACCTTTTATTAATATTTATTTATTTATTTTATTTAGATTTCCAAAAAGTCCAATGTTTTATCACTGTTATAATGTGAACAGACACCATCCAGCCAGCAGGGGGAGCCAGAGTCTCAAACACACACTTAACTGCTGGCAGAGCCTCAAATTTACATTCCTGTAGTTCTTGGCAGTGTGTCAGTGTGTGTGTGTGGGTGAATAAAGAGGCAGAGTTACAGTAGTGAGGTTTTTACACTGAACCAGAGACAGACAGAGAGGAAACTGTGCAGATAAAATAAACAGAGGGGGGTGTTTGATTTTCTGTGTTCTCTGCTCTGTCTCTGTAAATCAAACGCACCTCAAAGGGGCTGAAGTGTTTGAAATGTCCTGTGGAATAATGTTCAGGTCATTGACAGTGTGTCCAGACACAGATACACTTCTCTCACTCACTCTTATGCTTTCAGGTTTCTTTAGAGCTCAGTAATTAGCTGTAAACAATGGTTTCTGATGTCAATATGAGCAGAAGAGAGTTGGCGTTTGGGATTGTTTGTGATGTGGTTTTATGGAAGGAAAACATACTTTTAATATCTTTTAGCTGAAACTCCCTGAGCATAGGCACATGGTCTCTTAGCATGAGCTAAGACTTGTGTTAACCCTGAACTAAGGTTGGTTTCACACCTGTAGTTTGGTTTATTTGAGGTAAAATAACAGAAATCTGGTCTGATATGTGTTCATTCTGTTTTTTCCCCGATAGGTAACTAACTCATTGATTGGACAGAACATGGATCCACGAGGGGAAATCAAGTTCTGTGTTCCAGTGCTGCACTTTACTGAAACATGTACATCTTCTTTGGTGTCACAAAGGACTCAATAAAAAAGAACTGATTATTATTATTATTAGTTAAGATAACCGGACTTCATAGTCATATGTGACAGACAGAAAAGGGACCAAAAAAAGGCATTTTATAGAGTAATATTACCAGGTTAGTCAACATGTGGTCACTACATTTCACTCACTTTTTATTGGAAAACTGCTGAATACAACTCTGGATTAATTTCACTTCCCGACTGATCAGATTGGGAGATTGCTTACTCAGTGAAATTTGACTTTTTTGTGAAAATGAAGGAAGAAAAAAAGGCTAATTGGACAGAAACATGCTAATACCAACATTAGGCCAATTTTGGAACCAGTAAGATAATGAAAATCCTTCAGGAGAGAAAGAATTGTTTTGTCAGCTACAGGCTATGTATCTGTCTATTACTGACCACATCCTGTAATATAATGGTTAAAAATGAAGTCTGGAATGATGTCTTTTTATCCATGAGTTAATGACCCACATTAGCCCAAAACTGCTGACTGGAGGTGATTTCAACAATTATATTACATTAGCTTCTGTAACAAATCTCCACAACTTTTACACTTCAGAGAGAAAACACTGAGGAGAATTTTCTGATGTTTCTATTCATAACGGATTCAGGAGGGAGCTGAACTCACAGCTCTGAGCCGCTGGTCCTCCTCCACTGAGAGGATGTTTACACATCACTGAGTGTGTGCGTGTGTGTGTGTGTGTGTGTGTGTGTGTGTGTGTGTGTGTGTGTGTGTGTCATCCGGGTTGAGCAGAGTCATGCATTTTTTCCATTACCCTCATCAAATCAATGTTAAACACTCCTCCTCCTCCATCTACTGTCCCTGTACAACCACAGAGTGTTTTTTGTGTGTGTCACCAAAAAGTCCGATCAATAAGCAGATAGAATGTTTGATCAGTAAAAACTGGGACAACCCGTCTGCCAGATGTTTTTTTCAGATAAACTGCTGCTGATTTAAACCAGTTTGTTGTTATTTCACAGCTCAGCTTCATCTCTGTTCACTTTTTTATAAAAACAGAATGAATGAATGAATAACTGGATCTCTGACTGTGGGTCTCCTCACTGCTCCTCTAGCGCCACCAGCAGGTTCACATGTGGGAATTTCAGTGAAAACAAATATTGGATGGATCGACGCAAGTCACATAGGTAACGTTATGTAATCTAATAAATCATAAATAAGTCAATATTAACTTTTGGTTTCACATTGGACACAAATCCCAGTCTCCTTGGTAACAATCCTGTGTTTGTTTGACCCATCCATCCCAACTGCCTCCTTACACAGACTTTGTTGCTCTTTACACTACGTCGCCTGATGTGGACGGATTACACTGGAGTTAGAAGAAAGGCTGGTGTGTCTCATACAGGCACTAAAGGGTAAGTTGTGAGTCTGTATGACACGTCAAAGGGCCATGACAAAACACCAATATCTGACACAATGGGAATGAGGCTGCAATAACAGAGTTAATCAGGCCGAGTATGGTTCCCAGCAGACACGGTTTGTATGCAGCCTGCGAGGCTAAACTCTGGGCAAAAAAGTCCATGTAACAGACACTGTCCCATCCATCAGACAAACACTCTGCCTGTTTTTTGTCAACCCCACAGAGGTGTCAGCATGCAACCCTGTCGTCATGACGACTGCTAAGTAAACTGCCTCTTCTTCCACTGTGGCTAACGGACCACAGGTCACCATGGCAACGGTAAACATCCAGGAGGCCGGGGGGTTGACGTGGCGACCTAAAAGTGTGCTTATGCGAAGAGGAACACAGAGGTTTGATCCCTGCAGCAGTAAAGAGATTACAACTGAGAAAAATAAAGAACATGAGGAGATCTGATTAGTAATTTTACATTAAATGAAACCCCAAATGAACTAATAATAGTCTAAATTTAATTACAAAAAAAAACAAAGAAATGTTAGATTAACTTAGAGAAATACTTTAAAAGTAAATAAATGGAACTAAAATGAATAAAGGACTATTTAGCACTCACTAAGCCCTGCCCTAGTTGCTGCTGCTACATCTGTCGAGCTTTCCATTTTCATACTGCACAGTTTACAATGAAAAGACATACTTGAATAATCAATATTCTTAGTAATATGATAAACAACGAGTCCTTGATTTCAGATGGAAATTAGTAAAAGCTGCTTCTTTTTTTCTAACTGACAACTGTGGATTTGACTGAAATGACAACGGTCTACTGGCTGATTTTTTTTTGGGGCATTTCGCTTTATTTGACTGTGACAGTAGACAGAAAGACAGCAAAGACCTTGAGTAAGGACTCAGCCTTGATACGTGGTAGGCTTTCTACCAGGCTGGTTTAATTTTAATGTTTTTCTTTATTATAGTATCTGATAGCTATCTGATAACTCTGATATAGCATCATCCTGGGCTGGCTTGAACAGAGCTTTTTGTAATGTAACCTGTAGTTATCTATAGATACGCTAACTTTCGGCTTAGGAACTAATGCTGGGCTACTTCTAATATGTAGTTAGCTGGACACATTAACATTAGCAGCTCACATTAGACCAGATAAATACACAGTTTAATTCATTCCTTTGAAAAAAAGACAAGAGCCTCCAAGCTGTTTATACTGAGAATCTTATGTGAGTGGTTTTGATTGGATCACCATGATTCGGCAATCATTTCTTATGGGGAGAGGCATATTGAGAGTTCAGTTGCAAATAAAAACGAAAAATAAATAAAAAATGTTTAAAACAAATTGAAATTCAATCAATATTAAATCCTATTGGTGGTCATCTGTATTTGATGTTTGTAAAACATGAGTTTAAGAGGACTGTTCCTTTAAGACTTTATTCTGCACAGTGTTGAACTGAAAACAGTAGAAACCTCAGGAGAACAGCACAGTGGACACAGTGGAAAATACATCCTGAACAGTCACCTATTCACACACACACACACACACACACACACACACACTCATCCGACCTTTAACCCCTACAGTGATGATCCTTCTACAGTCAGTCTGTTGTTTTATATTTAGGTAATCTGGAGGAAAGTCACAAAAAAATTGAGACCAAATGGTCACAGAGGAAAATGAGTTGGTCACAGTGATCACAGCGACGTACGTAACTGTCCGCTGACTCCGTTCGCTGCTGATCGTTTCTGTCGTCAATCACTCGGACGACATCGTCCACGATATTGCAACCAGAGAGCACTTCAACAAGTCAAATAAAGTCCAACCGGACGGTCGTGGAGGACACGTGTCTTCAGAGGACGGCGAGGTCGTGGCAGCTCTTGGACCGCACTTTGACCGCCATGCGCTGGTTGTTGCGTGCTACCAGTCGGTCCAGGAAGCGCCGAGCCTTCTGGGTAATGCTCTCTTTGCGTTTGTAGATGGAGCGTCGGCGCTCCACTGCCTCGCTGCCGTCCCGACGGAGGCGGATTTGTCGGACCACGCCCTCAAACAGCTCGGTGACATTGTGCTGCAAAGACGCCGACGTCTCGATGAACTTACAGTCAAACACCACCGCACACGCTCGGCCCTCTGGGAAAAAAAGACACATACAGGAAGAGAATAAATAATAGCATCAGCCAACTGTTACTAATTAACAACTTGTTGTATGTCGACATGTGTATGTACCCTCTGTGACCTTTGACCCCCACCTTCGACAGCAACTTCTCTGGACCGGACAAGGTCACTCTTGTTCCCTACTAGGATGATGGGAAGATTTTCGGCCTGGCGGGCACGTCGCAGCGTGATCCGGAGCTCCGAGGCAGAGTCGAAGCTGGAGCGGTCGGTTACGGAGTAAACGATGACGTAAGCACTCCCAACCTTCAGACAGTCGTCCTGAGAGGAGCTGTCCTCCCCCTCCTGACAGGTAGAGAGACATGGACACGGAGAAGAAGAGAAAGAAACATCATATTCTTCCTCAACTTCCTTTAGTCCTTTCTGTATCTGTATCTGTATCTGTATCTGTTCAACCAACAACATTATCTGTATCTGTTCAACCAACAACATTATCTGTATCTGTATCAGAATGGGCGGGGCTTAAACCAGATGTGGGTGGTGCTTAAACTGTATCTGGGCGGGGCTAACTGGAAGTTGTCAATTTAAGCCTGAAATTGATAAAGGTTAATCAGAAGTTGCCACATTAATTGCAAAACTATTTAGGGAACAGCTTCAGAATTGAGCTTCAGAGCAACGTTTTTGATCACAAGAGAACTATTTGGAGTTTTTAAATGAAAGTTGGTATATTTATGATTCTAATTTATTGTGATGGCGTAACGGGAAGTTTGCCTTATTCACAAAGTAAAGTGAACTCTTTGTCAACGGTCGATCCAACTGTATGGAAACCCAACACTCACCCATTTATAAATAATTAACTTTTATGCAAAGAAACAGCATGCGTCATCCGAACTCTCACTTTTTGTAATAACACTTTCATACACTCAGATTACAGGTTTTCAAGAGAGTATTGTGTAAAATGTTACTTTGCATAAAGTAAAGTTCACCTGGTAAGTGGCATTGTAATATAATAATACTTATCACAACAAATTACTTGGTATTTTAGGACACTAACTAAATTAATTAAAGCATTAAAGGTCCAGTGTGTAGGATTTAGTGGCATCTAGCGGTCTGTATTTGATGACCTGGGAATGAGGACAGGCTGTGAGGTGTGTCAGAGAAACTTGTAAAAAATGCCAAATGACGCCAATCTCCAGCCAGTGTTTGGTTTGTCTGTTCTGGGCTACTGTAGAAACGTGCCGGTTCAACATGGTGAACTCCATGGAAGGCACATCGTGGCCTCTGTAGATAAAAACAGCTCATTCTAAGATAACAAAAACATAACAATTCCTATATTCGGGTGATTATACCCTAATGAAAACCTATCTATGAATATTATATTCTATTTCTGCCAACAGATCCTCCTAAATGTTACACACTGGACCTTTAAGTGTGATGACATTGTTGTTATCTTACGTGGATCTGAACATAAAACCCACAGCAGCCAAACTGTCCGCACAGCTTAAAATCAGCCACATTAGGTCCCTTTGCAGGATGCCATGTACCCATAATCCTCTGCTTCAAAACAGATATTGAATGCTCCACAACTTCATCAACACACACACACACACACACACACACACACACACACACACACACACACACACACACACACACCAGTTTGTCGTTCTCCCAGGTATCCATGACGATGAGTGTGGTTTCCTCTCCATCTACTGTCAGTGTTCGCTCATATGTGTCCTCTGTAACAAAAAAAACAAACATGTACAATAAACAAAAAGACTCTGAATCAGCCCTGTGACACTTTGAGCTAAATGCTTACATGCCGACGTTTAGCAGGTATAATATTTACAATGTTAATCACCCAGTTTAGCATGTTAGAATGCTGACACTTACCAGAACACACACTGTGGGTGATGGGAGTAGTTTTGCAGGTATTTGGCCATAAACCAAAGTATTGGACACATTAGAAGCTGATAATGGTGCAGGGGATCAATCAGAGTTATTACATCTACAAATTTGACACCATTTCATGGCAATCTATCGAGTAGTTGTCAAGATATTTCATTCTGGACCAAAGTGGGCAAGCATTTTCATCCTTAGACTCATGACCCGAGCATGGCTAAAAACAATAAACAGCATGGAGGACCAATAACAAATTATATCTGTGATCATAAAGAGGAAAACAACCTAGTAAACAACGGGGACAACACACTACAGTATCAGGGCTCTGAGCATACAACAACAACAAGAGCAATGAAATAAAGCAAAAAAGTGTAACCAGAGATTCAGCTCAGTAGACCTAAAAACAGCAGGCAGGCTCTGCCCCCTCACACCATGTCAGACTATCACGGATCAATACAGGTTGTCAATCATGGCCTCAGGCCAATCAACACGTGACAAGAGCTGATCAATGATGTCGGGTCAGTCAAGGTTGTGATGTCGGAACAAAGACCGAGACAGAAACTGCGCACTGAGGAGGACTGAGATGGAGTATGAAAGCTAAAACACAACAATAAAACAAGGTAGAAATCTTTGAAGGGGAAACTCCCATAATTCCTTCTGTTACTTCCATAAAGGTGTTGGAAAATCTGTGCAGCAGAGGTCACAGGCTGAGTAGCACTAACCATGACCAGTAAAGTGATCTTAATGTGGAAAATCACTAATGTTCATGACTCTTAAAGGAAAAGTTTGAAACTTTGGGAACTATGCATGTGCTAAGTTAAAAGACATGATTAATATCACACTCATGTTTGTACACTAAACATGAATCCACCTACCAGCACTTCTAGAGCTCACTAATTTCCATATATCTTGTTTGTTTAATTCATAAAAAAAACTAAGTGTAAAAACAAATTTCCATCAGTTTTATTGAGGTGGTTATGAACTCCACTACTTCTTGGTTGGTACCTGATGCACAGCAACCAGAAGGGATGGCAGGAAGCTACGTGGGATATGTGATAATTAGTGAGCTTTAGAGGTGCTGGAAGGTGGGTTTTGTTACCTTTCGACAGAGCCAGGCTCGCTGTTTCCATCTTTGAAGTAAATTTGCCGGCTGCTGGCGGTAAAACAAACTCTTGGCAAGAAAACATCAAACCTTTCCTTAAATACATCTCATCACCTCCCAGTTTGTCCTGCAGCTAAAGAAATCTCCTGCAGCCCAGAAAGCATTTTCCCCATAAACCACCATTATAAAAGACATTTGTAAAGTTGTTGACAGTAAACTAACAACTGCAAAGAAGATCAGTTGTGACTCGTTGTATAAATTGATAAACTGACTGCTGTCAGCAGCATCCATTAAAGGTTTACTAACTTAAGCCACAACAAGCTACCAGACCAAGTAAGGCTGTAACAACCCCCCCCCGAGTGTGTTAAACTAATAATGAATTTTAGTGCATATATATTTGTTTAAAGGTTCTATTTGTAACTTCAGAAAACCGTTGTTAATTCTGACACCAGTGGTTGTTAAGTGAACTGCAATCAGTGTTCTGTTGCTCGCACTCGCACTCTGTACACAGTCTGTAGATGCGAGCATCATCCTGTGCATGGGCCTAAAGTGATGTACCATTGACTGAATACTAGAAAAGTAATCGGTGAGCCAGCCAGATCAGCCCCCGGACGTCTGGATGAAGCTAGCTGACAGTATTTTGCTACGTTAGCTTGTGTTGCACAGTATTGACACTGTACAGAGAGAGAAGGCTGTCTGCAGTGCACATAAACGTCACATCCTTTTAATTTTTGAAGAAAATCCAACCTGCATCCCTACATACAAACATATTCAGTCCACAGGCAATCCAGAAAGTTGGGGAAGGTCTCATTTTTAAGTTACGTTACAACCCGTTCACTCAAGTGATTGATACATGAAAATAATATCTAAAATGCTTCAGAATCTTACATATGAAACCTTTAAAGTGAGAACATTCAGTTAAACTAATCAGACTAAATGTAACATCCCACCTCCAGGTTGTTCATCTTTCTCTGTGATCCCGGCAAATATCCCAGCGAGGCTGGTCTTTCCGACACTATGGTCACCTAGCAAGACCACCCTGTAAATACAGTCCGAGTCGCTCTGCGAGTCGTCCTCCGAGTCTGAACTCCACTGGGCACGGTAGTGGAGTGACTTGTCTCCAGGGTGGTAGGACGCCGACTGTCCCAGAGGTGGGTGACTGCGCTGGGGCTGCTCGGGATTGTGCTTGGTGCTACTTGGGAGCCCAGGGTCTCGAGTCCAGGATGGGTGCTGGTAGAAGTGGGTGGGAGGAATTGGCGTGCTGCCTCGCCGCCGCAGGGGTTCCTTCTCTCTCTGCGTGTTGAGGGTCATGTTGTTATGGAAACGGCATCAGGACAGGACGGGTCTGAGGTAGGAGACAGGACAATTCAGGTTTCAGAATAAAGTCTGGTTCACTATGGTCTTTAAGATTCTTGAAAGGTCAAAAGGTCCAAACACAATGTTACTTTGGTGTGGCGTAGAGAGCAGGTTTGTTTTCTGTCCATATCCTAAGACAGCGGTCACCAACCTTTTACAAGCAAAACTAACTTCTGCCAACCTCCAGTACTTTAACTTCTCACCTTGCTGCAGTGATGTAGATGTACACTTCAGGGTGTGTCAGTACACTCTGACATCAGAGGTGCAACAGACTGGAAAGTTTCAACCAGAGAGGGTGATTAAACACACTCTTAGCTCACAGGGTTTTTATGCCAAAGGTGCAACATTGTGCTATATGTAACCATTTTAGCCAAGTCTGTTTTACAAAAGAGATTCAGTATCTCAAGAGATCTCTTGTTTAAATGAAGTTTAAATAAATAAGAATGAGTCAAATGAATTGCATTGGAGAAAGGGGTTGTGCTCTGCTGATTTTCTGCCTGGTTTTAGGCTTAAAACGTGCGTCACTTGCGTCCAGTTGGATTGTGGCATCGACGGAATTAGTTAGAAGACTAGAGGAAAGGTTTATTTTGTCATTTTGAGTTCTCTAACTCTACTCTTTGATCCTACAGGGACGTTAGGACAAAGGATGGGAATAGCAGGGTAGAAAATATTTATTATGATTGTTTATATTGAGATGTAGTCTGTAGACTCTTGTGTGTTTTGTTTTTGTGTAACTGGCCTTTAAACCTACTGCAAGGAGTTTTTAACTGGTTATGAAACAGTTGCAAATCTTTAATATGACCTATATAAGCACACAAGACCATCAGCGAGAAGACTGGCTATTCGTATATAGTTTTTCGAGGTGGTCCACAGGAGCCACCAGAATAAAAAATTTAGCTAATCGTTGCTGCTTTAAAGAGCAACCTAAGATATCTTTTATTTTATTAATTTTCTACTTTCTTAATAGGTGTGTGTGTCCTGGAGCAGAGTGAACTACTTTAGGTGTGTGGAGTAAAAGACGACTTCAATTCAGAAATCCCGGCTCTGCCAAATGACAGACAGCTTGCTGTGGCACCAGCTATGTTTAAGTTCAAACGTACCTAAGTCTGAACAGAAATTGAGAGTTACTCTATAACTTAGTAAAACAAGGGACCATACAAGGTGGTCACAATGTAGAGTTAAGATCAAATAGTTGAGAGAGACTGATGATAGAAAAGCCAGAGGAATTTATTACAGATATTTCCTGACAGACTACATCTCTTTACATGTATGATGACACTGAGGTTACTTGGACTAAACAGTACACTGTGATTTTATGCTAGTTTGCACATTATTGCATACATTCAAAACACTCTGTTATAGGTTTCCTACAATGAACAATAGAGGCGTGAACCAAAATCGGTTGAAATGTAACTTACTAACTCAAAAAGGAAAAAAGAAATATTAGAATATGAATATAAAAAGGATTTATCAGCCGCCCAACTTGAGTCCCAGGAGGAATTGTGGTTACTAGAAACCAAATGTACCCATGAAGACCTTTAGCATGCATAAGAGAGCCCTGGCACACAAACAAACTTCCTACAATAAATAATTCAAGTATCTAAAGGTGCCAAGTACGACAGTGACTGAGGGTAAGGTCCAGTCTGGCCAGGTCAGAGCTCCTGTCTTTGGCGCTATAGATAGCGTACTAGATAGTTATTAACAGTAACAGCTTAAAAAAGTCTTACAAAATCCTTTATAAAATTTCTGGTTATTCATCTACAGCAGAACTACAAGCACCAGACATTGCAGGAGGTCAAAGGTCACAGGTCTCTCATGTACAATGCCACACAGTATATGACAAGTTGAAAAGAGGAGCAAAGTGAGATCAACAAATGACAAATAAAATGTCTGGAAAACCACATCTTCCTACATCACGTGATTGTTATTGCATGTAAAATGTCTAAAAACAGATGTACACATATGTAAAGTTAACAAGCATAAAGTATGTTTCACATGTGCTATTAATTGTGAAAATGTTATTTTCACATGTAAAACATCTGAAAATCACATCACTGATATAATGTAAATTAGCTTTTGGATGTTTCACAAGCCAGAGAATAATGTGTGAAAACATAAAGTTTCTTTGTAAGGCACAGCTGAAAACTCAAAGAAATAAAACCATCAGCAGAAAATAACATTCAGTAGATAGAGTAACTTACCGCACACCCCATGAACAGTCTTGTTTCCGTCCAGCCTCAGTAAACAACCGAACAGAACTGTACCCTGTCTCTGTGTCTCTCTCTCTCTGTCTCTGTCGGTGTAACAGTACCCCGGTGCCACAGTAACCCGCCAGGAAGAAAAAAAAAAGTTCCACAACAGCGTTAAAAATTCAGCAGTGGAATCACAGACTTATCTACCTCCCTCTGTGTGTGTGTGTATCAGAGTGACAGCAGAGGAGAAACAGATAACTGAGGAGGGAGAGAGTGTGTGTGTGTATGTGTGTGTGTCTGTGAGTGTGTGTGTGAGTATGTGTGAGTGTGTGTGTGTGCGTGCGTGTGTGTGCGTGCGTGTGTGTGTGTGTGTGCGGTGTTTTATCAGTGTGGAGGTTGAGTTGGTTTAGGAAACATTTTGGTCACTTCCTGTTGGACCCAAAAGACAAAGTTTGGGTGCATGAAACTGTTCAGTCAGGATGAGTTGATATGTACAAAAATATTATATAATACAATTGATTTAATTCAGATTAAAGGTGGACTTTATAGTCATCAACATAAACTTCCAAAATACAGAAAACACACTGGATAAAAGCTTTAAAAGGTGTGTCAATTTACTAACTTGAAGCTATATGACAAGAAATGTTCATTCTATAGAATGTGTTTAAAGAGCTACAGTGAGGATTTCAGAGTTGGCTGATGAAGGACAAATTTTTAAAAATACCAGTTACCAAAGTTACCCGTTTACTACTAAGAGATCAGTTAACTAGCCTATAAAGCACCAGTTTACTAACTAGTAGGCTGGTGAAATATTACTGAAAAAGACTAACCCAGTAAAGAAGAACCAGGTTGTGTGTAAGTTTAAACTTAACCTAGTTATAATATAAACTATTACTAAGTTACTAAGCCACACAGCATATTTTTTTTATAAATTGCAACCATTTTTGTGACACAGTAATCAAGTAGATATCTAACTTGTTAATATACTTACTACAATGTGTCGCCAGAAAGTTAATTTGCACGGTAACCATGATGGTGGAACTCTATCTTGATTGTTAACTGGCCACTTGCCTTTATGTCCAAACTAGTTAGGTTATGTCCAAAGGTAATTGTGGTGCAACCAATTTTAGAAGCTGATGTAGTTACAAACTAAGCCTTCAGTGTTGACTTCACACCCTCACTTAGGAAAGAACATAGCTGGTGCAACGCAGTCAAGTTTACTAACTAGCTAGCTGTGTCGTTATAGAGGGAGCTGGTCCTCTTCTATGGAGTCAGCCGTAGGTTGTCCTTCATGCTGGGAAGCGGAGGGTGAGGCAAGGGAGTTACAATCTGCAACTACACAGCTAGATGCCATTGAATCCTACACACTGGTGGTTTAAGGCAAGGTTAAAAGTTTAAACCATGTTGGAGTTTACTATGCTTGGAGGGTCCATTGAGCTTGACCCATGCTAGGGACTAAAAGTCAGAATGTCTTGGCCTCTGCTACACAGATTTTGACCAATTGTTTTATGTTAATCCTCCAATTTTATGGAAGTGACATACTTACTATGGAAGCACTATAGGCCTACTCATATCTCTAATTTCTAAGGTAGAAATAAGAGTCCACATCATGAGTCAGTCAACATATGAATTTTACCTCAGAATCTGGATTTATTCTAGAATATATATATATATTTATCAATCTTAACTTTTTATAAGCTACTTTTCTTCTGGCAGAGATGGGTTTCCGCAGTGTAAAGTGAATGGGCTGACATGGAAAATGCGATTAAAGAGAAAAACACACCACTTCCTCTTTGTCACAGTGAGTGCTCTTTCTGAAACTCAACACATCACAGATGTTTAGATTTTATCCACCCCCTCAGTTTAAAAGTTTAAAATTTCAGAGGAGTTTCCTCCCAGATCCCCATCCAATCCAGTGAGGCGTTCAGTTACCAGCACAGAAGCCAATCACTGGTCATCCACCTCTTTATCAGTCCAACCAGCCGCTTGGAGCTCCATCAGCAGCTTCATCACTCCCTCTCGAGTCAAGTCAAGATTGTATTTACATAATCTAATGTAATGTAACATAATCTCAAATGTCAATTTCCCTGAGTGGGCTTTACGATCTGCACTCTGTCCTTAGACCTTCGATTCTGGTAAGGAAAAACACCCACAAACCAGAAAAAAAATTCAAAATAAACCTCAGGAAGAGCCACAGTGGAGGGACCCCTCTAGCCAGAACAGCATCTAATGCATGTCTGCATTAGATGTCGCATGTACAGAACAGACCAACAGAATCAGTGTACGCAAATTATGATGATAAAATTTCTGATATATTTATATTCAAAAATATATGTAAAGACTGTGGCTCATGTAGGACATCGAACAACTTTAGGCCATATGTTTCCTCTAGCACAACTGTGTACATGTAGTAGACCTACTGTATCAGTAGGTGTATTATGTGGAATATTGACTGCTGCTGCCCCCACATGGTCAATGGAGGTATGTATCACTACACTGCTGCAACAGTTCAGTTGAATCATTTTTATTACTGCTACATACATTATGTGCACATGCTTCTATGTGTACCATTCATGTACTCATCAGTTGACAAACGATTATTTTTCAGGCTCTTCAGTTGTATTTCTGTTTGTGAAATCACCGATTGTGTCATTGACCCGAGAATAAAATAAAATTCAGATGAACACTATCACAACATGACTAACAGGTTAACTATGAAAATCACCATAACTTGATAAAATATGACACAATATTTTAAGTTTGGCGGTAAGTTTGGCCAGTCAGTGCGTTTGGTTCCTTTATTTCTCTCTAGAATTGTGACTCATCATTTTGCTTCTCCTCCCAGTAGGAACTGTGAGAGGCACCTTGAGAGGAGAGAGAGGCATGCTGGGTTGCATCCGTTCGCTGAGGGTCGAGGTTGTCGGTTTGATCCTGATTGATGGCAGGAGGGGAAGGTGGAGGAGAGGGAGGACGAGTGACTGGAGTGGAGGACATCAATGCAAAATTAATTAGACCAAAATAACTGATGTGAATTAAATGCTGTAATAAAGAAATCATTTTAAATCAAATACACAGCCTAATATTACAGGCTACTGTTGCTATTTCTGTATGCACCTATCTTGGATTTATGTAAATACACCATACAGGCTTTTGAAAACTTTATTCTCACCTGGAGGAAGACTTGCAGCAATGAACCGGTTCCACACTTTGTCATGAAAAGCGTTCACAACTGCAGGAGAGAAACAAATCTACATCAAGCAGATGGCAAGAAAATATAAAAGTCAAGCCAGTTTAATTTCTGCAGCTCAAAATCAACACATAATCCACATAAATCCTTTTAACAAGTTTGGTCTAGACCTGCTCTATTTGAAAAGTGTCCTGAGATAACTTCTGTTATGAATTGGCGCTATACAAATAAAATTGAATTGAATCAGAGAAAACAGAGAAAAAAGAGTTTTGTCATTTGTTCTTGTTCTCTCACACTTTGTTATCCATCTGGACTTCATGTCCTTCAACTACTTTTTCATACTTTGAAACTTGAAAATATTCAGCGTGCCTCTATATTTACTGACAACTCTGACTCCTTCCATAAATTAAAAGACCTGTGTGTGGGATTTAGTGGCATCTAAAGAGGTTCAGATGTGAATACAGCTCAGCCTTCCAAGCGAGTAGGAGAAACTACAGTAGCTGCAAAACTTGCAAAAAATGCCAAACGCCCCCATCTAGAGCGAGTGTTTGGTTTCTGGGTTACGGTAGAAACATGGCGGTTCAACATGAATCGCCATGTTTCTACCGTAATCGCAATAGAGGACCCGATTTCTCTGTAGATAAAAAAAGTCTCATTCAACTCCTTTCAGTCCCTTTTTACAGTGCTCTTCAACCCCTTTTAGTCCTCGTAGTGTTTTCATCGAAAATTACTCCATCTGAAGCTTCAATTTCTTTCAGTGTTTCTCTTTCAGTGCTTGCTTCAAATGACTCTTAAACTCCTTTCAGTCCTTTCACTTTAATGGGGAATAATATTATTATAATAATGATTAAATATATCATGTTATAACATTACATATTGATATTAAATGAGGCCAAACTATCTAATAAACATACGACAGGATGAACTGAGGGGCTGTGTGAAGGGCCAGTATAAGATAAAAAGGATGTTTTTAAAGAGTGAATCATGCAAAGCTACTCTAGAGGAGCCTCAGACTAAGCTGGAAATAAGTCTAAAAGGGCAACTTTAATAGATTTAAAAATTAATTTCAGTATTTCCTGTTAAACTGACACACACTTTAATTTCTTTCAACTTACAACTTTAAACCTAATTTGACAATTTTGTTGGTGCTTCAGCTTCAAGAACATCTACTACCTCTCCTGGGAAGAGAAGCTGCTGTTGAATCCTCTGGGTCTGACCCACGTTCTTCTTCAAGTTCCTCTCCAGGTTCAGCTACGGGTTCTTCTTCAAGTTCATCTCCAGATGGTGGTCCAGGTTCCACCTGGAGAAAGACTCTGTCTAGCAGACGGTCCAGCAGCTGGTTGGCATGATCTGGATCTGTTCTGATGGTCAGGATACGAGGGGGTCGTCCTGCTGAGACCTTCAGCTCTGTAAGGTTTCTGAAAAATTAGGACCCAATGTGAATAAAATGACTTTAAAATTAACTTTAATGCTGCTTTTATAAGCTGATGTCTGTATGAGGTAGCTGTGGGTTCTTACCTGCTTTTGCTGTGTCTGAGGATCCAGTAGAGAACCAGTAGAACCAGCAGCACCAGCAGCAGAACAACCAGGGACACGAAGAAGAGTTCAGTGGTCAACGTCTGGGTCATCATCACACTGATAGCCGAACAGGGGGCAGCAATGGGTTCTGCTTCTCAACTAAACTTACTAGAAAATTATGTTACCACAAGGTCCATTTAGTATCTGTTCTGGAGCTTTTGATTGTATCACCCAATCTCCCTCAGAAGATGGAGTCTGAACCTCAAATTTTAAGTTACCATGGATAGGGATAACATAAAATATAGGTTGTTCAAATGTACAGAGCGAGCATGTGAGAAGAAACATGCTAAATTGATTTTATGTCTATTCTATGCCATGAAAGTGCCAAATAATGCGTTTTTCCACAGAACTGCATAAAAATGAAAGTAATGATAATCTGTAAGAAATAACTGTGTGTGAGATGTTGTGCATTGCAATCATCTATATGCTATATCTATGATGTTCTGTTAATGAGGCATATAATGTATCCAAAATAATAATAATAAGAAAAACAAAATGTTTCATACAAAGACATTCACAAGAGGGGACAAAAAATAACGAATTTGTCAAAGACAGCGTTTCAGTTTAGTTTATAACTTAACAAACTCGAAAACCTCTTTTTTTTAGGAGTCTGGGGCTGATTTGCCACCACCTCAAATTCCTCTTGTGCAGGTTTTTCTCTGGAGAACCACTCTCAATGAGAACCAGATGTAAACGTAATTATTATTATCCAGATAACGTGTAACCTGTTTAATACCAGGTGTAAAGAGGCTTAATAGTCACAGTGATACAATTACCTGTCATTGTAAAAGATTCTTCTTCGAGCATGTATTAATTTGTATGTTTAACTTACCTGCCTCTCCTGCTGGGATCCTGTAGTTTGAAGGAAATCAAATGGTTAAACCGTCTGTTATTCTAAAAGAGTTGAAAGAAAACATTCTGTTTGAATTTCCTGAACCAATCAGAATTGTCAAAAGGCTGGATGTCACTGAACTGGTCATCATTTCAATGAAATATTCTGTCTCTGGAAGACAGGAAACCATCTTCAAGTAGGAACCTTAAAGAGTAACTTCACAATAAATCCACTGCTTTAGTAGATCATGTACAGTCTGTTTTATTATACTATCCAGTATAGTATACAGTTAATTGTAACCACAATTGTTTGCCTTTTCCAGGGAAGATCCAGTTACTCTGTCCTCTAAACCAAAAACAAGACAACATCATGTTCACTGATCTGGGCCACACCCACACCCACAAGAGATCAGAATTGAACTAATTGTCAGTGATGAGAAAAGTTTCATTCTTCCTGACCATAGACACAGGAAATCCAGTTACTGAATACATTCTATGGAGCTCATCCAAGATTCATGGGGTGTTGCATATGCGCATGTGTAAGTGTCGATGGGTGCGTTTGTGCACATAAGCCTGGAGAGTCTCTTCATCTAGCCTCTCAATCAGTGCCTCAGTTCACATGGTGTCATCGCGATAACACAGCAGGTTGCCATGGAGACGTCCCTGATCAGGTCCTAAACAGAGTCGACTATCAACAGGTGTCCGTGTGGGAAGGGAGGGAGGAATAGGGCAGAGCGTGTCACAGCAGCGATCTCCTGGAGGAGTTGTTCCAGCAGCGGCCTTGGCCAGTTGTGGTTTTTCAATTTAGTTTTGCATTTGCCATTTCACGCATTTCAAAAACAAAATACTGTTTACTGCTTTCCTTCATCTATATTCACGTTTCAGTTATGGCTTTATTATGACCAGAGGAGCAAAACTGTATTTAATTCTTATCACAAGTTCTTATCACAGCAGCATCTAGTGGACATTAGAGGAACTGCGCCTGAACACACATCTGCTCTGACGACAACACTTGATTGATCAACACAAACAGGAAACAGGAAGTAAGAGGTTTGTGAGCATGTTTTAATCAGATTAATGCGGATCAGCAGGTCAGTGATTTTTTTTTTTTACAAAATAAAATCCCATAATTCAACAGGAACAATGTACAAGAGAAGAATCTTTGTCTCATATCTTTAAGTCTCATATATTAAAGCACCATCAACCACAGTGGTCATCATTATATTAATCTGTAGGATTAACATAAAATATTATAAATGAATACTTACATTCAAATGTACCATGATAGAGATTTATTAGGCACCATGTTGATATAAATAAAGTTTTTGCTACAACAAAGGTAAAAAAAAAACATGAAGGATGATAGAAAATAGGAGAAAGCTCTTAAAAATGTTGTAAATACAACAATCAGATATGTACACAGTGTGTGTGTGTGTGTGTGTGTGTGTGTGTGTGTGTGTGTGTGTGTTCAAACAGCATTATTAGTGTTGTTGTTATTGATCTCCATCCTGCTGATCAGTTCAGTCACCAGCTGCTGCACAGTGTGAGAGCGCAGGCGGCCGACCTCCAGGACGCCTTCATGGTTCACGCTTTCTGAGTCCTCATAACTCTTCACCACCTGTCACAGTAAATCAATCACTTAATCAATCAATCATCTACAAAGCTGACCCCAGCAGGTTCATTTGATCAAGATCCATCAATACATTGCTGTATTGATGGGTGTGTTTACCTTGTTGGTGATCAGAGAGAGGCCAAAGACTCTCAGACCGCAGTGAGTTGCCACGACGACCTCAGGAGCCGTACTCATACCTGTAAACACACGACACCTGAAGTTACTGAGACAGTTCACAACAGTACTGCTAATACTGCTGCAGATAGTACTGTGAATAAGTACATTTACTCAAGTACTGTACTTAAGTATTTAAAGGTACTTTATATTTCTACCCCACTACATTTCAGAGGGAAATATTGGATTTTATACTCAACTACATTTATCTGATAACTCTGGTTTCTGTGTGTGTGTTTGTGTGTGTGTGTGTGTGTGTGTGTCTCTTACCGACAGCGTCCACCCCGAGTCGATGCAACAGTCTGGCCTCAGCGATGCTTTCAAAGTTTGGCCCACCCACCATTGCGTACACGCCCTCCTGCACGAGGTTGGCCACGCCCAGCTGCTTGGTGATCTCCATCGCTATGGAACGCAGGCCTTTGTCATAGCAACCTGACATGGCGGGGAAACGAGGCCCGAACCTGTAAACAAGTAATAAACAACAATAAATAACGTGATCAACAAACTGACACAAAACCATGAACAAAAATACAAGAAAGCATCAAACCTTAATACTTCGTAACTATGACGACTGAGTTAACAAACAATATTACACTATGATCACAATAACTAGCAACAGTGTAATAAATAGTTACACAAGAGACAAACAAAAAACAGCTTCATCATAAACATGAAACAACAATAAACAATAACACAAACAACGCATAGCCAGGTATCTGAGTTACTTGTCGTCGTTGGGTCCACAAAGCGGGTTCAGACCGACCAGTCCTGGGAAGTTGACGTGGTCTTTGATGATCATGATGTCACCGGGCTGGAGGCCGTCGGCCAATGAGCCAGCAGCATTTGTCACAATCAGAGTCTCCACCCCCAACAGCTTGAAGACTCGGACTGGAAACGTTGTCTAAACAGACAGACAGACAGACAGACAGACAGACAGACAGGTTGGTAATCATTTGTCTCTCAAACATGAGAATCTTTCTGTAAAGATTTGTTGTTCTTCATGTGACGCAGGAAGTCCCACAATCTCTATCTTGTGATTTTACTATAAAAACTGTTAACTTTTGTCTTTTTGCCCTGAGTGCAGCCTTCCAGGTAGAACCTTTTGAAGAATCTTCTGATGTGTCTGTATAATAGATTGTGTTAGTTCAGTGTGTAGTGCAGTTTTGTTGTTCAGGAGTCTCTATAGAGTGCCAACTAGAGGACAGTCAGGTATTCTTAGACACACAAGACTGTGTGTGTGTGTGTGTGTGTGTGTGTGTGTGTGTGTGTGTGTGACTGTGTGTGTGTGTGTGTGTGTGTGTGTGTGATATAGAGGGAAACAATAGCAGCATTCAACAGACTGCTAAAAGGCTGCATGTGACCGAACCCATGCATGACCTGAGCTGGATTCAGAAACACACACACACACACACACACACACACACACACACACACACACACACACACACACACACACACACTCTCTCTCTCTCTCTCACACACACAGGTCATGTTACAGGTTTAGGTTCTCACACTGCTGATTACAGTCATATTTGTGTTACACCAAGGTTGCGTGACTGAGTTGCTTTAGCCAGCTCACACAGTGTGAGTCTGTCCTGCTGCTGCAACACCTGAATTTACCCTCTGGGGATCAATAAAGGCTTCTTATCTTATCTGATCTTATCTTATCTGATCTTAACTTATCTTATCTTATATTCTATTATCTTATGTTATCTTATGTTATATTATCTTATGTTATCTTATCTTATTTTGTTATCTTGTTTCCATAATGCATCTCAAATTTCATTCATTAATATGCTGTTTTTCTTATTTAATTGTTTTAATTGAGTGTAAAAGTGTCTTGCTGCTTGCCTGGCAACTTGGTCCTGGTCAAGGATTAGTTTGGAACGTAACCTCTGTCCAAAATATACCAACTAAGAGTAAAAAACTCCAATGTGCTGTTTATTACAGAGACAGGCTGGTCCCCCTTGTTCATTGTCTATAGATGGCTGATGGCGGTAACTTCATATTTACTATACATTCATTCAACCTTTATTTTAACTCGGAAATACATTAAGGCAGAGACCTTATTTACAATATAAAAATGTAATAAAATAAAATAAACACATACATACATTTAAGTCTTGAATAAAAGGAAAATACGTGGAATTTTCTAAAATGTTGAACTGTTCCTTTAAGGTTTGTGTGAGTTTGTGTGCATGTACCTTGCAGAGTGAGTGTCCTTCATACATGTGGAAGCGACCCTGCATGCACACACACGTCTTCCCCTTCAGCTCCCCGAAAACCAGCCGACCTGCATGACCCTGCACTGCAACACACACACACACACACACACACACACACACACACACACACGCACAGAGTCAGGGTCAGAGGCTAAAGTTAGATAGCTGAGTAGCCAGCCAATGATAGTAACTTTAATAACAGTGTGAAAAAAGATGCGCTCCGCTTCATAACCAGAGTAATTTTTTTGGTCATACCACACGTTTGGATTTTGTTAAGTACATGTAACATTACCATAACAGTGGGGGAGGTGTGCTAGCAGTTTCCCCTTGTTTCCGTTCTTTGTGCTAAGCTACGCTAGACATGTCAGTCACTGTTCATGCATGTTGTAATCAGACAATCTTGGTTTTTCTTCCTTTTCTTTAATAGTTCATCTTCAGTTATTCATATTTTAATTGTACCTGTAATACTGTGCAGACATTGTAAGGATTAAGCCAGATTTAACCTCGTTTTGCTCTCTCTTGCCTAATTTTAAATCGGGATAAATTTCTTCCAGATCAGTTGTTTGAAGTTCAGTGTGTTGGGGATTGATGAATAATTGCCACACTGACCAACAATCTGGTTGGATGGATTTCTAGAAATACTAAATGTCTTTATCATGAATTTAAAACATGCATAGCAAGCCCTGACAGAACTCTGAAGAAAACATTGACTGGTTAATTAATAAAATAAAACAATATATTTAGAGTACCTGTGCTCTGTGGGAAGCCCGGTATGTCAGAATAAGCGAAGGAGTCTTGACACTTGAGGGTGTCAGCGAGCATGCCCAGTCCGGACCCGCAGATTATCGCCACCTGGGGGCGGTGCTTCGTTTGAGACATCAGCCAATCAGCTGTCTTCTGGTATTCGTCATGACTGCAAACAAGAAGAAGAAAAGACAGGAGGAAATTATTCAGGCAGTCAGATCAGTATCAAAATAATTTCTGTTGCAGTTTAAGAACATGAAGTGTGAAGTGGAGGAAACATATATTGCTGGGTCTGTTCAGGTCCATCACATTCTGGACCAGGTCAATTATTCTTGGTTATTCCACCTTTGCTTTGTCCCGCTCATTCAGATCATAACTGATCACACAGTTTGTCATCATACATAAATTAGTGACGTTATTATGGATCAAGTTAGCTGGTGTGGCTGCAACTCAGCCACACCGAATAACGTTATGATGACTGGACCAGCAAACTGCAAACGAGACAATTTACCAGCCAGATCAGCCTCGAACTCTGGATGAATGTACTACAGCTAAAACCACAAAATCACACTATATTTCACAAGCTTTGCAGATTGGTTTGTGTTCCGTCATCTAGAGGCGCTGCCATTATTACGGTGGCAAGTCGACTGATGATGTTAGTTAGTGGCCCCCAGTTACTGAAGAAGGTGCCTTATATGGATGGTGATCTTAACATAATTAAAATCTTACATGTTAGTGAGACATTTGCCAGAAATAGAGAAGAAACAAACCAACAATCTGCCTCAGTTCAAGTGATGTCTGTGTAATACTATTGACCAGTTATATTAGTTAAGAAATTAATACATATGAATTCATGTTTTTCCATAGGTATTCAACATTAATTAATGAATCGCCTGGCATGTGAACATCTTGGTCCTCTGCATGCCTAGGGAGTCTATGTAGTATGTTGTGTATGATCTCAGACTTTATAATGTAAAGTTTGCCTCTACTGTTAGAGCAGCTGATAACTGCACAGGTCCTTTCCCATTTGCTAAACATCGTTGTAAAAAGTTACATAGAAAATAAAGAGAAAAGTAGAACATTTTACACTTCTTAGGGCAGCTTGTATTCAACAATAAAAAGTGATGATGCTTAAAATAAAATATTACATATAGGGCTCCTTTAATATTTAATTTATATGCTAAAGTGTAAATATTTTGGGATGTTTTCATGTCAGAATCTCAGTCTTTTCTTTTCTGTCCTCACACTTTGTAACTTTATAAGGCAAAGAGGTCTAAGTTGAATCAGGAGGTATAGCTCTGCAGTGTGTAATGGACTTTACAAACCTTAACATTCAGTTTGGTTTACATAATCAGATTAAAGTGTGAGTTAGGCTGTAACTGCTCGGGTTGTTGTCCTGCTGGACTCCATGATGCTGCCATGTTTACATGTCACTGTACTGAGGCTGCTGAGCAAAATGTTGTCAAAACGGACAGCGATGATGAAGTATTAGGATCAAATGCAGGATACAAACACACCGATATTGTTGTTTGTATTCTTTCTCATTACTGATTCCTCTCTTATACTTGCTCATTAACTACGAAGCTTCAGGCAACAGCTGGTTAGCAAAAGTTACAAAATACACAATTCTCATTAATCAGCACAAACGATCAGTACAATCTGCAGCTTAACTCACTGCTCTTTTCATTTCTAGGGCAAAATCATTTTATTTTTGATTTCGCTACCGTTATGATTTCCCACCATGGTTTCTGAGAAATAGTTGAAATCATTGAAACTGGTGGTCATAACATAAACTTATGAGATCATTACATTGTCTGTGTGACTACTGTGTTTCTGTGTTAAGTAACACTGAGGAAGGATATCATTTAAAGAAACTTCAGTCAGAATACAGAATGGGGGACATTCAGGGCCACTGAAACTTAACTAGTACTGCCCATGTTTTACAGTGTCATTTTGTTGTATGAATCCACTATGAATACTAAAATAAATAGACATTTAGAGGAAAGGAGAAGTGTCAAGTCCCTCATTATTCCAAGATTTGTACCTCTTTTCTCTTCATATATTTTATATGTTGTCAATAACACCTCCACCTGAGTCATAAGGGATTTTCCCGAAGCACCTTTTCATTTCCTTACTGTACACCTCAGTTTGGTAGCGTACTCTAATTATGAAACACGTTATACCATATTTTATAGATTCTGCAGAATATCAGTGTCGTTATTCCCATTTTCTCCAAACTTCAATGTTGTTTAAGAGAATAATTTATTTCACCTTTCCACTAAAATGCCCAGTCTTGTTTAAATATGTTACTATTAGTTTTAAAATAGACACACGACAACAAAACATACATTTGTTTTAAAAAAGATATAAAACAGACAAAAAAAGGTTTTCTTACCTGATTTGTTCTTTGCTGTGCATGATGGACGGTGGACAGACGGCCGATGATGACAATGATAAATATAAAGCAGACTGATGTGTGTGTGTGTGTGTGTGTTTCTGTAAGCAGCCTCTGTCACCAACTGTGTGTGAGTATGTGTGTGTATAAGTGTGTGTGTGTGTGTGTGTGTGTGTGTGTGATGGAGGGACATTCAGAGTGCAGCCAGCTGATGCTGATCGGCCTAAATATTTACTGGTCACATGCTCCTGATTGGTCAACAACTCGTCCATTCATCAGCAGCAGCCAATGAGGCTGCAGTGTAGAAATGTGTGTGTGTGGATTCCTGAGATTTTTTTTTCTTTTGGGTTGTGCAAGTTTAGTTTTGCAACACGCCCCGCTGACAGTAACGTGATTTTACTTCAGTGTTAACTAACTCTGATCCTGAGACTCACACACACACACACACACACACACACACACACACACACACACACACACACACACACACACACACACACACTTACTTAGGTCTACTCTTTTACATTTATTTCCTGCAGTTACCCTAACCACTACTTGCTTAACCATAACCTCAACCTAACCCTAATTGGGGTCACAGCTTTTGTCCCCAATTGGACAAGCCAGTCCCAATTAAATGGTCTTTAGTCTGAAATGTCCCTGACGGACCCACCCACCCACACACACCCACACACACACACCCCACACGTGGTCACTCATACTATAAGACTTTAGCTGAATGGATGGATAAAGAATGACAGATATTTACATTTGCATAGATGCTACAGCGTTCTTTACTGCCACAATATGAACTTGTTGTGCAGAAGAAACCAAATTGAGACCAAGTCACATTTTTTATCATGTATTTCTATCTTACTGTGTCTTCATAATCATTGATAATATGTTAAACTAGGCTATTATTCATTCATGCACGATGGTGATCTAATTCACTAATTCACTAATGATATCAGCATTCGTGCTATTATTGCAATCTTGGGGTTCATCCATCAGCAGAGGTGACCCTCGACTGCATCTTACATTGTAGAATTTTACCAGCAGGTAAAAACTCGATTGTTCAGGTAATAAATGAATATCTCATAACATTCTTAATTACCCTCTTTCATTACCTGCTCGAATAATTAGCAGGTTATCAATAATAGCCTAGCTTGCTTTCAATGTATTAGGTGGCTTTAAGAATAAGTCAACTTGTCCAACTATCTATAATATCCCATGTTCAATTAAATGAACTAGTGGTATAAGTATGTATGTATGTATTTATGTATAATGAGGCTTAATGTCGATTAATGTTTAGGGCGTTTCTTCTTATTTAAATTAAAAGATTTTTAAAAAATCAGCAAATGAGTAAAATTTGTCTCCTTGAACCTTTTTAACCAGACTTAGACTCAAAGCGGGGTTCAGACAATCAGAGCTGAGACGTGGCGGTTTAACAAGCAGCAGCTCGTCAGTCGGTTTAGCTTTAATTGAAACTCAACATCAAGTCTCATGACCACTTACACACCTCACATGTTCCCCTGCTGCTGCTGCTCTGATCAGCTGCTGCTAATGAGACTCATGTGGGTCTGGTGGACCAGGGCCAGAGTTGGACTGGAACCGCATCAACCTGAAAACCAGAAACCTCAAAACGGAGCCTCAGAACACCTCCACCAGCAGAGAGTTTTAAATGTTCATGACAAACTGTTTTCTCTGAGGGATGAGCCAGAAATAAACTCAAAATCCAGTAAAAGTTTAAAATCCAACAAACTCTGTGTAAAATATAAAGTTAATGAAAACCTCAGAGGTTACATTTAGGAAAAGTTTCACGTGACACTGATGATGCTCTCCTGTCTGAAAGTTAAACAGATAAAACTGTCTCTGCTCTTTAGTCTCTTGTCTTTCAGTTTAACACGTGCCACTGTGTGTGTGTGTGTGTGTGTGTGTGTGTGTGTGTGTGTGTGTGTGTGTGTGTGTGTGTGTGTGTGTGTGTGTGTGTGTGTGTGATTTAACAGGAGCCATGTGGAAGCTGGTTAACAGGTTAATGAGCAGAGCACAGCTGGTGGTTAGAGACTCACAGACAGAGAGACTGACTGAGGAATAAAATCCAGTATTTTACATAATACAGAATATATTGAATCATTTTTACAGCCGAGTCAAGAAAACATCAGACATTAACACAGGAGTCATTTCAAAGTCATTGTTGGTTTCTTTTAAGCGTGACCAGCTAACGATGCGTTTCGCTGGTCACCTGTCATTGGCATCATATCCTCTCTGTGCATGTGTAATAAATAGATTTTTTATTCACTATATATTTTAAGATGGGTGAAGGACTTTAGTCATCCGACGTCTGGATCAGCCCCTCTGAGACATCCTTTACCAAACAGCGTCTGAGAAACCCTGATTTTAAGGTGAAACTGTTTTATTTAGTGTTTTTAATGGTTTTTAATCAGCGGGTCTGTTTGTTTTAGAGAGGAGGAGACCTCTGCAGATAGAAACCTAGAACCAGTAGAAACCTTCTGAACGATGAACACTGAAGGAATCCTAACCGGGAGATGCTGAATGCAGTGACGGCAGTGGTGGTGATAACTCCCATTATCCCACTCTGCTTCACAACATCATCAAACTTTATCTTTTGTTATTATTTCCCCTAGTGGCAGACTAGTTTCCCAAACTATGATATCCATAATTTAAGCAAACCTTAACTAAAGAGTTGTCACTTCATAAAATGGATTTATTTAGCAGTGCTTTATAACAGTGTTGGAAGGCACAGACAAACAAAATCGTCCGACTGATCGGGGAGTCCGATGAGAAAACACTTTGCTCTAGAGGGAATGAACAAACTACTTATTTTGTTGTTTAGTTTGTAGTACTTGTTGCTTCGTCTTGTTGATAATTTAAAAGTGAAACAAAAGGTTGAATTGTAAAAGTTCTAAAGTTTTAAAGAAACTAAAACAACAGTGAGTTTTGGCCAAACTCTCCGCTCACTATTGGTTCTTCATGGAATCAGTGATTCATGTAGATTTCAAAAGATCTTTTCGGGGGCAGATTTTATCTGAAATAATTTCCACCAGAAATCTGATCAGTTTGAAATAAAATTAGGATTTTGTTACTGTTGCTGTTCAAGAATTTGACAGATAAATATGTGTCATTTGACTTTAAGTTTCACCGTCACATGTTAGATTTACTGATATATTCCAGTTTTAGTTTCCTCGGCTGCTGCCTCTGCGTGTTTAATGCTCAGCTGAACGCTCAACATTACTGCGTTCCTTCACCTCAGTCAAAATGTGAACAATGTGACTGGGTCCATTAAAATGTCATTCAGATATTTGGCATTCTTGGACGTATGTGATGTACAAGCAGTCTGTCTGTCTTTTATTCTTGCTGCGTCAGCTTGATGAGGCCAGAAAATAATTAAAAGGTATTTCACACAACGCAGTTAAGCTATTAGTCCATGTCTACCAGTGACTTCTAACTTTACACAACTCAAACTATGGCTTGAGAATAGTCAAATGTTGAGTTCAGAAAACCAGAAACCTTGAAACCGAGCCTCAGCACACCTCCACCAGCACAGAGTTTTTAAATGTTCAGGACAAACTGTTTTCTCTGAGGGATGAGCCTATTTCTGCACCAGAACTCAAAATCCACTCGTCAAAACTGCAAAATCCGGCAAACTCTGTGTAAAACACAAATTTAATGAAAACCAACCACATTTAGGAGAAGTTTCACGAGACACAGATCATGTCTTAAAGTTAACACAGATAAAACTGTCTGTCTCTGTTCTGTAGTCAGTCTCTTAGTGTTAGCATAGTGGAAAACACCTGACACATTATCTCACAGCACTGTGTAATGTTCTGCCAAAATACTTGACTGCCACAAGGTTTTTGCCTTTTCTACAGGGGTGGATCTATAATTTGATGTCAGCTATATCTGTTCAGTCCACAATAAAGGAATGTTTGTGAGTGAAAATATCTTCTTCTAAAACATGCACAAAATACTACTTAAAAGTTTAAACTCACATTATGCAACAATCTTTAGTCAAGAACATAAAATCAATGTAATTTCATTAAAGAAAAAGTAGCAGTTCAGTGTGTGTGTGTGGAGCTCTGTTAGTATTGTATTACAGATAAAAGTGTCTTTTGTTTCTCTTGATAACATGGTCATAAGGTTTTGTCTTTGTGTGTAAATAGGACAAACTCTGCAGTGACTGACGTGTGTCTCTAAAAACAAAGTATGTGTGTAAAATCCTGAACATGTCAGAGAATATTTCAGATTCTCTGTGAGTCGACTGTTTTGGCTACACTAACTGGTGAAGGAAGGTTTTATTTTGTCTCTGACTCTGAGTGAAACAGAAGTTTTGTGTCTCTGCTCAGCATCACTGATAAAAGCAGTTTGTGTGTTTTTCTGGCAGTGTGACGTCTGAATGACGACAGGAAACACAGAGAGAGAGCAGATTTGGTTGTGATGTCAGAAAACTGAAATACATCAGCACAATGAGTCTCATATCTGCCATTTTGTAAAATAATATTCTACTAATGGTAGGTTCACTAGTTAAAATTGTATTAAATTAAATCACTTTTACATTTTTATTTTTAAGTTTTAAAGACAGCTCAAGATAGGGGGAAAGAGAGAGAGGATGAGAGAGGTTGAACTCAAACCCATGGCCGCTGCAGTAAAGAGCTTTGTTACATTGGGTGCCAGCTTTTTTTCTGTACTCCTCCCTCTGAACGCCCAGTTTCTTTTTTATCTGGAAAATCTAAAACTTTTTTTGGATGCTTGTTAGGTTTTTCCATCAAAAGGTTGTTGTACTTCTTGTTGCTTAAGCCTCCTCTGTCGCTAGGGTTGCTTCCCTCTTTGGCTTTAGCAAACTAACAACGTAAGCGCATCAATTGGGCGGGAATATCGCCACAGACACCAGATTTAAAAACTCTGGTATACTGCGAAATACAGAGAGATTTACCTGATGGTGATAGGCTTAATCAGCATCGTGTGAATTTTATTGTTGTTATATGTAGAAGTCCTGCACTACCACAATGAGGGAAATTCCAATGTTACAGCAGCAAAGTGGATAGAGAAAAAACAGTATAAAAAAACAGTAAGAGTAGGAAAATAATAGATAAAAAATAAAAACACCATGTACAAGAGAAAAAACAGTAAGAATCCACAAACAACAGATAACACAAATAGTAGCAGCCAC